TGATGTACAGTCTCTTTACTCCATATTATATAAAACATCCTCCAACCTGGTCTAAACACGTACTATGAATATTTTCCACACAGTCACCCAAATAATCCATATCTCTATGGATTTACCTCAAATTAACTATAAGTTAATTTTCTAGGCTTTCTTGATCTCTTATTAGTTTGCCTTTAGGTAGGTGGTAACTTTTGTTACAGCTGGCCTAAATTAGCTGTCTCTGGCCAAAACAAAATGCTACTTCAATGTACACCTCCAATTGTAACTTATGTTGGGCCATACAATAGAGTATACCTCTACCAACAATACTGAAATCATTCAAACATAGTCAATATGTGTTTTTATACATTTTGTAGTCAGATTACATCATTCATTTTCTACATACCTTTAACTCTTGCCTTGTCTGTGTAAACCATCACTGGGCCAAGGTCAAATAGCAAACTTGAAACACAGCTCTACAATAATGTTTTTGAGTAACTTGATCTTAGGATAAGCTGTGGTTCTTGCATATTGATCCATGCAGTAAGTGAAGGGCTATTTTGTTTGAACTGGGTTCCTTCCAGCATAATTGAACAGACCTGATTCAACTCACCAGGTAATTAGGAAGGACATGGCTGTTTTGAGGTGATAGGCAGTTTTATATAATTCTAGGTTCATAAGAATACAGCAGCACCCAGTGTAAATTTGCACATTACATTATTACAACTTGTAATGTGAGACTGCAGGTGGGTTTGGCTTTGGAGCTGCAATAATAAATATGTCAAGCCCTGAATATGTTTGTGTATGTCTGTGTACTGAAAAGTGCTTGTTGGCTTACTGCCTTTGCTTAACACACAGTGTCAGCTTTATCAGTTCTCTTAATGTGTTAATGTTAAAGATTAGCCCACCGCTAGGTGTGTCTCAGAGTTAGGCTGCAGATGAGACAGGAGAGACTTCTCTTATACAACTATACTACTTTTACAGGGCCAGACATGATCTCATAACAAAATCACATGCTGGATGCACAGAATTGTTTCGGTAAAACCACTTCACATACAAAATAGATGTCTTGGCTTGTTTGCCAACAGGATATGATAAAAGGTTAGTTTACCAAGCCTGGCCTGCTGTTTACATCTTGATGTTTGAAATGCCCAAATTCTGTAATGTTCTTGGTTTGTGTTAATTGTTGTTCCTAATAAAAAAGCAAGGTTGTTTTTAAATGCAAAGGGGATTCATACACAGGTCACAGCATAAAAATATAGAACATAGCTTCAGGCAATTTCAGCATTGTATTTGGAACACCAGAAATAATTGGCAGCCAAGAAAGATGCCACAACTCTGAATAAAAAGGGCCCCATACAGCTGCTAGTAACCCATCGTCAACTTTTATGACCTGCCCAAGGACGTCTTCTAAAGCTAATTTGTAGTACTGTTGTAGTCTACCTGTTGTATTCATAAGCTAATGTTTTTCCCTTGCAAGAGGTAATGTTTATTTTTACCATGTTATGTGTTCTCTGCACACCTGACACACATCTATGTACGTAATTGGAGATTTGGGGGACTTTTCAGCCATACTAACTTTAGCATTACATTCATGGGCTAACAGCAGGCTTGTTGTCAGTCAGACAACATTAATGAGTGCACTGCTTTGATATCTGCTTTATAAAGTGTTGGATTGGTTTAGAAATTTCACTCTCTGTTTGTTTTCATGGTTGCTACAGTGTCTCAACAGTCATTTTGAAACAGTTTTGTGTTGCATGTGAAGGATTGTATGTTTCAAAGCGTACAACAGCTGAAAAAAAGGAAGGACCCATTTATCATCCACATTTAAAGGATAAAAAGGGAGCCTTCAGTGATGCAACAACTGAGAAATACAGCCCACATCAGCTGCATCCTTGGCTTTGAGACATGGATTCTGTCTCACTCTCTTTTTGTCTCTCACTTTCTCTTCCATTTATTCACTCTATGAGCACATTTTGTCCTGTAGTGTCTGACATAGTTAGTCAGCAAACAATATTTAATGGCAAATGGGTAAAATACATTTTGTTATTCGAAAAATAAAATGGCTTTGCAAGGTGTTCACTGGAGACATGCATGTTGGAGAACTGATAAATTGTATGTTGGTTAATTTAAATTAAAAATTGATCCTGGAAACTGTTTACATGACTCAGACCGAGGAAAACCTACTAAGATTGCTTTACAATGGTGGTGATGAGTGCTGGTGAATGAGGCCCAGTGGTTTCTTTGGGTATCATTTTTTTTGCTATCTTGCCCTTTGAATGTATCAGGCCTCAGATAACATATTTGTTTCTTTAGAATGATGTGTTTTTCACATTAACCACTTGGAACCACTGTGGAGTCCCCTTTTACATCATAACAAGAATATCACCTCTTCTACTTACAAACACAAAATTAGTATTAAGCTAACGTTTACACAAATGCAGTATCAAGTGCACATTTGACAGAATGTCTCCTCTTGTTTTGATAAGTTATTAGTGAGAAATGTTTAATATAAAACAGGAACCATGCATTTGTTATCACTGGCTGTTATGATTTCGAAGCAATTCCTATGCGGTAAGCTAATATCATTCCTGTCAGGCTATGTTGTCCTTGTTCAGAAGTGTGTATTTGTGTGTGTGATGGTAAGGGTGGCACGTGTTTTTGAGTTTACTTGTGATAAATCCTCTAAATCTGTTGATGTGCATTTTTGGCTCACGTCAGAGTTTGTGCATGTGGGGAGCATGTGTGTGTGTGTGTGTGTGTAAGTGTTGGAGAGGGTGGACTTCCTCATGGCTTTTATCATGGTGACTGAGCAGATGTCCACTTTTCTAAGCAAACACTAATCTTTGTTCATGTGGGCTGTGTCCGCGCGTGCGTGCGTGCGCGCACATGCATGTCCTGGTTGGTGGGGGTAATGACTGCTTAATTACACTGCACTGTAATCTGTGTGTGTGTGTCCGTCTTGAACCATGGTGTGGTCACGTGTCTGTCACCAGCTCTGGGTTTATCTGAGTGTAAGCTTTGGGGGGATAATAGAGTATCTTTTTCATTAAGATACCTGCAGTTTAACATCACAGGCCAAAGGGCTAAACCAAGATAAACACTGCTGTGCTGGTTCAATAGCAGGATCTTTTCATGTTTCTCACCACCTATAAACATGTCATTGATTGATTTAGGTCTGTCACCATCATCTCCACACAAACTGCAAGCAGCAGTTTGTCCTTTTTTTTGTTTTGTTCATTGTGTGCAAATTACAAGGCTAAAGCCGCGGTCACACTGAAGTGTTTTCTCGCTATTTTCTTTGCCCAGGTGGTACTGTCAGGCCTGATGTGATGTGGTTTTGGAGGGAATGTATAGTTTGGTAAACGTTTGGTAAATGTTAGCTGGTTAACTAGTTTTATTTTTTAAAGTCACCACGGCTTAAAGTGGCAAAATCAGCCTATGAAGCTGCCCTATGTGGATACTTAATGCATGTCGGAAACAGCTCAAGCTCAAATAAACAAACAAACGTTACTCACCTCTGCCCTGTAAAGGTGTGATAGCAGCAGGCAGAAGTTGTTTTTGTGATAAGTTCACAATCTTTTTGCTGCGGGTAAACATCTGACTGGAAAATAATTGCGGTCATCTTAAATAATGGAGATCAGCTTAAATAATTGCATTCAAGTGATTAGGTAATAGATCGTTTGGTAGCTGTGAAATTATTAGCTTTATGATTCTGTATTTTATCATGTCTGCAACTGACTGTACAACACAGTGAATGGTCTATTGTGTGTGATCAATAATGTATAAAAAGAGAAATTTGTCATTTTGCTTTCTAGCTATTCCAAGTCTACGAGCAGCACAGCATTGCCATAAGAGCAGTGCCACCTGGCACACTGGGGGTTAAGTGCCTTGCCCAAGGGCACAACCAGGAATGTCCTGTCAGTTCTGGGGTTTGAACTTGTTTGGATGTCTATTAATTTCTGCACATTTATTTGGCTCCTGAACAGGACTTGTTGCTGCATTACAACCCCATCTAAAACTATCTTAGAATCACCACTATTCAACTTACACTTGATAGGTAATATCCCATGCCTCAGAGTTAACACAGTTAACAGAGTTAAGTCACAGCAGTAGTGTGAAAAGCGCATACACATGTACTTTGTGCATAAGCATTGAAATATCATGCAAATAGTCTTCAGATACTTGGCTGTCATTAGGCTATCCTTAAGACTTTGACTGTAATTAGGCTATCACTAAGACTCTCTTATTTTTTTTTCCTTAACCCCCCCAATATTCTTTAATTGAAATGTAATGACTTTTGCCTACCTCTAAAACATCCTCTGGCTTTTCACCGTGCACCAGCAGGTGGAGAAAATTAATATTAACCAATAAAATCATGTTTCATGCCTACTTTCCATCACTCCCACCTATCTTTCAGCTAGGTCAAAGACTCTCCCTAGTACTGTATTTTCACGGTATGCCCAGTTTTGATTTTTGATTCATATGTACTTTCTGCAGGTTGATCCACTGGCGAAAAAGAAAAAAGACTCCCAATGTTTTTTAAACTACTATAATAAAATCAGATATTTTCCCCTGTAACTCTGTTATTAGATAAACTGGGACGCTGTTGGCGTTCTGTATGTGAAATGTTGTAACTCATGTTGCTAGTGAGCTATTAGGTGTGAAAAGGAGTAGAGGCCTGCTGCTGAGAAAACAATTCACACCTCTTCACTATGAAAGCTTGTTAATAAATGTTGATTTAATTGCTCACCTACAAAGACAAAATCCAGCTTGCTTCCTGTTTTGATAGACATTTCCATCTAAATATATTCCATCAATGTTCTTCAAGAAAAAAATGCTATCATTTAATATCATAAAATATTTCAACTGAGGAACCTCCAATAGCATTTTACAGCTACTCTGAATAAGGGGTTAAGATCAGTTGATTGACTTTTAGTTCATTTATGGACTGTGTGCTGTCTACCAGTATTATTTTTTAATAGACAAAAATGCATTAGTGTCCTCTGTCTTCTCACCAGAACGGATGCTGAGTATGCTGGGAAAGGACTGAAGCATGATGGATCCTGAGGAGGCAGAGCTCCAGAATGACTACCGCTACCGTAGTTATGCAGCTGTCATCGAAAAGGCGCTGCGCAACTTTGAGTCTTCGAGCGAGTGGGCCGACCTCATCTCTTCTCTCGGAAAACTCAATAAGGTATCTTGAGGGTATCTTGAGTCAAAGGTCATGATCAAAGATAGCTTTTTACTGTAGAAGTTGTAGAAGAAGAAGAAGAATAAACCACTATTGTCATACATATAACTTATAGTGGCCATTATTTTTGAATGAGCTACCTTGGCTAGAAATTTGTAGGTAGTGGTGAACCATAACTATTAGAGCTGGACCTTCAGTTTGGGCCATAAATGTCACAACTCGGTCATAAACAAGGAAGATCTATCATAATGCTAATTTCTGTTTGCACCCCTATGAGATTCTAGTAACATGATAGTGCTAACAGTGATTCACATTAACATTTTGGCCATTCTAGATTAAATAGAGACATTTAAAACTTAATAGAGACATTTGATGTTTTATTTATAGCTTGCAAAAGGCATATTAACATATATTTTACATAGTAACAGTTTTACAGTAACTCCTTCAGAACCCTGGCATAGAGCTCTGAAGGAGTCACTTCTATCCAGGCCTAGAATGATGTTTCAAAAAAAGAAAAGTTGGGACAGTAAGTAAAATACTAATAAAAACAGAAAGCAGTGATTTCTAATTCTTCAAGACCTTTTTTTGAACAAAAAAAGTAAAAAGACAAGATATTTTATATCATCAACTTATTATTATTATTATTATTATTTTTTTTTTTCATTATTGTTCAGAAATGCTGCTGACTTCTCTGGGCTCAAGCTCATGTGAAATGGACTGATAAAAGGAATGGAGGTGTATTGTGGTCTGAGTCCACCTTTCAGATTGTTTTTTTGGAAATAATGGATGTTGTGTTCTCTGGGCCCAAGAAGAAACAGTCTATCCAGATTGTTACTAACGTAAAGGTCAAAATCCACGGTCTGTCCTGGCATGATGGAATATTCGTGGGTAACTTGCACTTCTGTGGAAGTACAATTAATGTTGAACACATTTTGGAGCAACATATGCCTTTTAGATGCTATATTTTTCAGGGATGTTTATGACACAATGACAACATGACAACACCAAGCCACAATTTGCAGGTTACAACAGCATGTCTGCGTAATCAGAGACTGCGGGTGCTAGACTGGCCTGCCTGCAGTCCAAATCTGTCTCCTATTGAAAACGTGTCTTATTAAGCTCAAAATCTGGAAAGGCCCCATACGTTTGCACAGCTGAAGACTTGTACAACGAAAGACTGTCAGAGAATTACGCTTTTAAAACTGAATCAATTACTATCTTCAGTCGCTAAACCATTAATAAGTGTTGTTAAAATGAAATGTGATGTAACACAGTGGTAAACATGCTCATGCCTCAATTTTTTTGGAACATGTCGCAGACATCAAATTTGAAATGAGTATATATGTACAAAACAACAGTGAAATACATAAGGTAAAACATCATATGTTGTGTGTTTTATAATTTCTTTAATTTAATCCAGGCCAAACAGAATTTACTAATCACTGCTTTCTGTTTTTATTAGCATTTCACATCTTGTCATAACGTTTTTTTAGAAATGTTGTAAATGGTTGTAAATCAAAAAGTGATGGGTTGATTCTGTGGTCAGCTCCTAATTATGTTTGTGGTTAATCTGACACTTTAGGCCTTCAGCTCTTCAAGCCCTAACCAATGGGAGTGCTAGCTTGGGTTTATCTACCTGGAAACCACAGAGGGGGAAAAAAACCATGATTAATTTTCCATTGTTCATTTAACCCTTTAGTTCCAACCAAAATTTACTATGTAAGTGACACTATGTAAGCTTTGGGGATTTGGAGACCCATTTGGTAGAAATTTGTAATTGTATGCAATGTGCGGAAGAACATTTAATAACGCAGTTGTGCTTTAGACGCCTCTGAAAGTGTGAATCTAATGACTGTGAGTGTGTTAAACGGTATGAACGGCTCAGAAGGCCCTAAATGTTCCCCACTGCTTGCAGGTGTTAGAATCTATAGCTCAAGATTTTTTTAACACAGTTTGTGTTGACCTGTAGACCATCATCACCACCGTTGGTTGAATATTTTTAGTTTATAGATTATTCTCAGCCAAGCAGTGACAATGAAGTGTTTAAAACCCCCATCAATCTTACAGTGTTTGGATGCATAATGATACTATACATTTTGAATCCATAATCAGAAGAGAAATGCTAACATAACTACACAAAGTTGGAACATTGTGCAAAATGTAAATAAAATGCAGTGATGTGCAAACCAACCTATATTTAACTGAAGATAGTACAAAGACAACATATCACATGTTGAAACTGAGAAATTTTGTTGTTTATTCAAAAACATATGCCCATTTTAATTTTGATGCCAGCAACACATTTAAAACAATTGGAACAAGGGGCAGCACAAGCTGGTAAAGTTGTGTTATGCTAACACAAAACTCCTGGTAGAACATCTTACAGCTAATTAGGTTTATTCACAACAGGTCAGTAACATAACTGAGTATGAAAAGAGCATCCCAGAGAGGCTGAGTCTTTTAGTAAAGATGAGGAGGGGCTGACCACTCTGAAAACCGCATAGGCAATTGTGAAACAATGCAAAACTAATGTTTCTCAGTGTAAAATAGCAAAGACCTTGGGGATTTCATCAGCTGTGGTACATAATATCTTTTAAGATTCAGAGAATCCAGAGAGATGTCAACCATTGAAAACATTTGGCACATTCAAAAATGAAAAATATGACAAAGGAGATCCTGAACTGTTGAGCAGCTGAAATCCAATGTGAAGCAAGAACAGGAAAACATTTCACTTTCAAAGCTACAGCAAATGGTCTTCTCAGTTCCCAAACACTTGTGAAAGAAGAAATGATGCAACACAGTGGTAAAATGCCCTACTTTTACCAACTTTGTTGAAACGTGTCGTTGCCATCAAATTCAAAATGGGCATATATTTTTCAAAAAACAATTAAATTACTCCATTTCAACATTTGTACTATTTTCAAATAAGTATAAGGTTTATATGATTTGCACATCATAGCATTCTGTTTTTATTTACATTTTTGCACAACATCTCAACTTTTTTTTTGGAAAAGATGTTGTACAACATTTGTTTATATATTTATTTATTTTCTGGTAATTCCCAAAATAATATATATTTTTTCATAAGTCATTTTCTTAGACAACATAAATACCATAAACAAAAGTACAATATCTGTGTCAGCAAAAAGTACATTTTATGGCTACATCTCAATATTAGTTCATTTACAATTTAACCTTCTGTTTGTGTATAAAGTGTGGCTCTTACCTTCTGGCTGAAATGAGTGAAAGGGAATTTTTAATGTGGCTCAATCACTTACAGCAAACTGTGGACCATTTGCAACCCCCTTCCAACAAATCTGAAGCAGTATTCCAAGCTGAGAGCGTGATTGGAAGTGATTGTCAGCACAGATGATCTGATAATGTGAGAGAAGAAACTCTTTAGCTTTCCGATCGAGCTCGGAGTGGCCCTCCGGTATTTTCAAACATGTTTGCTTTTTACAACTCCAAATGTTCATAAGTCATTGAGTGTAAGATGGTCAGTGATGTAATTGAACGAGTGATTTAGGCTAGCAGAGAGCTAGTAGAGGGGGGAAAAGGTGAAGAGAGAGATGCATGCATTCAAGTTCAGACAGATAATCACTCTCTTTACAAATTTTAAATCAGTAGCCTGTTTGTAGTAAAATTTTTCTCCAGCTCTGACTGTAATATCTGGGCTTCAACCGCATATTCATCCCCGGTTGTGTTTCTACTACGCTTCTTGTATGTGCATAAAAGCACAGACATGTCCGTTTAGCTTTGTTTGTATCATGTGATAACAGGGGAGATCTGGGAATTTGTGGATTTTGTGCCTTATCTAGTGTGCACAGCCTCATGACAAAATAACAGTTTTGTTACAGTAGAGTTACAGTAGAGTTCTTTTTTTACGTTTGTGGTAATTACTCGTCATTTTATCATAAATTTTATTAAATAGAACTATACAAACCATTCCTGTAATCACATATTTAATAGCATAAATGTAACTGTATTTGGTTCACAGCGTGTGTTGTCTCACATATGAAGAGACATTTTGCTAGTTTGAAAAGCAGTCACTACAGTGGAAAACCTCTACTATATTGCTTTCACATCGCTTGACCTCTTTACCAAAAAAATGCATGAGGATTGCATTTTACAAACAAAGTGCTGAATTAATGTCAAAATTGAACACAGTCTGCCTTGAAATGCATTCTGCCTTGAAGGTGCAGCTATACTGCTTTCCACTGTACAGTACTTTAAATGGATTGGCCTCATTGAAATGCACTCATAACAATGAAAACTGTGAAGTCCACATGACATAGGTGACTATGTGAATTTGTGCCAAAATAAAAAGCAAAATCTCTACTACAGTGTTTTTACTTCGCTAGACCTCTTTTTTTGTACTTCAAATGTATTTCCTCATTGAAATGGAACCACGATAGTAAAATGCAACGCACGCACAAGATTGCGTTTAAACAGTAACATTCGCAAAACGCACCAAAAATGAAAAATAAAAGATCCCTTACATTTAATTAACGTTGTTTGAAGCACTGTACGGTGGAAAGCAATATAACCATGCATTTACTACATTTCAAGGGACAGTGTATTCAGTTTTGACACAAATTCAGCATTTAGTTTTTAAAGTGCAAATCCTTATGTTTCGCTTTTCAGTAAAGAGGTCAAGTGATGTGAAAACAAGTTTTGTTTTTTCCATTTTGGCACTTATTCTGCATGTCACTGTGGAAATGTAATGTCATGCATTTGCATTGCATTTCATGTTTTTTCACTACAATGATTGCTTTCCAATACTTGTAACCCCATCTAAAAAAAAAAACTGTCTATTAATATGCGTGTCATGACAGCCCTACTACAAAGGGCACCTAAACGGACTGTGCACCCGACAAAATGACCGATGAGTGTAGCTACCAGTCCATATTACACTGCTAGCTTAGTGCGGTGTTTCTCAAGCCTGGTCCTGAAGGCCCACTGCCCTGCGCATTTTAACATTTTCCTTGCTCCAACACACCCACCTCAACTCAGTAATGGGTAGTTAATGAGCTAATTTGTTGGATCAGGTGTGTTGGGAGCAGGTAAAACACCAAAAAGTGCTGGGCAGTGAGCCTCCAGGGCCAGGCTTGAGAAGCACTGCATGCAGTTTGTACATCATCCATTGTACATCTAAAAAGAAGATGGACATTACTGGATGTTTTAATTCTTTGTACTTTTGTTCTTCATGCTTTGTTCACTTGTGCATGAGACCCCAAACAATGCTTTTACCTTGACTATTCACTCTGACATGTCTTCTGTAAAAGAACATGAGTTGTAAAAATGGACCTCATTCACTTCTAACTTTCACTTTCCTCTGTGAACTTATCTTCATTCAGTTAGAGACCAAATTTGAACAATGATACTTCTCGTTAAAACTGTTCTGGTGTGGTGTTAGTTAACAGTACTCTTGCAGGAGGAAGTTTGGTCAACGTACAGTTCCTACAGAGAGGTGAAAGGTCCATGGACTATATGGCCCATTCACAAGCTACAGCTTTAATAAACACAATGTAATCTTTGACTTTATGCACACAGACATGCCAACAGTGAACCTACACATGTCTTCTGAGTTTTTAATTGTAAAGTTAATAATGGAAAAATAGTGGTAAATCTGAAAATAGAAGTTTTCTTTGGAGACTATTTTGTCTTGCAGCTGTTAAAGAAAGTCAGATATCACATATTTGTAACTATTTTGTGTGAAGACTTTCTGTGAGGTAGTTTTAGAGGCTTTAAGCTCTTCAGATGTCTGGTTCCTATCACCACCACTGTGAACTATCTTCATAAGGTGTCACTCTCACTCTCACTTTCTTTTGTCTTTCTCTCTTTCCCTCTCTTTCTTTTACTTTTCTCTCTCTTTCTCTCTCTCTCTACATGTCTCTCTCTGTTCTTTCTCTCTCTTTTTCTATGCACACGTTTCTCTGTTCTTTCTACTTCTCTTTTTTACATCTATTGCTACATCTCTCTCTCTACATCTCTCTCTTCACATCTTTCTTTTTCTGAATCTTTCTTTTCTTTTTTTTTTACTCTGTCTCTTTTTCACTTTCATATCTCACTCACGCACTCACTCTCTTTTGTCTCTCTCTCTTTGTTCTTTCTCATGGAGAGGAATTTGTGCCAAATTGAAAAGCAATCATGACAGTGGAAAAATATGAAATGCAAGGCACACATGGCATTACTATTCCATTGTGACATGCAGAATAGGTGCCAAAGTGAAAAACAAAGTCTCTGTTGCATTGCATTCACAGTGTTTGACCTCTGTACTGAAAAAACGATACATGAGGATGTGCTGAAATGCTGAATTTTTGTCAAAATTGAACGCAATCCATCTTAAAATACAATGAAGGCACGTGAAGTGGTTAGCTTGACAGAGTGCACGTGTTGTGTACTAATAAGCATATAGTTTACATAAATAAAAATATATGTTATTATTTCTAACAACATCTTTGGTAACAAGGTAAAACGATCAAACTTTACCCATGTAGCCAAATCATATTTTGTGTGTAAACAGTCTAAGAATACTGACTTGTTGTTTTCTGCAGAATGACCATCAGACAAGATGATGCAAATGTTCTGTTTTTATGAGAGAGATCAGGTTTGAGCAACAGGGCTGTCCTTAAAATGTGGGACACGGTTTAAAATTACTTTTTTTTTTTTGTTAAATAAATTAATAAGGGAAGTAATTCTTTTGACTTTAAATTGCTTGTAAATAAACCAAATAACATTTGGCATCATTCCACAATGTCATCCTTATTTTTTATATTTAAATTTGTTCTTGAGAAGCACTAGCCAAAAAGTCTACATCACATTCATGATGTATTCTTAGACTGCAGAGTTGTTCGCACCTTTGTACTCTTGAGCGTGTATGGAAATACCTGAGAAACAAATCCCGAATAACATTGGTGAATGTCAGAATCTCTGTGGAAACTGCTTAAGTGGGTTTTAAGAAGAATGGTTGGTGAATGAGGCCCATTGTATTTATGGTGTTACTGAAAGATTTTAATGAATATATTTCATAGAGAAGTTCAATGGCAGTGAGATGGGACAGCCCAAAATCACCATAATTAAGGTGAATATAGCAGAGGTGTGGACTCAAGTCATATGACTTGGACTCGAGTCCGACTCGAATCGTGAATTTGACGACTTGTGTTAGAATTCAGGTTTGCCTCAATAAGCTAGAGATGAGCGAAGCACCAACAGCAGTAAGCCCTCGCTCAGTGCTTAAGCTCCAGCCTTACTGGAGAAACTTATCAGGCAGACCGTTTTCCTCATGGTAGCACAACAAAAGATATACAGTTCTCTCTGGCTAAACGATTTTTACAGCTTCTGCAGGAAAAACAAGCGCAGCATGCACCATGAGGCTGAAGTTATTCACCAGCTTCATATTGGAATTTGCCGCTCCACCTATGGTGCAGCAGTTTTGTGCCGGATTTTAACTGCTACACAATTTAAGATGGAATGGAAAATTCAAATAAGAATCTGCTGTCAAAAAACAAAAGTCAACTTCAGCTTTTTACGTTCACCATCCTTTTCCTGTCTTTTCTGTAAACTTTGTTCAGCTTGGTCATTTTGTTTTCCGCTCTCTAAATTTAATTCAAACTAGTGGTTGTTTTTTATTGGCTGTTCTAGTTTTAGTGCTCATCTAGTGTTTATTTTAATCCTAGGTGCCCCATGTAAGTTAAATTAGTACTTTGAAAACTCTTCATGTGTAGTGCACTACTCTTTTGTGTGCATTAGTATGCCTATCATGGTTATCTGTGTACCATGGATTTTGTATTTTATTTGGAAGGGTGAAAAAGATATATAAATTTAATATACAAACACTACTAACATGCTGTTGTTATCAGGCTGTAATACTGTTACCGTTATTCAGTGTTGAAACAGTCTTAAATTAGCTGTAGAATGCATATTGATGTGTGTAGGATGTGAAGACTAGGACTTGGGAGTAGACTTGAGACTTGACTGTCTTGACTTGAGACTTGACTCAGGACTCAAGTGTCAAGACTTGAGACTTACTCGTTACTTGCATCTTAGTGACTTGTTCCCACCTCTTGCATACAGACGTTTTATGTGTTTTTGTGATCATTTTAATGCTAATTTTAATAATTTTATTTTAAATAAAAATACAGATCCCTTCACTTCCACAGAATTACAACTGTCACTTTATTGCTCTTAAAATTGTAATGGGACATAAATTCAACTGTTTTCATGGAAAGTGCCCCCTCTCACTTTTTGTTCTTCCCTCTTTCTCCATCCTTCATGTTGTCTGTCTCTCTCACTTTTTGTTTCTCTCTCTCTCTCTCTCTCTCTCTCTCTACCTCTCTCTCTCTCTCTCTCTCTCTCTCTCTCTCTCTCTCTCTCTGTCAACTGCTCTTTATGATATACTGATTTTCTTGTTGACTTAATGAAACAACACGGATGTGACCTACAAAACTGTGTGTGTGTGTGTTCTGCAGTTCTCCAAGAGGCTGTGGCTGAAGTGTGCATCTAAATTGAAATTGTTTCTGTTCTTTTCTGTCCGAGTTGTATTTGATCTTGTTATCGTTCCACCCCTGCCTCTATCTCAGGCTCTCCAGAGTAATCTGAAGTACTCTCTGCTGCCTCGGCGGCTGATCATTGGGAAACGGTTGGCACAGTGCCTGCACCCTGCCTTGCCCAGTGGCGTCCATCTTAAAGCGCTGGAGACCTATGAGGTCATCTTCAAAATCATCGGCACAAAATGGTTGGCCAAAGACCTCTTCATTTACAGGTTGGTCTAGATAAACAGACAGATGACCAGGGTACTTCTCACTGCACCTACTGTATTTATCAAAAGACATTTTTAAATCATTATCTTATAAAACAATAAGAGAGAGGCTGTGCATTACAGTGATTTTACCCTGAGAAAGAGGTGCTGTTGGGTTTAAAATAATCACTGTAAGGAACAGCCTGTTGGGACTTTCTTGTTTATTTTAATCGCAACAAAATACAATGTCCAAGTTCTTCAGTCAAGCAGTGGAGTTCAATCACAATGCGCTGCGTTTGCCAAGCAACATAAAATTACCTACATACAGTACTGTCCAAGTGTTTGAAATATGAAACTGGCTTTGCTGCAGGTGCATGCATAAAATGAGTGTAATTTGATGCTAATATTTTACAGGTTTCAAATAATTTATAGGAAGCTGTATAAATGAACAAACTTTTGATGATGAACAGAGGTGTAGATGATACCATAAAAGAAAGAAAAGCTGTATAACGTCATGAAAAAAAACATATTTGAAAAGCAGTGACCAAATAGTAAATTATTAAAAAAAATAGATAATTACAGTTTATTATTTAATAACCTTTAGTATTTCCTGTGCAATTTCATAACTTCTCATTGTTTTTAGAATCTCTGAAATTGTGGATAAAGTATCAGTTTGTTTTGCTGTGTAGTTTATAGAATTTCAATTTCCGTTGTTTTACAGTGTTGAAGTTATTAGTAAAAAACAATAACATGACACACAATTCTTAACTTTTTTATAGTTTTTTGGAACTTGTCACATTAATACAGAATTAGCTTGATGTGTCATAAAATCTGAAAAAAAAAAAGTTTTCTTTGGGGATTTTGCCTCTGAACACCCTGCGTGCACCCCTCCACCATGACTAGGCTTTAAAAAATATACATTTAAGGCTGAAATGAAAATCCATCACCAGTACCCAGCTTAAATGGAAATGGTCTTCAAAATGAATTTGATTTGAACTGATTTTCTTTTCCATCTTGCAATGACCTTTGTGCTGCAGTGCTTGGTAGAAACCTTTAGGGTCAACAACTTTTTGGGTTTTCTGATTAATTGACTGTATTGGGAGGAGAAAGCCGTAAAGTTCCCTGCATACATTAATTTGATCCTTGTTTGTGTTATGCTATGGGAAAACTCTGTGTGTGTTTATTTGTATGTGCAGTTCAGGACTGTTCCCTCTGCTGGCTCATGCATCCATGTCAGTGAAGCCGGCTCTGTTGACTCTGTATGAGCGTTACTTCCTGCCCCTGCAGAAAGCTCTGCTGCCCAGCCTGCAGGCCTTCATCATGGGTTTGCTGCCCGGCCTAGAGGAGGGCCTTGAGGTTTATGACAGGTACACATTCAGCTTCTCGTTATGAACAGCATTTATTTTTGAAGTGGCCAATGGTGTAGACTGGCAGGCATTTTCTCATTGAGCAATCACAAGTAAAATCTAAACAATAGGGTTTAAGGCTAACAGTCCTCATCACTTATGTCTCTCTTTCTCTGTCTTTCCTTTAGAACGGATGCTCTGTTGTTGAAGTTGTCAATGTTGGTGGGTCAGTCAGTGTTTTATGGAGCTCTGTGGGGGTCTGTGCTCGTGTCTCCACTCGTGCGCCTCCCAGCTTCTCTTTTCATAGTCACACACTTCGACCGCATGGCCTCCAGCTGCGAGCAGAAATACATGCTGGGCACTGACCATAGACTAACTGTGAGTTTATGTGCGCTTGTTTGTAGTATTGTATATACCATCACACCACACCTGGTAAAGTTTTTTGGTATTTTAGATGGAAAGCACCTCATGGTCCAGGCTTCTAACTAACTCACTCAGTCAGAGCAGTTAGCTTTTGTTTGCATCATTGAAAGAGAGGAAACCCAACCTGTTGCTTTTGTACAATTCTGCATTATACATACTCTGTGTGCACAATTAAACTCAGGTCTCAGAAATGAATGCGCCTTAAATTTAGCTAAAATCACTAATTAGAAGGTGTGTTTGGACACTTCAGAACACATCATAGTGTATTTTGGGGGTTCCTGACCCAAATGCTTCACAAACTTCTCTATTACAGACATTTTGTGCAATATCTCTATCCGTCTCTGTTTTAGGTGAAGGCGATGTGTCTCTCTTTGCAGGACACTAATGTACTGGTCCAGAGAAACATGCTGGAGATTCTTCTCTACTTCTTTCCCTTTGCAACATGTCTGGTCAGTACATTTGACACATGTGACTTAAACTAACCTCCTGAAGGTGTTACTGAAGCTGTTGCTTGATTCCTAGTTTTACTTGCGGTTCCTGTAGGATCCTGAGAAGAGTGCTATCCCCCTGAAACGAGAAGAGATGATCACAGTGGTGTCTGCTGCCTCTCTTACTCTGCTCAGGAGGGACATGTCACTCAACCGCCGCCTCTATGCATGGCTTCTAGGTACCAAAAGCACACAAATGCTGTACACACGAATTAAAGAAAACACAGTGCAGGACTTCATATTGATTCTTACATGTGCACATTTTACAAATTAGTTTTGTAGCAGTCACTGACATCCTTATTTACAATATAAAGCCTTTAGATTTATAACTGAATAATAAGTCTGCAGTTTAATGGTTTAAGGGTAAATGGATGACATCTATTACATGTCATTTCCATATCCAGTTCATGTCCGTTAAGTACACATTAATAATTTTTCAGGAGATATTAGATATAAAATAATCCACTTGCATAATGAAGGGGGAAGTCAAAAGAAAATAAGTAAAAAGAACAGATTTCCAAAACTGGAGCTGAAAAATTTGTTCATAGATATAGAGAAAATGGGACATTTTACAAATTACATAAAGAAGCCTCATTCAGTGTGATGGGAATTTTTGCTTTGGATCCTGAGAAACAGAAAATGCAACCCACTTCTAAGACTGAACTTTTGAATATCTGAAGTTTTGGAATATCCCTGCAGATTACTTTGAAAAACTTAAAGCAGATCTCCCAGGCAAAGGGTGAACTGAATAAATGTTAAAACATTTAATTGTATATTTAGTTGTTCTTCTGTGTGATTTTCTGTTAAAAACACATTTCTGCTTGTGCGTGTTGTAAGGCCTAGACATTAAAGGGGGCATGGTGGCTCCAGATATGAGCCTGTATACGACAGTAGAAGAGCATACAGCATACTACTTCAACACACACTCCAGAGAACAACTGGTGCAGGTACTCTCTCCCTCTCTCTTTTTTGGTATGTGTGTGTATGTACATATAGAAAATTGTGTGTGTGTGTGTGTGTGTGTGTGTGTGTGTGGTATGGCTGGATCACCTAAAACTTCTCCTGAATTCTGTTATGATAGAATTCACACTCTTTTATAGACTCAGTGCAACTTTGACTCCTGCATGGTTTGCAGAGAATTCTTCTCTTGTGGTTCAGTCTACATTATGTACTCTCTCTGTGCAGGCCCTAGTTAATATCCTGCAGCAGAAGGACATTGAGAAAGATCTTGACAACATTTCAGACTACCTCAGACCATTCCGCATCATCATAAGTTTACTGGACAAATCAGAGATTGGTAAAGCCATGCACACATGCACACATGCACACATGCACAAATAACAGCCAGTGCCATCTCTTGCACTTGTTCTTGGACATTCTCTCTCTCTCTCTCTCTCTCTATCTCTCTCTATCTATCTCTCTCTATCTCTATCTCTCTCTACCTCTCATCTCTCTCTCTCTCTCTCTCTCTCTCTCTCTCTCTCTCTCTCTCTCTCTCAGGTCCGTTAGTGCTGTCTGATGTGCTGTTAGAGGTGATCAGGGCATTTTACAGTTACTGCAGAGAGATGCTGGGGGAGGACTCTCTTAACTCCAGTCTCTCCGGCAACCAGCTCAGCAGGTCAGATGAGCGACTGAATGAATGATAGGCAAATTAAGTAACTTCAGTTAAAGATGATACACTCACACCATAGTGTTCATATTATAAAACAGTGATGAATGTCTCTGTGTGAATAGAACCGTGATGGGTGCCAGTATTGTGAAATAAGCACATTTATGATTGTATTGTGTCTTTATTATTCTCTGTGTCTTGGTTTGTGCAGTAAAATCAAAGAGAACAAAAACGCTTCTGAGATTATAAAGACAGTCAATATGTTGGTGGGGGCCATAAGCAGTGAATATCTGTGGGACTACGTGACCAGACGCTTCCAGACATGCCTCAGGTACACACACACAAAAGCTTTGATTTCCCAGACAAGGATTAAGCATTCTGTATGGAGAGTCTCCTTTGAAAGACAAACGTTGTCCAAGACTTGGCTTAATGCCTGTCTAGGAAACCAACCCACGGTGTATCAAACAGCTATGTTTGAACAAAAGGCCAAACGCTCTCTCTTCTGTTGCGTTATACATCTATTTTCTTTGTGTCTATATATGTCTATAGAGATAGAGAGATGATGATGATGATTATATTTATATTAATTATTAATGGCCATTATTAGTAGTAGTACTAGTTGCAGTAGCAGCAACACCTTTTAACAATAGGAACAGCAGTATTAGCAGTTGTAGAAGTAGCAGTAGTAGTAGCAGCAGTAGTAGCTGTATAAGTAGCAGTGTCAGCAGCAGCTGTAGTAACAGTAGCAGTAGTAGTAGTTGCAGCAGTATTAGCAGTAGCACATAGCAGCAGTAAGCAGTAAATATCTTTTGTACTATTCAACATGCTGTTGTTTTCTGTCCAAAGTAAAAAAAAAACTGCCGAAAGTTAAGATGCATCTGAAGTTCAGATCCTAAGTCCAGTGTATATCCAGTAATTGAAATAGCAGTGTATGGCAGAGCTGAGAGCTGGTTTGTGTTGGAGGAGCAGCATCAGCCTTCTTCAAGCTCTAAGAGTTGAAATCAGATCTGTTTGGGCTGTCTTCTTGACTTGTCAAACAGTATATACTTATAGCTTAAGGAACTATTAACACAACTCTCACATATTTCTATGCCAATGAAATGTATGTAAATTATTATTTGGCCTTGAACAGTAAAGCTTTCAGTTAAACAAGAATTTTTCTAATAAAAACAGACTATAATTGATTTCCTGATCACATAATTGTACACCTTGAAAATAAAGGTATAGAAACACAATGTGTGATGATAATACTTCAGCCCTGCACATGTTTGAAGATACTACAACATGATATGAAGGCGCAACTCTTGGTTTGAAGAGTGTACCACTCAGGCTGAAAAAAAATATGGGGAGACATTGTTGAGGTTGTAACCGTCATAAAAAATAATGAAAATGATTACCATAAACTCCTATTTTTCAGTGTATTAAATGACCCAGCGGGGATGCCTCGCTCTAAAGCCTGGAGTCCTCCTCCATCTGTAATGGAGCTCTCCACCCTCATCATTTTCCTCCTGGATGTTATTCCTTTGGTAATTATTACTACGTGTGCATGACTCACTCTGTGTGATATGCTGTTGCTTGGTCATGTCTCTTTGTTTCTTACACTTCTGTTCAACAACATATTTGATGATAATTAAAACATTTCATTTTTACACCATATTTTTCTACTGTATTAGGAATTAAATGTTGAAAATTGTAAGGGCATATTATTTGAACCTTGAGTGGAGGCAGTTCCTTCTGCTTTTTTGCTCTGCTTTCATATTGATTCTCTTTTGTTTTTTGTCTTTTTTTTGTCTCCTTTTTCCTGTCATTTGTCCAAAAGGAGCTTTATGCTGAGATCCAGACGCAGTACCTGCCACAGATGCTGGGCAGCATGCTACAGTCTATATGCGCCTCTATGGCCTCTCTCAGCTTGCCAGAGCTCACACAGGCTCTGAGAGCATGTTTTAAAGTGCTCAGTAAGATCCAGATGCCAGTGACTTATATGGACATGGAGGTGGAGTCAAAGACACAGAACATGGAGAAAATGCAGGTATATTTTGTTATTTTCCACTACTAGTACAACTACTACTACAAAGCCAATTACAAAAAAAGTTGTGACAGAAGGTAAAATGCAAATTAAAATAGAAAGCGTTTTTTTTTAGAAAAAGTTTAAGAAATGTTGTAAAATGTTCCAAAAAACAAGAGCAAGACCGCAGCATTCGTTAAAAAGATGCTTCGGTAATAAATGTGGCCTCAGGAATACTTCAGAACACATTTTTCAGTAAACACCATCAGTTACTGCATACACAAATGCAAGTTAAAATGCTGAACCTGTATACCAACCACATCCAGAAATGTCACCGACTTCTCTGGGCTAAAGCCCATTTGAAAACAAAGGAGACCCCGAACTGTTGAGCAGCTAAAATCCTATATCAAACAAGAATGGGAAAACATTTCACTTTCACAACTACAGCAATTGGTCTCCTCACTTCCCAAACGCTTACAGAGTGTTGATAAAAGAAGAAGTTTAACATGTTTTTAACATGGTTTTGGCAATAAATTCAAAATGGGCATATATTTTTCAAAAAACAATGTAATTTCTCAGTTTCAACATTCAATATGTTGTCTTTGTAGTATTTTCCTTTAAAAATATGGTTTACATGATGTACATATCATTGCATTCTGTTTTTATTTACATTTCTGCACAGCATCCCACCTTTTTAAGAACTAGGGTTGTAATAATAATAGGTTGAGGTACAAATAAAATACAAAGGAAACAATCACTAAGACATCTGGCAGAATTTGGCAAACGTAAGTCAGAGTTCTGAAATAATGTAGTTAGAAGTAATCTGTAAACATTGTTAACATTTCAAAACATACCATTCACTGTCCTGTCTATATGGTCCATATGGAAACTATGTGGCTAAAACAGCCTCTTATGAAACCATTGTTTATGTGATGTCACAAAAACCAAGTAGTCAGAACAGTGCTTGTTTACATATATCAGTCTTAAAGGCACAGTAACGGAAACAGCCTGTTTAATTTTCAGGGAATAAAAAGAAGCTGGAAAATGGTCACGTAAGAAGGAATTATTTTTGGCTTGAGAACCATGCAAATGTTAAAGCATATTTCTTTAAGCATACTTTTTTTTAACAAAAATCAAAGACACAAAAAGATTAATACAGAGACTGAAAAATAAATACAATAAAATATAACTCCAGAAAAGCCATGATCCTTTTTGAATGCAATAGTAAATACATTAGTAGATTTAATTAGAAAAATGTATTTTTTTTCTACAAAGAAATCAGCCCTCATGTAGTGTAATACCACATTCTTACACTATCACTTATTATAGCACTTGTTTGTCTGCATACTAATTCTTCACTAGCAGGTGATGGCAGAGACCAAAAAAGAGGATGCTGCTGAGCAGGCTGGTGTTAATAATGACGATAGGCTGGCAGAAGAGGAAGTGAGTATGAATGAACAGGCTGCAGATGAGGCAGGACCTGAACCGGCCGTGTTTCCGCCCCTGCGCTCTGAAGACAGTGGATTGGGCCTTAGTGCCTCACCCTCTGAACAGCAGCTCCTTCCTGGCCATAATTCATCAAATTCAGGCGTGTGTACAGATGCAGAGAACATCTGGAGGAAAGCAGGGAACGTGGAAAATATGTCCAAATGCGTACAGGACATACTGGCATCTCTCATCACAAGGTGCAACACTACCCTTTCACATACAGTCGTAGGCAAATTTGGAAGCCCCTGGTCAAATTACATGTTTTGTTGATTTTCTAGAATAAATACACGTTCTCTATAGAGAACACACTTCTGCTCATTTTAATGCAAAGGTATTGTTAATCTACGGAATTTAACAAAATCCAGTAGATTAATTGGAATTTAACAAAATCCCAATTAATCTACTGGATTTTGTTAAATTCTGTAGATTAACAATACCTTTGCATTAAAATCAGCAGAAGTGGGTTTTCTATGTAGATTGATTGGAATTTAACAAAATCCAGTCGTTTAACTGAATTAATTTATTAATTAAAAAAAAAACTTTTAACATGTTAAACTCACTTAAAAATAGAAATTATGCACTAAAATTTGCCTACAATTGCCGTATTTGCATTTGTTCCCCTGTAGAGAATGTTAAATTATTTTTACTGTTAATTTTTTAACAAAACAAATTTGACCAGGAGTTTGACTTTTGCATGCAACTGTATTTTAGGATAAATTTGTTAAAGGATTTTATCAGATTTATTCTTTTTCCAATCTGATACCAGATATCTGTATCCTGTTACAAATTTATCCTGAAATATACCATCTCTAGTTGCCAACTAATCACTTTAAAGCTACACTATTGGGATAAAAGTATGTGGACACTCCTCCTAGTTATTAAATTCATTGCCAACGGGTGAATAAAATCAAGCCTATAGTCATGCAATCTCCATAAACAAACATTAGCAGTATTTCGAAACTCCCTCAAAACCCTATGGAAAGCCATCCAAGAATAGTGGAGGGTATTATAACCACAAAGGGGACAAACTCCATAGTAATGCCCCTGGTTTTGGAATGGGATTTCCAACAAGCTCATATAGGTGTGATTGTCAGGTGTCTGCATACTTTTGGCCATGTAGTGTACATTGAATGCTATTAGTTGTGAAGTATTTAATTTAACCATACTTCATTTGCTGACTAAAAATAAATGGAATGGGTCATATTGAAAGAGATTTTCAGTGTTAAATACCAGGGTGTCAAAAATGTTTGCAGTGTAACCAGCGCATCACCTGCAACCTGAACGGCCTGAATTAGAGTGACTTACTGCAGCTTTAACTGCAGTATAAGTTAAATGTTCTTTATATTATGTTCCACTACTATTGGTAGAGTATATCCTATAGACATTTAACATTTAACATTTAACCCTCCTTCCTCTTCTGTAGGCACCTGTTGATGGTGATGGATCCAGAGAAGGAGAAAGGCCAGGAGGAGACCACTCAGCCTGAGTCTCCGCGGGGCAGGAAGCGCTCTCCGTCTGGGAGCAAGGGCAGCCGAGAGTTGGGCCTGATCAAAGACAGACTGGCAGAGTTCTTCACCCCCAGCAAGCTGCGAATGCAGCCCCAGGAGGGTTGTGTGGAGGTTGTGGAGAGAGGTGCTGGGGCTGCAGGGCTACAGTGGCTGTCGGGGTTTCAGTCACGAGGAAAAGCTGAGATCACTGAGGCCTGCCGACAAGCCTTTACAGCTGCATGCCATTTGCTACTGGAGTGCACCACTTTCCCTGTCTACTACACAGAGGAGGAGAGCCAAGAGCTCCACAGCAGCATGTTCAACAGCACCACAAGTATTTGCACACCATAGAATCACTTGCCATATTAATATTTCTGGTTATTGTATATCTAAAAATAACTTATACTCTGTAGATTTAAATACACTACGTGTCCAAAAGTTTGTAGGAACCTGCTCATTCAACGCTTCTTCTGAAATCAAGGGTCCTAATAAGGAGTTTGTCCCTCTTTGCTGCAGCAACAGCTTCTGCTCTTCTGGGAAGGCATTTCACTAGATATTGGATCATTGCTGTGAAAATTTGATTCATTCATTTATTCAGCCACAAGAGCATGAGTGAGGTCAGGTACTGATGTTGGATGATTAGTTCTGGATCACAAACAATGCTAAAGCTCATCCTGAAGATATTGGTTACAGGTCTATCACTCCAGAGAACACAGATCCACTACTCCATAGCCAAATGCTTTATTACCTCTCTGGTCAAAACTTGGCATTGGGCATGGTGACCTTAGACCCGTGTGGCTGCTCCAGAGCATCCCACTCTATTGACAATGCTTTTCTATGGAAATTATGCTAAATAGAAGGGGTGTCTGAATACTTCTGGATATATAGTGTGTTATACATTACACACCAAAACGATATTACTAAATGTTTTGTACTAGTTGTTTTTTTTGGGGGGGTGGCAATTATTATATGATAAATAGTATACTGTAGTAATCTGTTTAAAGTATTTTTATCAATGTGCTCAATACTAGCATTATATTAGAGGTTTTTATACATTTGTGTGCATTGTTTGTTTTTTTTTTTTGTTGATTATTGGTGGTTACAAACTTTAACAATTATGTGTTTTTAGCAGTATACAGCATTCAGCTATTTAACACAAAAACTAAAACAAAAATTTATGGAAATTATTGAATTGTAAAACTGGTTTTCTTCTCAGGCAGTGAAGAAAGCACCCTTCCTGAGTGGCTGAGATCCTTAATGACGTTATGTTGCATTTCTAAAGACTACCAGGTACACCTAAACGAGGAAAGGCGAGAGCATTATTGTTAATTATTGTTAAGTTAATATCAGTGATGACTGAAGAGAATTGTTGTCACTTTAATCATAATTACTTCTCTCTACGTGAAACTGCAGGTGAATTTGTGCATGCTTGAATACTAGCATGTACACTGTAGTTTCAATACTGTTATGTGAAAGGGAATTGCACCAATCTTTCAAGTTTTCCATGTAGTTCAATCTTGTCATTCAGAGTGGTTTAATGTGAGTTGGTATTTTATAGAGAAATTTACAGACTTGGATTTCTTTACAGTGGTGCTGTATGGAACCAGGGGTTGTAACGTCTACAGCACAAATAGATTTTTTATTTTACTTAGTGTCAAAAATGACTAGTGAACCTGAGTTTTATTTGTAATAATGGGAAGATAGTGGTAGAACGAAAAAAAAAGGTTTTCTTTGGGTATTATTTTGTCCTACAACGCCCTTCATGTAACCCTTCACCACCAAATCTTAAAAAAAAAAAAACACACACAGTAGGCCAGAACTATCGAAATGTTTTAGGCAACAAACAGTGCATTTGTAACCATTTCATATAATGGCTTTCTGTGAGGTACCTTTCAGAGCCATTAAACGGTTTGGACATCTGGTTCCTATCACCACCACTATGAATAGTTTACATCAAAACACTCTAAATTTTAAATCTTAATGATATAGTTATGTACAAATTATTTAGTTATGGTACAGTGCGTGTATGGCATGACCGTGCTCTTGTGATTAACATTTAATTAGCATTTTGAAAATGTTTTTGCTTTTGTGCTTCTGTAGGTTCAGCATGTGGCGATTTCCTCCCTTCTTGAGCTGATAAACCACTCTCAGTCTCTAGCGCTAGTCATCCAAGACAAGAACCAGCGCTATAAGAGCTCTGAGGCCAACCCTCTGAGTGGACAGCTGCAGATGGTCACTCTGCCCCCCATTTACCCATCAGTGCTGAAAACCATGGAGCTGTGCACAGACTTCTATCAGGTGAGCTTTCTGCATTATGCTGGAAAGGAGACTGAAGTAAGAAATCCTTACTCACTGTAAAGTTCTGTCTAGGTTTGTCTCCTTCTCTGTTGATCAAACTCAAATGTCTTTACTAACATGAATTGAAATGAACAATATTTGCCAAATAAATCAGAAGATTTCATAGTGATGATAGTAATGTTGAGGAAACTGTGTGTATCCAACATAGAGGTGGCTGAGGATGCCATTCATATTTGTCAGAAACATAAACAAGCTCTTGTATCTCTCTTAAACACCTGCACAATTTATTCACATTTTAAGTGTTTTTTATTCCTCAGGTGACTGTATGTAAATTGTAATTAATCAAAAATGTTACATTTTTTCAAATGTGAACAATATTAAAATATAAAAAAATGTTCTGTTTCTGTTTTTATTTCTCCCTTCTATTTGTTGATGCAGTAATTATACATTCATCCTTCTTTTGGCTTCCAATATTCTTATGTCTCTCAGCGTGTAGCTCAGGTGCTGTGGGCTCAGTTGGACACTGAGCGCAGGGAGCATCACATCTCCTGTGTGGAGCTCTTCTATCGACTGCACTGTCTGGCTCCATCTGCCTCCATCTGTGAAGACATCATCTGCATGGCTTTACTCAGCAGAGACAAGGTGCAGTACTGCTCACATCACACACACACACATACCCTCACACATTAAAAGAACACAGTTTCTTTTTGCTTTACCCTGACAGTGTGCGTACATTTTACCCACAGGTTGTGCGTCTGGAAGCTCTCCACAGATTCTCTGTTTTGTGGCACCTGACACGAGAAGTCCAGACAAATCGCAGCACTTCTCTGAACCGCTCCTTTGACAGGTCAGACATGTTTCTTCAAACTAGCGCTCTGGACCAGAGATCAGTCAGTACATTATGCTGTATTAACAAGGTCTCGCCAATAGTCCAGTGTACAGGGAGATTCAAAAAAGATTCATCCAATTTCAAAGTGCTATATTTTTACACCCGTGAGGCACCTAGGAACAAATCACATATCAATTAAAAGAGGGGGTCATACAGTTTCTGACTGTCACTGGAGGATGGCTCCCTTCAGTCTGCGAGGAGATGGCGACCCCTGAGCAGAAAGCATTTTGTGTTCTCCACTTCAATAAGAGTGAATCCATCATAACTGTGATAACATAACATGATTTTCGTTGGCAGTGAACCTCTAACAGCTCAGAGCATTCGTCATTGGTTTCACAACATTGGATGATCTCCAAAATCGCATTGAAAGAGCTGTGAATACAGTGACACTCGACAAGCTCAATTGAGTATGGGGTGAATTTGACTATCACGTTGATGTTTTCTGTACAGCTGGACAAGGTCATATTGAGCGCTTGTAAAATAACATAATAATCTTTATGCTCACTTAAACCTTTTACAATTTCCTGCATTGTTCTGTAATGATTTACAAGTGAAATAAATCATTTTGAAATCGGATGAATCTTTTTGAATCACCTTGTATTTGGTCATGAGCAATAACCCAATGCTGATCTTTAGGCTGGCTTTACCCAATGAAACTTCATGCAACTAGGTGATGATGTGAATTGCCTGCACCATAGTCACTTGACAGTTAAACAAAGTAGTTTCATAAACAAAGCTGCACACAATACATTCAATTATTCCACTAGTCAAATTAGCAGCTTATATTTTTTGATATACTGTAACATATTCTCTATAAAGTCAACCGCAAGGTATGCTTTACATATTTGCGGCGTCTTTTTATCATCTTGAGATGTTTTTTCTGGCTGTCATTGCCAGTCTTTTTTTTCCCATATCTACATATCTGTCTTTTATCTATCTATCTAGGGTTCTTTGCAGTAATAGACTACTTGATGTCTCACTAATTCTGTCCTAGAAGCACAAAAGTCAAAAATGCTTTATAGATCAAGATAACAGCAGGATAACAAATTCTGTGAAATCAGTGGTTTGCATGTTTGTTGTTAAATGTGATCACGTGATGCGTTATTGGCATTTAGATTGGCTGTAATATGAAACTTGTTCCTGGTTGAGATGGTTGAGAGTTTCAAATGAGTTGCCGGATCCTTTACGTTATGGAACAACCAAACACCCATGTGCTGTGACATCACAACCACAACCATGTTGAGCCATGAAAAGTAGAGATTTTGATGTTATTGGCCCAAACAAATTGCCTGTATCTCAATTTATGGACTACATTCACAATTAATTAGATATTTTACCAAAACCTAAATTGAAGTTGCATGTAAGTTTCACCGTATAAAGCCAGACTCATGGGCAGTAATCCTTAATGGAATTCATGGAGAACAAGATTAGCCACATTTAGTTTACTTACAAAGGATTGATAATCTGATAGAATGTCACAGAGCATCAATAAGTTATTGTGATATTGTAAAGCAAATTTCATTTTGTTTCTGCTGTGGGTATCAAAGACTGTGTGTCATGGTTTAGATGAGTTGTTATGAATTGCTGAATGTTTGAGTGCTTCCACTATAATAATGACTAGTGGCTTGTGGTAATAATTGTGATACTTGCTATTTAACTCCATGCTCTCTCTGTCAGGTCTCTGTTTGTGGTGTTAGACAGTCTAAATAGCCAGGATGGCAGTGTGAGTGCAGCAGGGCAGAGCTGGCTGGTGCGGGCTCTCTCTCTCAGTGACGTAGTTCGCATTCTGGAACCCGTTCTGCTCCTGCTACTGGACCCAAAGACTCAGAGAACAGCCATTCAGAGTGTCAAGCACAACCTTTCAGTTGGTATGTTGTCAAATACTCCAAGACTGAATATGTATTATGTATTATACACTGTGGTGTGTCATCAGCCCCAGATGTCCATGATTGGGGAAAATATGATTAATGCTCAGTATGTCTGGGGTTTGGGGGTGTTGGGGGTAGTTCTGTGGGGGTTGTTCTGTCTCTTTTTGGAAGTTCAGAAAGATTTGATGCAGCTGCAGTTGCTGTATGACGACCACTGTCAATTGATATGGGAAATGTGCAATTGATCAGAGTAACAACACTTCAGCTTTGTTGTAGACAATGGTGCTTTGCATTATTAACATGTGTGTCCATGTTTTCACAGGCAATTTTAGTGCATTAAGCTGCAGAGACCGGTCTGGCACAAAGAGCAGTGGAGATAGCATGGCAATGCCGGAGGTCAGCCTGCTGAGTCACTTCATTGTCGTAGACCGAGAAGCCCTGTGGCTCGACCTGGAGCGTGACCCGGAACTTCGTGAAACACCGTCAAACTCCCCTGCCTTGTCCCGTAGCGAGAGTGAGGAGACTGAAGGAGAGGACGAGGAGCCAGATGTGGTAGAGGAAGAAGAAAGCGAGCACACAGAGTCAGCTGATGCCAGTGGTGCCCAGAACTCAACAGAAAACTCCAGTTCAGGCTCTGCCTCTTACCTACAAGTGGGCGTTGTCAATGGCAACATAGGGGAGGTGGGTGTAGCCAATGGCTTGCTGAGGGTGGACTCAGACCGCACCCAGGCCTCTGATTCATTATCCAGTGATGAGGATGATGGGCAGCTGGAAGCCCTGGCCAAGTCCCGCCTCTTAAAGCGGCAACGCGAGAAACAAGAAGCGATTGATTCGTTGTTCCGCCACGTCCTGCTCTACCGACAGCCGTACGAGTTCAGCAGAGTCCTGTACGCTTTCTCCGTGGTGGAGACGCTGGTCAGTAGTGGATCGACACCATTTGTGGAGGCGCTGTCCAGCACAGCTCTGGACTGCAGCTCCACTGCCCACCTCAACCTCATCCAGAATCTTCTACAGAGACATCGGCAGGCCCAGGAGGGGAGCGGATTCTATGGCCCTCTCCAAACCTCCACTCCTCCAGAACCCAAGACCACCGGCCCAGACCAGCCACCCACCTCTCCTCTTTCTTCACCCTTCTCCACCCCCTTCTCCTCTTCTACAATGTACCTCCTTGAGCTACTCACATCCCTCTGCCTCCGCTTCTTGCGATCCCACTTCCCATCTTATGCTACCATAAATGCCCGTCAACTACAGGCGAACCGAGAAGTGCAGGTAAAGTAAGAGTGGGCATTAGGCTGTCAAAATAACATTTGAATTTTCCTCAAATTTAAATAGAAAAACACACAGTTGGACATAGAAAATGTCCATTCATTGCTCCTAGTATGTTCCAGGTCACTTAGTTCTACAATTGGTAGAATATTTGACAAAGAAACAAGGGGAAGATTCTACTTTAATTTCTTAGCCTGGTCAACAGGCCTAGTGGGCAGTATGACATTATTATTATTATTATTGTTGTTATTGTTATTATTATAAATCTCCCTTTTTACTGTTTTTGAGCATAATGGCAGTACTTGTAGAACACTAAGGTTCTATTAGGGGTGATATATATTTTTTTATAGACCAATTATAGAGATCTCTCGTAAACAAAAAAAAAACAGTGCATAGTAACTGAAGAAGCTGATGACACTTTTTTTTATATTTTTGAAAAGCAGAACATTTAGGTGATGCTAGGCTAGCCCGATAAAATGTCTTTTATTACTTTTACTGCATTTGTAACCGTCTACAAGTGAATGTTTCTGTGTAATGCTTACCAGGAAGATTTAGTTCCTGTTTCTTCATTTTTATGTGTTTAGACACTTTTATGTGTTTAGACAAAAGCTGGTTTTCTGGTTAGTATTTATTTACTCAGACATAAGCAGTAATGTTTTAAATGTTCTAAATAATGTTCTAAAATAAACAGAAATAATATTGATACAATAAATATAAAAAAAAACAATATAAATAATTTTAATGAATAAGTGGTTAAAACAATGTGCTTATGTGCCTAAGACTTTTGCACAGTCTGTATGTACATAAAAAATGTTAAATATTAGAATCAGCCTAGAATTCCTATATCAGTGCATCCATAGTACTTGCATGTTTTCATAGCCCTTTTAAATGTGGCTCGTCTATTTCTGGCGCATTCTGTTTGTCATGAAAAGCCCTTCAAATGTCATGATGCTGTATCTTTACTTTCTTGCTCACCCTTAAGGTGAAGAGTGTGGAGGTGATGACTGCACTGGTGACACAGCTGGTGACGGTGGCTCAGCAGGCCCAGGCTGGTGAAACAGGTGGCATGGGCAGTCTAGAGACCATCCGGAACCTTTTGTGGGGATGTAAGGTGCAGAAGTATGTCCTCCTCTCACTCTCTGCCTCGATGTACACCTGCCAGCGTGCGGAGGCACCTGACCGAAACACAGCCCATGAGGAAGAGCATGGGGATGATGGTGGGGAAATATCAGAGGAGAGCCTGGTCCATTTTGGAAAAGATGGAAGCTGGGCTGAACACCCGCTCCAGATCGCCCTGCTGAAGCTCCTCAAGGTTCTTATTGTGCTGGAGCACTGTGTGTCTCTTCCACTGTCCAAAACCCAAGGGGACAACAACCACATCCTCCAGTCCAGAGGGGACGCCCCATCCTCAGCCCTGGCCCGAGAGTGGCAGACAGCCATGATGTTCCAGCAGTCCATCAAGGCCGTTCGCTATGTGGCCAGCCAGCCCATCACGGCGCAGGGCATGTTTGTGTCAGCCGCAGCCCGAGCACTGTGCCCGCAGTACGGCTTTGCTATGCATCCAGCCTGGGTGGCACTGCTCTGCGGGGTGCTGCCATTCCTGGGCCGCTCGCTGGCCATCATTGTGGCCCCTATCATCGCTCAGATTTGCAGGAACCTGGATGAGCTGGTTAAGCAGCATGAGCATGATGGCATCAAGGGTACTCACAGGTACTGAATTAATTAATTTCTATGTAAGCAATAAACTCTTATTTGGGCACAAATATAATCTCCACTAGTGTAATTTTTACAATCTAATATGATTATCTCCTTATGTTAAAATTGATATCAGTTAGAGGTTTCAGTAGTTTTAATTGGACAATGCTTTATTGACTCATGACTATCAATTATCAGTTTTCAGATGTTGGAGTTGTTAATAATGTGAGAACTAAACAAGACATGCAGGTCTTAATATAAATAGAATACAAGCCATTTATAAATAATTTAATGACTTCAAACTTGACATTAAAACAGTCAAAATAGCATGGACGTTTACAATGCTGAACTCTCGAACAAAAATGCCCTTGCCATACATCATGTTGTTCAAAATAGCATCACATTCCTGAGTGTGGTTTTCTAATATAACATTTAAAGCCACATTATCAATATTAACAGCAAGATTTATGCCTGTCAGTATATCTATGAAACCATAATATTGTCAGATTTTATCAGCCAAATGAAATCTGTGGGCCCTACTGAAAATGTGTTTCTGGATAAATCTGTCCCGATACAGCAATATCTTTAATTTTAAACGTGTTTTTTTATCCATAACTGAGTTGTGGCAGTCAATCCAGTGCAGTGCTATAATCTGCTAAGGAACCTAATATAACATGTTTGACTCAGAAATTGAATTTCTTCATGAGACATCGATTTGCTGGGTCTGGTGTTTTTGTATGTTAAAACTGAATCTTAATCTGAACCTGATCTTAATTGGGTTAGTAGCTACAGTTTTAAAGACTTGTTTTAACAGTGTGTCGATTGTGTGTGCAGCAGTAACCTGAAAAGGGAGAATATTGCACCTGACTATCCACTCACTATACTGGAGGGGCTGACCACTATCACACATTACTGCCTCCTGGAACATAAGAAGGTAAACCATGCATATATTAATAGAGGCTGGTGTTCAAATTAAGCACTATGACAGGGACAAGTTTCCATTAACAGACTAAAGTCTAGTAGCACTAAAAGAAGTACATTTTAAAACATTTAATGTTATTCACTTTACATAAATTACAAAATGATTACTGCTGACTGGAGTATGTGAATGGAGTGGAGCAGCAGGCATTTTCAGACTTTCAGCTTTCAGACACTGCTCCAGGTTTTCTATTTCCTGCTCCTTACTCACACACCAGAGAAAACCAGCTTCATCCATTCCATTCAATTCAATCTCATAATATGTATTTCAAACATTGAACGTATGGTCAAGACACTACATGCTACACACTTCAGTGTATAATTTCTGAATTATATCATTTATGGCTGTTATTTAACAAAAATCTATTAGGCTTTTTTCAGAGGTATAGGTGTGAAACAATGGCCCAATCAAAAGCCAGGAAACTGGTGAGGGTCCAGCACAGTGTTATGCAGTTGTTAAGCAGCTTAAAAGAAGTCTAATTACAGTGTAATTCACAATTTTAAATGCGTTGGCTGCATCCAGTGCTGCAGTGCTTAATTTCTTTGTTTTTTGTTTTTCCTTTTTTCTTTAATATTAGGGTGCGCTATTTTGAGAAAACCTATATAAGTGTGTGTGTGTCTGTGTGTGTGTGTGTATACATATACACATTTGTGCATGCAGTCTATATGTAAATTACAGTAATTTCATGTTCAGAACTAAATAAATATAATTAACAGTACGCCTACCAATAAATACAATGCCATAAAAATGGTACCTTATATTCGGCTGTAAATAATAAATGATGAATGATGATGTAAATAATAAATGATGAATGATGAAGTAACAATACTTTTACATGAGCACAGGACTACATAGCTCACCTAAAGTCTGTTATATAAAAGGTGATTGGTCTCTCTTTATGTAGTCTGCAGGCTGTGATGCTACAGACATGCGAAATGCATGCAGTGCCATTCTGGAGGAGTTCCCACATATGATCAGCACCATGGCTATGCTATGGGGTGTAGTGAAGGGTGCAGACTCCAGCCACAGCAGCAGATCATCCCCCACCTCTGTCTATTTCAAAAGCACAAAGGCAAGTTCAGTTTTCCAAGTGAGTTTTTAGTATGTGCTAAACTGTTTGTCCTACTGAATAGTTTTATAAAAAACCTGGTAAAAAAAAGTTGCTTCTTTAAATTGCTCTTGAATTTAATCACGTCCTGTACTTGAGTTTTGATTAAGATTTCTGGAACTGTTGTAACCTGCTCACACTGTGTTGTATGCTGTGCAGATCCTGAAGCAGAAGGTTTTGGCGTTTCTGACTCCACTGACTCAGCAGTACGGACCGCAGGTCATGGCATCTGTGGCTGCTGTGTGGAACAGTAGGCGAAGCCGAAAGAAACGCTCAAAAAACAAGGTAAAAAACTCTATACTGATTGACATGCCTATAGACCTATGAAGTCGTGTTATTCTGTAGTCAGGGTCATTTCTATATCAGCAGCTCTGGGTCTAAGCTGGATTTCTCTATGGCAAAAATGAATGTGATTTTTAAAATTGTAATTGCCATTATTGCATCCTGTGGCGCACAAAAAGGTTCCAAACCTGATATGTTTTTGTCCTACGTAAATTACCACACTTGGTGGTTTGTTTGGGGTGTTTTTACCTCATAACTCTAGGATCCGGTAACATTCACTGGGAAAATGTACAACAGGTAAAACAGGTTTGAAACCATTTAGTTCCAAGATAGCAGTGATTTTAATATGGGCATGACGTTGACCACAAAATGACAACATGACTTTAGTGGTCTATTGAGATCATACCTGTAAAATTAATGAGTTTGGTGACCTTTTTAGAGTGAGGTTTGTTCCAAACATTCTGTGGCAGACACTGGAGTAAATAAGCTTTTTTCTGTGTCTCTGGGTAGATCCTGCCAGTTGCCAGTGATTCCCAGATGACCATAGTGGACTTGGTGAAGTCACTGAATACACTCCACACTGACGCTATTTTACATCTAATCAAGGAAGTGGTGAAGAAGCCCCACCAGATCAAAGGAGACCAGGTATACAAACACACATATTTACTGGGGGTCGAGCGATAATCTGAGCCAATATTCAACATTTTTCTGATTATCAGAGTCGGCATTTGAACTTGCTTCCCCAAAGATAAAAGTGCTTTTTGTTGTTTATGCACATATCTGATACAATCATGATAAAAAAAAATACATACACTGAAAAGGCAAGCTCTGCTCCTGATGTGTGCCATTTTAACACACTCGTATTCTTACACTCATGACTCGTACTATGTATTAAAGATAAAAAAGTAAATATAATATACTTATATATTTTTTAATTTAAAGTTTTTGAGCCCTCCATTTTTCTACAAACGTCATTTACTAGTAAATGACATTGTCATTAAGTTAAATTTTTATCTGTTTAAAGATAACTTTAGAATTTTCAAATTACTTTTTTTGTACCCTTTTCTGTCAATTGGCACTTTATTTTTAGAATGTTCTAATATTCATTATAATGAAATAATATAATGAAAGCTGTGCGTAGGAATTTCTTTCAAATTTCACACTACAAACATGAAGTTTATTGGCCCCTAATATTGGTTGTTGGTGTCCCGATTACTAATAATCTGTATCTGTATCTGTATCAGCCCTGGAAAAAAAACATATTGTACTTACTCTATTGGAGAAACGGAACAGCGTTCTTCCAAAAGATCCCTCAACTGTTGTTTTGATAATGGTCTTGGAGAACACTGTCAAGCATGGTGTCTAGAATCTTCCGTAGGTGTTCATAGATTGAGATCTGATGACTGTGAAGGGCTTAGCCATACATTCTCAGGGACAGGGTCCCAAGGGGGAAAAAGGGCAAGGTCAGTGTGTATTTAACTTTTAATTTAATGCATATTGATAGAACTCTAATTGATAGAGACTGTGTAATCATGTTTAAGAAGAAGCCGAAAGTAGTGTTAAGATGGCAGCCAGTAACACAAGCTTTCGTGGTTGTGCAGAGCTTTAAACCACAATTTTCCAGGAAGCAATTTGGTTAACATGGAGTGTGTTAAGAGCCATAAACTGCAGCATTACATCTGTGTTTAAAATTTCCATGAGTCCATGTTTCACAGAAGCATAAATTTGTGTGTTTTGTGATAACAATCAAATAAAGACTTGGTTTAGCAAGCGCCCCTAATCGCCATTTGTTTGGTTAATGTTCAAAATAACCACGCTGTGTGCTTTACTGACGGAATATCTAGCATGCATCCGTGCCTGTGTTACTGAGGGGAAATCTCCACAGGCTCTTGTACTTGACCAGAAGGGGCGCTAAAGAGGGATGAAGGGGCGAAGCTAAGATGAGCCTGGCTGAAACGGATCTTGAAGAATGCAGTTCGATAACTTTGTACTGATTTGCAGTCTTCCCTCTAAGGGGACAAGTGGGCACGAGCAGTGCCAGAAAAATGCCCCCACAGCATAACACTGGGTTTCTCATTATAGAGGCCAATCATTCAGGCCTATACTGTTCTCTTGGGGTGTGCCACGCATGCACTCACCCACTTGTATAGAATATGGTGAAGGATGCTTCGTCTAACCATATCGCTGTGTTACACAAGACCAGTATCTATAGTTTTTTACACCACTGAACTCTCAAATATGAATTCATCTTTGTAATGATGCACTGCAACCCTACTATAATATCCCTCTCTATGTATTTGTGGACAAACTATTCTTGCTGACCCAGCCTGATAACGTCCTGCATTGACACTCACCTGAGGAACATTTACTCTGCTGTTCTTTCTTTTGCATTGCACTAATGCACAAACATCACTGTCATTGAATGGACAATTTCAAACTGCATTTGTTCATTTTTCTCTCCCTACAGCAAAAGCCAACTTTAGTGGATGTTCCTATGCTGCAGTTCTGTTATGCCTACGTTCAGAGGTAGCCCCCACCCAGCCCTCTTCCATCTGTCAGCCTCTTTCGCCATCTTAACTGTCATAACTATTGCCATGTGGTCTATCTAGCTATACTTAACCTAATCCTCATGATTCATGTTTCAGTTAGGAGTGTTCTCTCCGGTATTATACATGTTCTGTTGATGTCTTCTGTGCTCTGTTCATAGTCTTCCCGCTCAGGCCCTTCAGGAGAACATCATGCCTCTCCTCTTTCTGCTCAGAGAGTCTGTGCAGCTCAACCTTGCCCCACCTGGGCACTTCCTGCTCCTGGGGTGAGTCTCCATATTGACAGATTACCTTCCTGTCAAAAGCTAGCTGTTTGTGTAGCCGTATCCTGTTTACCATCCAATACTGTCCAGAAGTCAAAGACCACTCTTCTATTTTAATTTCCATTCAAAATGCTAATAAAGCAGGTTGTTCATTTTGTTCAGTTTTGTTCTTACTTCGATAAGGAAGAGGAAAGTCAAAACAAAAATTTAGTAAAAGGTGTATCAAAAATGGGATTCAACCATGCAAGTCCTGATAAAACCTCAACTGTTGCTTCAGATTTGAAAAAGTCCACAGGCTTTTCTGGCCATTCTTCATTAAGTCTCCTGAACAGAATAGAAGTAAAGGGTGGACACACTTAATACTGATAAATGACACCATATTTGATACTATATAAAATGATGTGTAATTTCCTGTAAAATATTCGTATGCTGCTTTTTTCTAATGCTGAAAAATGTAGAAGTTATACTTCATGGTCAGGAAGTTAAATAAATAAAGGGGGGTCCCTAATTTTTACATGGATGATAATGCTCTATATTTGGTGTCAGTCGTAGTGTCCTCTATAGGTATTGTCTGCTGGTCCACGCAGGTATCTGGTCCAACCATAAATTTTGCATCATTGTCCATGAATGTAGCTTGATTTACACTACAGCTTAAAGAGTTTTCAGTCATCGTTCTCAGATTTTGTCTATGCAGTCATGGAATTCTATTCTGTCTTTTTTCCACACAGAATCCTGAATGACTTTGTTAATAGGCTCCCTAACATGGACAACAAAAGAGATTGTAGAGACCTGCAGGTAAATGCTGATGCAAAGAGATACTGAGAATGACTATTATTAAAAACCTTATTCCTACTAACAGTTTGAATTATTTTTCATCACTGTAAATGCATTGTTGACATTATAGAAACTGCCAAGGGCTGTTATTCTTCAACATGGTTGTTTCTTTGGCAATTTGCCCCAAACAGGAAGTGACCCAGCGTATCCTGGAGGCAGTAGGAGGTGTGGCTGGCTCATCTCTGGAGCAGACCAGCTGGCTGAGCCGTAACCTGGAAGTGAAAGCTCAGCCTCAGGTCAGCCTGCAGGAGGATGAAGAGGAGCCTGAAGGCAATGACTTCTATGGTATAAATGCACACATACACATACTGTACAAGTCATGTTTTGTCCTAAAGACCTCATTATGAACATTATAGAAAGCAAAAGTAGCACTTTCTGCTGGTATGCTAATCATATCCACTCCAAATTTAGCATAAACATAAACATAAAACACTGATTGGGGGAAAAATTATTCAAAGACCGAAAATTATTATTATTATTATTATTAGAACTTTGTTACAAAACAGTTGTTGGCCATTATAGCTTTAAGACATCTGTGGTGAAAAGCAGCTCGCTTTTTGCAGCGTTGTGGGTTCAATTTTGGCCTGTTCCTCTTGGCAAGCCATCTTCAGTCCCCCAAGGTTACGAGGGTCCCTCTGAACTAATACAAGGTCAAATGTATTTTATAATGACGCTGTGTGCAATGTGCAGTAGAACCTTCAGCATTAATATCTAGAAGGTTAACATTTAAACCCATCTTTATTTATGCTTGTGAATTCGTAGTTTTTTTGTTCACATTTGTAAGTCAAAAGAGTTTGAGCCAGGTTCATAAAAGTGGCATGAAGATCAAATAACGCGGCCGTAACACATTTGTTAATTCACAAACGAAGATTACCGGCGAGTTTTACCGTTTGCATGACATGAGTTGCGGCTGCACGTTTCCTTAATTTAAATATGGTGTTTACAATTCATAACACAGCACACTGCTGCAAAAAATAATACTTGAACTGCACTGACTGTAATTTTTCCAGTAAGAAATTGCTGGATTAAATAATATTTTCTACAATGTTTCCAAACATGTTTGGTCTCACATGCCACAAATCAAACATACAAAACACTGATTAACTGATAAAAAAAGACATGCTATGATCTGTTTGGACTATCACTTCTAACTGCTGATGTAGGAATACAGAGATATATATAAAATATTTAATATATATTTATATATAAATAATATTTATTTATTTTTATTTTTTTATTATTATTTTTTTTAATGAAAAGTTACAAGCATCTATACCAAATAATGTCATATTGTTTGTCTCCATTTCTTCCCTTAAAATTCGTATCCGTTTCGGAGAATTTCGGTGTGCTTTGTTTCTGTGTTTTCGTTTCTTTTGGCAGCCAACCAAAGCTTCGCTTGGCGAGTCTTTAATATGTATGATCTTATTTACATTTTGACTTTGATTGGCTCTTGCTTGGGACACAAGTGAAAAGACCACCGCATTAAAGACACCGGCGTTGTAATCACTGCCACAGTGATTACAGTTCTCGTAGTTCTCGTTTATTGTGCTGTTAGTGCAGAGTTTTATGAATCTGGCCCTTTATGTGTGTAAATTTGAAGTGAATATTTGCACTGGAAGTTTATTATTTACAAAAACAAACATGTCTAAATACTTGTTTCACCCCACTCTATGAATGTTGTCTGTCTCCCTCTTCCTCGTTTCCTTTCAGAGTCAGTTGGCCAGGGCAGTGCTATGGTGTCATCCTCAGCTCCATCTGTGTTTAGTGTACAAGCACTGGCCCTGCTGGCTGAGGTGGGAGTCCAATACACACACATACACGAGAAACACAAGCACAGACGAACACCAGAAACACACCAGTAACAGCAAATGTGTTTGTCCTGCTCCAGGTACTGGCCCCTCTGCTGGATATGGTGTATCGCAGTGATGAGAAGGAGAAAGCTGTTCCTCTCATCTCTCGCCTCATGTATTATGTCTTTCCTTACCTGAAAAACCACAGGTAACTATAACCGTGGAGAAGATTCCTTGTCAGAGCTTAAAAAATGAAATGCAGTACACAGATGACCTTACTTTCATTAGTGATGTGTGAACATGTGTGAAACTGAAGAGCAAAACCTTTGTTTTGATATTACTTGATCTCTTTTTTGAACAACATTGAGCATTTAGTACTGAATTCGATTAAAGACTGCATTGTGTCAGAAGAAATTTACTGTGAGGTGCTTTTAACGTTGTACAACTAATTACTAAGTACAGTCCTGTGCAAAGTCACAGAGGAGAGGAGACCACTCTCCGTTTTTTTCATTTCCAGTCAAAACGACCATTATGTACAAGCTCATTTTTCAGCGTCAGGAAAAAGGCAGGTAACATATTTAACAGAAAATTAGACAGAAGCCTCAGCCACTAAACATTAAATCAAAATTTTCAGTATTTAAAGCATCTGGCCTTGGTCTTTATTACAGCTTCCATTCTTTTCGGGACAATTGCTTTCAGTTTCTCAAAGAAATCTACAGGGATGTTTTTGGACACTTCCAAAGTCTTAGAAGTTCGTTACATTTTCGACTTCTCACAATAAGCTCAATAACAAATTTAGACTCTTCATTCCACAAAAGCTTACTCCACATTGAGTTTCAGTGTTCTAGTGCCGTTTTCTTCTTCTTCTCTACTTTTTTTGTCTTTTCCCTATCTCAGTAATGACTTCTTGACAGCTTCACATCCATTCAGACCCATAGTGTTGGGTTGTCTTCTCACAGTGGAAGAAACACCTGTGGACTTTTTCAGATCTAAAGCAAGAGTGGACCTTCACCTTTTCCTCTCTCTCAAAGATGAAAGATTTAAGTACTATTTATATGATGGTGAAAGTTTTGGTGGTCTGTCATGGTTGGAGGTAGTTATAAGTTTTTGAACACCAGTTTTGGAAACTCCTGTTTTTTCTACTTACTTTATTTTGACTTTCTTTATACAAATTGACTGTCTGTTATATCTGATTTCCTCAGAATGAACTTGTACCTAATGGCCTTTTTGATAGGAGATTTAATAAAAGAAAAGCAGCTCTTACTGATTATAACCAGCAGAGGGCTGTGATTAGACAGTGTGGCACAGTTAATTATCAGCACTCTTGATAGAAGACAACTCTGCAGTCATATGAAGAAATGCAGAGATGTACCTAATAATTGAATAATGAAGAATTTCTTATTTGTGTGTTGCTAATGAAATTCTCCTCGTTGTGTGAATGTATCTGTCTGTCCGTTTGTCTGTTTCTGTCCACCCCTACCCCCTCACCCGCCTACTCTCAGTGCCTATAACATGCCCAGTTTTAGTGCGGGGGCACAGTTATTGAGCAGTCTCAGTGGGTATGCGTACACTAAACGCGCCTGGAAGAAAGAAGTACTGGAGCTCTTTATGGACCCTCTGTTCTTCACCATGGAATCATCTTGCACCTGCCAGTAAGACTCATTCCATATATTACTTGTTAGATTCAAGCAGTTGCTGAATGTTGCATTATTTTGCATTAAGTTACGGTATAATAAGGCTAAAGATTAATAACTGTATGATAAGCCTGAATTTTAAGGGGTTAAATATCCAGATCTTGATTATGAATTTCATAAATTTAAGGAATCAGATTTTTCATGTTTTATGCCAGTATGTGTTTTAGAATGCACTCAAACAGAAATCGCAATTTTCTCATAAATATATATTTTTACCTTTTTAGCTGGAAGTCCATCATAGATCATCTGCTTACTCATGAGAAGACCATGTTCAAGGATTTGATGAGTGAGTACAATATGTTTGTACGTACTGATTTTATTTGTGTTTGCGTATTCGCATCCTCCCTGTATACGTAGGTAATTCTGTATTTCTACAGGCATGCAGAGCAGTTCTCTGAAGCTGTTTAACAGTGCTGAGCAGAAGCCCATGTTGCTTAAGCGCCAGGCCTTCGCCATGTTCAGTGGAGAGACAGACCAGTACCACCTCTACCTGCCTCTTATACAAGGTACTACTGTGAGGATTTGCTTCCAGGAGAGTTCCTGTTAGTGTGGGTATGTTTTGCAAGTGTGTTGACTTGTCCTGACATTGCAAGTGTCTTGACATTGACTCTGCATAGAGTTGTCTTATGTCTGTCAAACACAATCAGTAGGATCTTTATCAAATGTTGAACATTTCATGATGAATGGACCAGTAGGTATAGTACAAAGTTGCTCTGAATAAAATTATAATAATAAGTTATAGGTAAAAGGTAGGTACTGTTCTATGAAAATAGAAAGATGGGCAATGTATATTGTTATTGTGAGAAATATAAAGGTGGGCAAAATATATTCTTATTGTGATCAATCATATTACAATATTTCACAGTATCCTTTTCTGAGCATATCACAGATATCAGTACTTACTTCAGTTATATTTAGCACAGCATGGTATGCACAGTGTTGAATACAAATCTTTGTATTCAGAGTTTTTTATCCTATTTTTAAACATGACACTATTTGTTCTTACCAAATTTCAGAAAAAAAAAATGAACATGGTGACATCATCTCTAGTATCAGTCTTTACTGTGAATACCAGTGTTTAATGTGGAATGGTGTACATTACCTGAAGACGGCAGCACAGTACTGTGAAAAAGTTTTAGGCAGCCATGAAAAAGGTTTAAAAAATGTATCTTGGCAGTGTTTGTTTTTGTATGAAAAAACACTATATAATTATAGTGTATGTATGTATATATAGAATTATAACTATCATTTTAGAATCGATAAACAAACACAGCAAAAAAAAAGAACTTCTTGTTTCTGATGAAGTTATTAATACACTATATTGCCAAAAGTATTCGCTTGTCTGCCTTCACACGCATATGAACTTGAGTGACATCCCATTCTTAATCCGTAGGGTTTAATATGATGTCAGCCCACCCTTTGCAGCTATAACAGCTTCAACTCTTCTGGGAAGGCTTTCCACAAGGTTTAGGAGTGTGTTTATGGGAATTTGTGACCATTCTTCCAGAAGTGCTTTTGTGAGGTCAGACAATGATGTTGGACGAGAAGGCCTGGCTCGCAGTCTCCGCTCTAATTCATCCCAAAGGTGTTCTGTCGGGTTGAGGTCAGGATCTGTGCAGGCCAGTCAAGTTCTTCCACACCAAACTCGCTCATCCATGTCTTTATGGACCTTGCTTTGTGCACTGGTGCGCAGTCATGTTGGAACAGGAAGGGGCCATCCCCAAACTGTTCCCACAAAGTTGGGAGCATGAAATTGTCCAAAATCTCTTGGTATGCTGAAGCATTACGAGTTCCTTTCACTGGAACGAAGGGTCCGAGCCCAACTCCTGAAAAACAACCCCACACTTGGCACAATGCAGTCGGACAAGTAAGGCTTGGATGCAGCTGCTTGGCCATGGAAACCCATTCCATGAAGCTCTCTGCGCGCTGTTCTTGAGCTAATCTGAAGGCCACATGAAGTTTGGAGGTATGTAGCGATTGACTCTGCAGAAAGTTGGCGACCTCTGCGCACTATGTGCCTCAGCATCCGCTGACCCCGCTCTGTCATTTTACGTGGTCTACCATTTCGTGGCTGAGTTGCTGTCGTTCCTAATCGCTTCCACTTTGTTATAATACCACTGACAGTTGACTGTGGAATATTTAGTAGCGAGGACATTTCACAACTGGACTTGTTGCACAGGTGGCATCCTATCACGGTACCACGCTGGAATTCACTGAGCTCCTGAGAGCGACCCATCCTTTCACAAATGTTTGTAGAAGCAGTCTGCAGGCCTAGGTGCTTGGTTTTATACACCTGTGGCCATGGAAGTGATTGGAATACCTGAATTCAATGATTTGGATGGGTGAGTGAATACTTTTGGCAATATAGTGTATATTGGATAGAAGTGTTCAATTACAAGAACACAGGTTTGTGTTTCCTGATTTCTGGCTGCACTCTAGTCATTGCATGTATTTGTTAAAATCAATCAGCACTTCATCTAATTAATTTAATTAGAGATTGATTATATACACTACTTAATGGGTGGTAACTGTAATTACTGGACTTCTTTGAGGAGAGGTCTAGAAATAAACACACTCACATGCATCAAATCACATTATATACGTTTTTTTATTTGTGTATATTCTAATGTTTTTGTTTTTAGAACAAATAAACACTTTCTGCACAGATTCATTACTTCTGCATATCATTTTCTCATATGCCTGAGAAATTGGCACAGCACTGTGTATATCTATAGGACACCAAATTTTAAGCTAAGTTTAATCAGATTCATTTTCTCTCCATTTCTTCACACTCACACACACGCGCACACACACACCAGAGCGTCTGACTGAGAACCTGCGGGTGGGGCAGACTCCAGCAATGGTGGCCCAGATGTTCCTGATGTTCCGTGTTCTGCTGCTGAGGATTTCTCCACAGCACCTCACCTCCCTTTGGCCAATCATGGTCACTGAACTGGTGAGACACCCACATCCTCTATACTTTGTGATGTCAGATTATGATGTCCTCTCCTGTATTTGTTTTAGTCTCTGTTTATTTGATCACTTCACAAGTTCTGTTTTTGTCTTATTTAAGCAAAAAATAGTCACTGATGATTTTTATGTTTCCCACTTGTAGATTCGTATTTATACCAGGCTTGAGAAGACTCTGCTGGAGGACAAAGAAACTTCCAAGTGAGTCCTGAGAAAATCAACAGAATGCAGCTTAACCTAGGGTGTGAAATCTTTTGCAAAGGACTGTACATCTAAATATCTTTTTCCAGAAGAAATCAGTCACTTTAACATTGACCAGATTTGCTCATTTTCCCTGTATCTGTAGATTTGTAGAGCCTATTACTAATATATGATTTTTGATTATCTACATTACATGGCATCCAGATAGAACCTGCATGAAAATGTCACTATTACTATATAAAAGCAACCAGAAAAAACTGTACCGTTTATTTAAATCAGATTAATAGTTTTAGTTGTAGAAATAAAAACAATCACAGCATATATTAGAATTAGTACATGATATGGTTAGAAAATAATTTACAAGGATGTTGTAAGCTTGCATTCATCTACAGATATAATTATGGAAACATGAATGAAATGTGAATAGAACAATGGTTTTTAACTTCTGCATATAAAAAACAAGTGTCTCACATCTGTACTGTACACATTTTAGTTTTACCTGACACTAAAACGTTCCCCAACTAAACTAAATCTAACAAGAGTGACAACTTCAGTAAATGGTCTTCTGAATCTCTTAAATGATTGTTTAAAATGTTAATAATCCATGCTGATTGGATTGATAACAAACCAACAGAACATCCAACAGAGCACTGAATACAACCCTTAGCTACATTTGCTCTGAGTTTCTGTGCAAATTGCAAGTGCTAAATGGAAAATGCATAACAATATAACAGTTTTTGCTGCCTGGCAGCTTGTTTCCCTTTCACCCATTGACATGCTTTACATCCTTTACAATGATGTCATTTCCAGTGTAGGTTTTCACATCATTTCAGGTGTTGACAAATAATTGATCCACTAAATTTGAATGGACCTAAAAACTAGCACAAATTTCTGTTTCTTTAGCTTACGTCGGCAAACATTTGATGCATTAAAACATTTAAAACATAAAAATTCTTTTGGTGAAAAAAAGTTCTTTTTTTGTGTTTCAATGTTCTTCGAGGTTAAATAAAGGTTGATTGATTGATTGATTGATTGACTGAAAGCTTTACACACTGTAAAAAACCTCTCTCTCTCTCTCTCTCTCTCAGGAATAAACGGGGCAGTCAAGAGAAGAATGGTCTCCTGATGTTTCCGCAAGCGGAGCTGGACATGTATCTTTCGGCCTGCAAGTTCCTGGACACTGCTGTGTCCTTCCCCCCTGAGCGCATGCCTCTCTTCCAGTTGTGAGTGACTACACAGCCGGAACTGTACCACTCTGTGTGTGTGTGTGTGTGTGTGTGTATGCACAAGTGTGAGCCCGTTTGATGAAGTTTTAGGTTTTGTGTCTTGGCTAGTGCCCTGTGTTTGTAGGTTTATGGATGTTTATGTGTGCTGCAGGTATCGCTGGGCATTTGTGCCAGAAGTAGATGTGGAGAGTTATGAGGGGCCTGGGACCACTCTTTTGGAGGGAGAACAGGAGTGTAAACCTCATGTGGTCAGAATACTGGAAGGACTTCATCACCGTTATGGGGTAAACACATGCAGACCTATTTAAAAACATTTGAAAGTGCAGGTGAGTGCTGAATGGTAAATACAGCAGTAGAGGGGGATTTAAGAATACAGCTTCCCCTAAAATTTCATCATACCATGGTAATGAAATGGTTGACAACACGTCTGTATTGCTCATAACTCACTGCTGTTCAGTATTTTTTGATGATTAAGAAGTGTGAAATATGTACTTTATATCACTGCAGTCAGGCGCTGTTTATTTTAATGTGAGCTACATTTGATAGTACAGTCTGCATTAATGTGTTTGAAGATCAATACTTATTGGACAACAGGCTTTTACAGTGTCGTTTTGGGACCCGTCTGGACACTGTGCTTCACTGGGAGTCAGTGAGGCTATCGCAAGTGCTTTTTGCCTGTGAAAATTGTCTGTAATGTAGTGTAATGTAGTTTCTGTCCCCCCTGGACAGGGCTGGCAACAAACTGCCAACAGAGACACTGTAATGTGCCTGCTTGACGTCTTCTCAAACTAAAAATAGTGATAAATTCAAAAACTAGCATTGGCACCGCTGGCTCTATAAAGCTCACAGCTGTTTTTAGTCTTTTCCAGTCGCTATCTGGAAAACACTGTGAATAATTAATTGTAAATACAGAGTTCTGAGTTCAGTCAGTTCTTTAATTTGCTTAGTTAACTCTTACCAGTACATCGCTTGGTAAAGTTTGTAAGCGTGTAATGTGTCTGGTGTTATTCAGCAGCTACAGCTGCTTTTTAATGTAGCAGGCAGACGTTGCTAATGTCAGCCTTATTGTAGATCAATACCTAGAAAAATAGTTTGCATTCAAAAGTTTATTCAGTTGCACTAGAATAAAATCCATTTGGTTGCAGATAAATATATAAAATTCTTGCTAGTCTTATGCACATCCACAGGATTTAAATGAGTAGGAAAGAATCTGAAAGAATCTGAAAATCTGAAAAAAGAGGAAAGCCAGTGTTAGATTTGTCTGAAATTACATTAAGAATGAAATTATTATAAATCAATATCCAGAATGCCTTGTGTGTCAAAAGCAGTTCTCAAAAAAGAAAATAATTTTTCCGTAAATAATTCTTAAAAGATAATTACACTAAATTGTTTGATTAATTTGGAATTTCTTATTGTTCCCTTTTGAGTAAATCTACATTTTATAAGATATTATTGAATATAAAATAATATTTATTTAAAATGGCTTCCAAACTTTGAAGTGGTAGTGTATGAGTATTACATTTTTTGTCATTAAATTATTGCAGCCTTTACTTTTCCTGTGTCACCACAGACATAAAGTCCTGTACAGAAGTATTTGGCCAACTGAGAAATGTATGAATTTAACAGCATGCAAAATAAATACTGATAAATTTAAATTCAGTAAATAGTCATTTTTGTATGTCAGTGTTAGGCTAACCATTTCCAAACTTCTCCTTGAGGCAATTTACACTATTTACACTTGCCATCAGTTGCCTGCTTCTTTATACTTTATACACTCTCAGAAATAGAGGTAGTAAACTGTCACTGGGGCAGTACCCCTCTTGTCACTAGGGTGGAACCCTAGGGTACATCTCAGTACCTTTAGTAAGGGAACATAGTTGTACCATAATCCATTGAAATGATTTTCTAAGTTGTATTGACTCCACATACCCTGTCTCATCTCCAGGCTTTTTATTTTATTGTTCTGTTTTAAAACATTAGGTTATGAAAAGGTACAAACCTTACCTGGGAAAAACGTACTTAAGGTACACAATTGGACCTTAACACCACTGTTGTACCTTTGAAGTACATTTACATGGTTTGTAGCTTCATGAATGGAAAATGTACCTGCACAGAACCTTTATTTCTAACAGTGTAGATTAACTTATGAGACTGTTATAAGAATATCTCTAATTTATGAGATGTTAGATGAGTTTTAGAACCATGTTTAACATATACGTAATTTTGTGTTACTTGTTTAACTCTGATGCTCTTTACATTACTCATTTTACATGACATTTTATCAAGGGAAATTGTTTTATTCTATTGGCAAATAATTTTGCTACGTTCAAGACATAATGCAGATTTAATTGTTTTGTTTTTAGAAACAGTACTTGAAGGAAGCAAAATTGTCTGCCAATAGAATACGACAGTATCTCGAGTTAAATTTCTTTAACCAAATACAACAAATGATAATATTCTTATTACTATTTCATAATGAGGAATATTAGATATCTGCTAGATTGAAGATGATTTGCCAAGGTGTAATTTTTTGCTGTGTGATATCATTGGTTGTAATATGTTCCCTCTTGCATCAAGGAGAAGAGGAACCAAACAGGTGTTCCTCTTACAATAACGTTTTGAAGAATTGAAGAATTTTTTTTATTGCATATTTATTAGTATTTATTTATTGTTATACAGTTATTTATAAACAAAACTACTGCACAAACAGTTTTATCAGGTAGCCTAAGATATTTTCACACCGCTGCATCTTAGGAAATGAATGACTGCATTATTCAGTTTGTACATGCCGTTGTAAAAGTAATGTGCTGAATGTTGTTGGAGATTTGGCTGCCACTATATTACTCAAAATGTGCACTTTAAAGCCCCCATGTTTCCATGTTTCAGGAGCTGAATGGAACGGTGGGGGAATCCATATCAGAGTGTGTGGAGTTCCCACTGCTTACTCTGCGTTCGCTTTCATCCATCACTCAGCTGGTGCCCTTCTTCCAGACTCTCTGCTGCTCCTTCAGTTGCTCAGACCGCTCCCCTCAGCCCACCGCTGATTACCCCCCACCCAGCTCCAGCAGGGTGCTGCAGCAGCTGGAGCTCATTACTGAGGGAGAGTTTCTGGATGGTTTAGACTCATAGGGACTTGGCAGAAATCTGACGGCCTGGACTTTCCCCCTAAAAACTCCTGAAACGAGTGCTCTGTTTTAGCACTTGATGTTTTAATTCTTCATTACTCGATTGAGTGTGAAGTGTGGTGAACGTCCAGAACGTTGTAGCATGATCGTAAACAGTATGTCACATTCCGTGCAGTGGTGTCTGTTTATTTTTGTAGGCATAGTGAACTCTGAGGGAATCAGGAAAATTCTGTTGTTGTAAAGACTGAGTAATTGCTTTTAATGTGAATACTATTTAATTTAATAAAGATAAAAATGATATAGGTTTAATATTGTGCGCTATAAAAGTTTTATTTCAGCCAAATTTGCCCCTAAATTCAAAGTTTAGTCTCAGAGAAATTAAAAAAGTCAAGCAGCATTTAGAATTGACCAATTTTAAGGCAAATTTCAGTGTCACTGTTTGGTGACAAGGCTTCATTTTGCACAGCATGCAACATTGGCCATTTGAAGCATGAATGTAACTTAAATCTTGGTGCCATTATGGGAACACTGTTTTTCTCTTCTAATATTCTATAACTATGTCTTCTTATTGAATTTGAACAGGTATGCCTACCATCCGCTCTTATTCCAGAATGGAAAGCACAGTACGTTCCATTTTGATGCCCATGTTTTATTTTGTTTTTGTTTTTTTTGCATTTTATAATTATCTGCATTTCATTGTAAATATTACCGCAGAAACAGGGTTGAAAAAAACAATGATCAGCAAATAGTGAATGTTATTCTATGTTATTCTAAGAAAATACACTTCTGGTTAAAAAATGTTGAAAACTGAAATCCAAACCATAATCATAAAGTCCAGAGTTATATCTCTGCTACAATATTCTAAACTGAAAAATCTTTGTATTTGTAGTTGCATAATGCTTTGCAACTTCATGGTTTTATTTTGCCGGGAAACATTTGGTTATTTCTTATCTCTGGTAGCAGATGCATGGTACAGTACTGCTTTCTCTAGTTTCCCCCATACCTATAGCTCCCATATTATTTATTATGACTTTTTCTGTCCCATTGTAATAAACTAAGCTGCAATGCCCAGTTACTGTGGTTAATATGAACATTGAATACTGAATGTTTTACTTCTATCTACAGAGCAAATGCACTTGGAACAGCAAAGGAAAATTAAGATACCTTTTGTTTTAATGCACATAAGGGAATTTTTTTTACAAAAAAATCAGATGTGAAAAATCAATCAAGGGCATCTTTACATTGTCATTAATTTCAAACTAACCCCATCTGACGTGGCAGTTCTACAACATATATTAAAGTCTAATTTAAAATGTAAGCTACCTTGTTTCTCATTGCTTTTGAGTACCATTTCAAACAAAACATAAAGGGGCTAAAAAATAAATGCTAGGCCTTTGGCTCTCAAATCATAATAGAAATTTTCCTGCTCTACTACATCAGAACGCAGGACTCACTGTCAAAATTTGAATGACGATATTAGTATTTTTCACACGAGGACATCAAAATTCCATAGTATAGTGGAGTGTGATAGATAATAAGCAAACTTTTCATGTTTATCTCATAGCATATAAAATATTAAGAGACAGCACACAGGTCTACCTACATCATTTCATCTGGGACTAGAAAGAAACAAAAATAATACTAAATCCAGTAATAAAATACATGCCAACTGAATGTAGTTTTCACATTAAAAATGATGACCAATAAGACAAAGGTCAGCATTAACAGTTTGTAATTGTGCTTTTTCCAGAAAAAACAGTATATGTGACATATAATATAAGCATGTTATGGTATTGTTTGATGCCCTGTGTCTAAAAAAAAGGGGTCAGTAAAATGTAAATAACACATAGTTTGGCTTTTTGATATAAAAGGTTGTACCAAATAATTTAGAAAACAAAATTTTGTTGGAGGGGCTCAGTTGACAAGGGCTGATTGTACTTGTTAGTCTTGTTAACGGGTTGTGCCATTCTTCCCTGATCTCTCAAGAACTTTCAGAGGCCTTGCTTTCACTCATGGTTTCCACTGCAAATCTACAGTACAGCTAGATTGAAACTAACCTGATGTTGTGCAGCGTTCAGGAGGTGGGAAAAAAGATCTTTAATCGTTAATATTCACATTTTATAGAAGCTCTAGTGTAAACTGATTGATGCATGACATCATTCAAATTTTTTTAAACAGATGTGAAGGTGCGTTCTGTGCAATTCAGCCTGAGGTGAGGAATATTTTAATGTTCATAAATCATAAAGAAGGCAATATCCTAAATCCTGGAGAAATGGCTACCACATATCAAGATTATATAAATTTTTGAAAAATGTTTGAGCTTTCGAAGTGCGAAGTTCAGGTGAAAGTAAAGTAAAGCATGGCTAATCCAGTCATTACATGAACATTATAATTTTGTTTATGCTGAAAAGCAGATACAACTGTAAAAACAAGAAGATCTGCAACTTGTGAATGTATGTAGCAATAGTTAACACATTGTCTGATTAGCCAGTAGCATAATACCAATTTCCACTAGTGCCTCTGGAAATTTGCGGTGTTGTTGGTGCCAATCTAGCAGTATTATTTCACTTTTGATGCCAATTCTAAATTACACATGAGTATGTGAAGCTTGTGAAAGACATACAAGGAACATTTTCTTAAATCTCTCTGCTGTTTTATTGTGCCTCCTTCTGTAAAGGTGTGAATTTGAAACCAGTTTGTGAATATTATTCAAGCAACCTGTTAGCCTATTAGCTATCTTCAGGCTTTCCCTCCTGAAAACACCAGTGCAGACCAGCATTAATTCCATGCTGATCTAAGATGGTTTAAGTTGGTCGGGTGCTGGTTTAGCAGGTCACCCAGCCTAAACATGCTGATTGACCATCATATCAGCATCTAAAACACAACATATCCTGGTTTGGGTTGCATTTAATAATTAGCATATCCTGCTGTGATAGGCTAATTTACTTAGCAAAGTATGTGAGTGGATGTGCACTGGGTCCCATTTACCCTGTTTGATGGTAAGATGAGTTAACGATCAAAAATAAGTAAGCTATAATCATTTATCGTGGTGACTATTTATCTTTCACATTTAAATACATGCATACATACATACAGTGCTGTCTGGCTCGCATTTTAATAATTACTCATGTATCTGTAGTGAGGGCAGCCGAAATGGATAACTTCTATGGCCTGTCTATATGAAATGTTTTTTTCTTAAAGATAACACTGTGCACTGAAAAAAGTGATGCATTTATTCAAATACATAATTTTCTTATGAATGACTAAAGTATGTTACATTAACACAGTTCTGTCTTTCAGTTAACTTTCAGCAATAGTTGTATTGATGTGATATTTTATTCATGTAGAGATGATGAGTTAGTTATGCACAGAGAAAAAAACAATGCAACAAGTTTTGTGTCATCTTAATATAGTAACGCTGTTTTATATATTTATTTATTTTTTTTTTTTTAGCAGTTTACCACCCCATTAAAATCTCTGAATCTTTCCTGACCACCCCATTCTAAAAGTTATTACTACACCTCTGGGTGAGCATATTATTTTCTGTTTCTCCTGACCAGCATATCAGTATCCAAAACAAAACATTTGCTGGTTTTGCTGGTGGCCAGTCATGCTGTTTATTTATTTTTTATTTTTTCTAGCAAAGATTTTAACACAATTATACGGTAAAGCTTGTTAACAGGAAACAGTGATGATTGACTGCCATTTCTTCATATGCTTGCATTTTATAGGGGTGGACACTCTTTCATACAGTAAAAAGTGGTGGTATTGGAGAAATGCACTCACTGGCTTCTTTGTTTGGTACTATACCTGTTGTCCATTTTATAACTTGCCATGATGGTACACTGTGTAGTTCTGCAATTATATACTGTAGTCCATCTGTTTCATTATTTGTTAGCCGTTACCCTGTTTGTCAATGGTCAGGAGGGCCCTGCAGGACCACTGCTAAGCAGGTATTGTTTGGGTGGGGGATCTCAACACTGCAGTAATGCTGACATGGTAGCATGTGTGTGTGCTGCACAGAGTGGATCACACACAGGAGTGTTGAGTTTTAAAAAGTTCATTGTCTCTGATGTACTGAGACTACAAATTAAACTTACATATTTTCTTTCACCAAATGTCTAAGCAGTTTTAATCAGTTATGATCAATGTTGAATTAATAACAAGCCTAACACGATGATAAGATTACCATGTTATTGTGCTGTGACATAATCAGTGTCATCCCTGCAGAAAAAACAGCACAGACCAACATGGATTTCATACTGATGTAAGTTGGTTTATGTAGGTATGTGCTGGTCTAGTGCTGGTCTGGTGCTGGTTTAGCTTGTCACCCAGTACAATCATACTGGTTAACCAGCATACCAGCATCCAAAACATTTCTATGCAAACAGTAGGGTCACATATGCATACTTATTTTTAAAAATAAAGGGGCAAACAGTGTATTATTAACTAGAAAAGTTTATTTTCCTGATGAAGATGCAGAGTGAAAAAGCTATGTGGTTCCTGTGATATCGGAGGTGATAGCAGAGAACTTCTGGAGAGGAGAATTACCAATCTGTAATGTCGTCCGGGTTTCTCAAACGCTAGATGGCGCCCCCGAGCGAGTCCAAAATGAATGGTATAACATTGAGCATTTGAGCAAAATCATAGTTTATAAATGCTTAAACACTTTTAATGTAAAGGAATGCAATTATTTCTAAACACTGAATAGCATAAAACATTTTAACACCATTGTTATATTTTTAAGAGCTTTTAAACTCGAGTTATAGGGGTTTAAAACAGCGCCTCATATATGTATACAGGAATAGGAAGAGGCCAGGCTCCTCATAAACCAGCTCTGGTGATAGGATGTTGATCAGGTGGTTACTTTGGGATCCTTAATAGTTCTGGACATTCAACATTCTGGAGTTGGTTTGATATAGATATCTCGACTGCGGGACTGGCACAAACAATATTAAGAAGAAGTATATAAATCAGATGACAATAGTGTTACTAACATTAATATTAAATCACGTTATCATATGTATTGCTTTCGTTTCATACGCGCTTTAACACTGTTTTTAATGAAACAGTGACTTTAGCAGCTTCCCTTTTAAAACGATCTTCCGCGATTTAAGCCATCTCGTTTCTTTTAAAACATCTTTGGTGACCGTGGGTGGGCCTACTGCGCATGCTCATCCCTCCGCTGCTCTACAAAGATGGCGGCCCAAACAGACAGAGGAATTCCTTTAAGTGCGGTACGTAGCTCAGTTAACTTATCTAACTTTGTTTTTGTAGGCAGACTTTTTTGAAAAACATGATATTGAGTATGTATTTATGTACAGTTGTGTGATGAAAGGTTGATATATAAAACATTTCCGCAGCATTTCACAGTGCCAACTTATTTAAACTAACATTAGTGTTATTGTCAGACGTGGTAAGTGTTAGAGGTAGCGCTGTTTATAGCAGGGCAGTGTTTAAATGACAAACGTTTAGACAGAAACTCTGAATGGAACTGTCTGCCCGAGCATTCAAAAGGGTGGTTTTCCCGCTTTCGTTTGGTGTAATTTCGATTGCTAACTTTCAGTTTCGTTTCACTCTCGCTGCTATGTGGGAGTTGAGACTGGCGAGTTGAGTTCGCTAGCTATGTGACTAGGTTACCTTTCTAGCTAGTTAACCTAGCTATGTTAAATAAGTCGCCCACGTTTTGTCTTATATGACGAAGCAAGGTTTTCTTGCTTGCTTATAACGTTTACTAATTTTCAGTCTTTAAAGAGGAACTACATTTCGTCTTTGTATTTCGTAAGAGAATGCTGAAAGCTCTCTTTAATGATCCAAAATGCAATAATTAACACTTTGTTGTGACCGATACCAGTACTGATAATTTGCTTTTGTATAACATTTTAAAACCAGATCCACTGTAATCCACGTAATCCATGTATGTATGATAGGTTAAAACTCTAGAAATGAATCACTGATTAATTTTACATAGCTCTGAGCTAAATACACACAACAATAATTGTAAACTTTCACAGTGTAAGTGTTTTACATTGCTAGCAGATGCTCTTATCCGGAGCCACTTACAATGATGGGTGAATATAGAGTCTGAAATGTTGCTTAAGCACTCGGTATGTTGGTATAGTTGTGTGTGTGAGTGTGCACGTGTGCTTTTATTGGTATAGTAGTGGCATTCCTGCCTGGAAGGGGATGGAGAACTTTCACTGGTATATTTCAATCAAAACTGCACTGAATGTGATTTAAGAGTGTTGGGTCTGCAGAAAATTGGTTAAATTTCAGCAAGTGACATCAAGAGAAAAAAAAAACAACAAAATTACCTACTCATGAGTGACAATTCACTAGTTTGTTTATGGCTAAAACACGTTTTTTAAATCTATATTAAAAAAGGTTAATTGTAGTGTGAATGTATGAGCTTGTTTACACCTTGAATCAACATGTGTTTCGTGTCTGGATCATATCTGAAGAAACTGGCTGGATTTCAATACACTTTTCACTAAAATGTGTTCCTAGTCTGAACAGGTGAGATCAGAGTAAAAAAGCACATCAATGCCTAAGGCATTTCTTTTTTTTTTTTGTTTACTTGTTTTACCCATTACATCGACAAGCTTGTCTTGGTCATTTTAATCTGCAAGAAGGCTGTTAGTTTGAGGGTAACTCCAGCATTGTGTATCCTCCTTCTTTTTCTTTGCTGTTTATTCCCATACCTGCTAGTCAGCACTCAGCAGTTGCATTTCCACTCAGGTAATTGTGTACGGATAAGGAAAACACATTCCACTTACACCAGTGTTAAATGTGATCAGAATTCGTCTCTGACCACCTCTAAATGTAGTTTGAGTGATCCGATCATAATCTGATCACAGTTTGTCCTTGGGGTGTTTACACCTGGTTTTTCAGGCAGTCAAGTGAAATCCAAAACAGATGTTAACGCAAAGTGTAAACAGGCCCTATGTGGACTAGGGCTTTTAGCAGGGCTCAGCAATCACATTAGAATTTTCCTTTTGTTTGTTTGTCAAATATTAAAATACATCCATATTCTTTTTTGGGGGGGGATTTTTACCCAGTTATCTCCCCAATTTAGTCGTTTCCAATTCCACCCGCTAGTTAGGACTCCCCCAATCACACGATGCTATCAACGCTAGGAGGGTGAAGGCTAACACAGGCTTCCTCCGAGACCTGTGAAGCCAGCCACCGCTTCTTTTCGAACTGCCGCTCACGCAACGTCACTGGACAGCCGAACGCGCTCGGAGGAAAGCGCCAACCGCCAGATCTGTTACGTCAGCTAACAGACGCCTGCGCTGAGTGATGGGGGGAGAAGGAGGGGCCATCCTACCCACCCAGAGAGAGCAAGGCCAATTGTGCTCTCTTGGACTCCGGCTACGGATGGCTGTAGCATCACCAGGGATCGAACTCGCGATCTCCTGATGATAGGGCCAACGCTTAGATGGTTGCGCCACTCGGGAGCATACATCCATATTCTTAATACATTGTTTGGTCAAGAAGATAATGATTTGGAGAAGACATATAATTGCATTTTTTTTCTGAGGTTCAGTCCTGTTTTCTTAGGCTACGAAGACCAGCTTTCCTGGCTTGACGCTTTAACAGTGAACATAGTGGTCCAGACAGTGTTGTGTTCACAGTATATGGGCGTCTGGTTATTTCTGATTCTAACTCATCTACAGGCAGTTCACAAGTTCTGCGTTACTAGGTTAAATTCCCCCTCTTAAAACGTGCTGAAACTGTAGGCTGTAATGAAAAATTGCATCTTGTGTTATTTGAATATTGTGCTGTATGAAATTGCAATTAAAATAAAAACAATTGAACTTTCAGTCCTATCAGTAAAAGCCATTTTTGTAAGACGGTGTGTCCCAAAATCCATAAGTGGGCAATCAAGCATATCAAACATCCTGATAGCTGACAGTGTTATAAACCATTGGTTCCCAGCTTGGAGCCATAAGATGGTTGCTGAAAATAAGACAAATAGGCTTATTTTTACACAGTTTTGATGAGAAATGCACTTGCCTGTGTTTTGGTCATCCTCACTGAACTAATGAGCTAGCTAAGCAATCTTTATGATGCAGACTGTTTTTTTGCTGATATAGCATACATGAACTTTTTCTGGTTTAAGTGTGGTGCACTGCCCTTTTTTTTTCTTATAGCTAGTTGTGTACACCTTAGCTCGCTATTTAGCCAGATGTTATATGGATGTTAGTCCTGTTTTTATGTTATGGAAACATGATCAGGGCAACTTGGGGCTGACATGGGCCATGGGAACATACAGTTGCTTCCTAGAAGATTTTAGTAGGGTAACATAGTGCCTGGGAATATAGGGCTTTCCAAAATAACAAAGACAGAGCACAGGACTTGGGGGCATAGGGATCCTGAAACTTCCAGTGATCAAATAATGGGCCCTGTGAAGATAGGAGGCATTGCTGCAGTGTTCAACATTTCTTAGCTAAGCAACTAAACTAGCAGCTTACTACCTGCATTTGGAGCGTTGAAGAAGTAGAAGCAGGCCATAGAGAGAAGCAGCAATCATATTTCTGCTTATTTCCATTAAAAGTAGACATATCACCTTATTTAGAGTGGCTGAGTTTCCATTATTTATATCAGTTTCCATTATTTCCTAATTAAATCAATAGATACTACATAATTAAAGCCAAAATAGATTGTTTTATTTATGCTCAGCAATGCCCTGTCTTTAGTAGCCATCATTGGTAGCTAACTGCACTGAAAGATACTAGGAGCTGCAGCAGAGGTGGTTTTAAGCATTCAAATGGACACTTCCTACATTTGAATGTGCATTTTTGGGTTTGACAAATATTCTAATGTTATTTTGGCAGCCCTAATGTTGACCATTGTCCCTTACAATGACAAGTGACTTTAAGCATTAAGGGTCTTGCCCAAGCACTCTTATTAGTGTAGCTGTGTGTCTTACTGGTGTGTCAGTGGCCTGAACTGAGAATTGAACCTTCAGTCTTCTGTATGTAGGATGGTGGTTTTATCCACTTTATCCACTCCATTTCAGTGAGTTGAATAGAAAAAAATGGCAGCACTAGTCACTACGTATAAAACGTGGGCGCCATCCTTATTTATTAGTGAATAATAAATTGTCTGCCGATATATTGTGCTCCCCTAATAAGATTATTAGAAATAGATCTAAGGTGAAGAGCTTAGTAGCTGAGTCAGTGATAAATATTTTTTTTATATTAAAATGACAATTTCAAACAATTATAAATAAAAAGTATTAAGAATGAATTGAAAATGTAATCAAACGATTTGCATTTTTGGATCTGCAAAGATATATTCAATGGGTTGATATTTGTTTCATAGCTTTTATAATGATATATAATGGTATTACTAAAATGTCTTTGTTGTTCTTTGTGCCATGTGACTTTTAAGTTGCACTATTTTAAAACACGTTATAACTTTAAACGTTTCAAACATAAAATCATGCCAAACTATTTTATTTAGAATTTTAAGTAACAAAGTTATTTTTTAAATAGTTTTCCTAATACGCATATGTAGTTAGCCGGTCACACCACCACAAAAATGCAGCACATAAAAGACATCATGTCATTGACTCAGCTGACAACAGTGAGAACGGAACATTTAGGCCCTCACTGGTATCATATCGGAGTACTGAGCATGTCTACAGTGCAAGTGTATATTCTTTGGTTATACTGATGCATGAATGGGATGGGTGTGAGAGTCTGATGCTGAAGGTCATTTCCCCCAGAATGCTGAAAAGCACACTGACAATAGACAACATGTGTAATAAAAAGACAAATAAATTAAAAAATAATTCTTTCTTCCTTTTTGGCCCACAGCGGCATCTCTGAGTGCGGCAAAAACGATACGAAACTAAGATCGGCTGCTTAATTAACTCTTTACAAACTGATGTCTGCTCCTTTGATAGTAAACTGAGGCACCAGAATGTAACCGCTGCACCATTTAAGGTAGAACGGGAAAAACCGGCTTAAAAAATGAAGCTGGTGAAAAGGAATCCAACTTAGCCTTGTAAAAACACTGCTAAATGTCTTAAAGTCATTTGTATCATGTGTGTCTCTTACACTCAAGCTTTAATCTATGACAGTCAGACACTGCTGGAATTTAGTCAATATTACAGGCTGTTCATGCTATTTGTTTTAGCTGAGAAGCGGCAGAGCCTCTCGGCCTACAAGCCACAAACCACGGCATCACCTGAAGCACCTGGCTGAGCGAGGACTGCTGCCGAAGCTGGCTAGTCTTCATGCTAGGCTAGTAGCAAATGGCTAATCCTGAGAGACGTTTTCTTCCATTCTCTTTGTCCCCCCATTAACTCATTACAATTTGATGTCTGCTACTTTGACAATAAACTAGACTAACTTAGCTCAAGCTGGGAATCAGCATGTTTTGCACTGTTTGACCGTCACATTGTCTGCATTTATTTGCATACCAGTATAACAGTAATGACAAATCTAATACCTTAAAAAGAATTTCAACCAGTCTTCCAAGGTTAACCAGTATATCATCCACTAGTAGTTTCGTGAAGGACTTCATAATCAGTTGATGAGCTGGCTTGGGTGTGATGAGGCAGGGAATGCTTTAAATAATGCAGTGCTGTGGGTTGCCAGGAGCAGGATTAAGAAACACTGTTATAGGATGTTTAAATAACACCACTTTATTCTTCTGTTATGTTTCTCTCTTAAAGCTTTGCCCAAAGTTCCTGCACACAAACTCCACCAGCCACACATGGCCCTTCAGCGCTGTTGCTGAACTGATTGGTGAGTCAGCACGCCTTCTGCTTGTTTTACTACTTTGTTAACTAGGCCTACGTACATGCCTTTGTCACTAGTTTTTATTGTTGCACAGCTATCTTGACATTACTGACCTGCGCATTGCCTAGTTACATTTACTGATTTCTGAGCCTTGTTTAGGAACTTTCTAATCATTCTCGATCTTCTTAATGGGCCATTCTACTGAATTAGTTCAAACTACAGTCCCACAGCAAGTATTTAAGAAAATGATTACTTATTCTGGGTTTTTCAAAAATAATGTTATCATCTATTTAAACCCAAGGCATTAATTAATTACATGGCTCTGGTTCTGTGGCCCCAAGCATGGTTAGCTAACCATGGTGAAAAAAACGTGCTGAGCTTATTTGTAAGCGTTCCGTGTCGAACCTTGAGGTGAGATGGTTGCTTTTGCACCGTTTACAAGTTTTAATGTCTGTTTGGCGCAGCAGCCATGGTAACGCTGAATGCTGGCGTACGCAAAGTGAAAAAAAAGTACGTGAATTTCGATCTGAGCGTTCAGGTCAGATTTGAAAAGATCAGATTTGCATGTCCACACAGCCCTGAAAACATCAGATCTGAGTCACTTTAGGGCAAAAAAAATGGATTTGTGCCACTTCAACCTGTAATGTGAAGGTACTCTAAAGCACAGAAGTCTTGTGCTGTTTTTCTTAGTCTACATTCAGATTACCAGGTTGAAGTAGCGCACATCCGTTTTTTTGCCCTAATGTCACTCAGATCTGATCTTTTAAATTTGACAACAAATTCAGTCATATTCAGTCATAAAGAGTATTTTTTCAGTTGATGCATATTTCTTTATTTGAAATCTGTCCTTTCATTTCATGATCTGGAGATTAGTGGAGAGTTTTACGTGCTTTTATCAACTCAGGTTAACTAATGTAATTTTCTCTATATTGGAGTGAGTCAGTCCTTACTGTTCTGTCTGCAACTTGTCCACTGCCGCTAGACTTCTTACTGGCACAAGAAAAAGAGACAGTGTCTTACCTGATGCAAACTCTGCTTCTCTACATTAGCGTCCTGTCAAGTACAGAATTGATTTTAAAATTTTACTGTTTGTTTTTAAGGCATTACATGGTCTGTCCCTACAGTGCATTAGCACTATGACTAGTCCATACTCCTCTGCCAGGTCCCTCCAATCAACCAATAAATTACTGCTCACTGTCATATGCCTCGATTGAATTTTAAGGGTGATCTTGCGTTTTCTGTTTGTTGCCCTTAGGTTATAAAATAGTTTTCCTCTCAATGAGATCTGCGTCAACCATTGATGAATTTAAATCTTGCCTTAGGACTTACCTCTTTTTCTTGGCTTATGACTCTTCCTAAATTGTATAATTTTTGATACGCCGTTCATAATTTAAAGTTTTATTTTATTATATTTATATATTTATATTTATTATTTTATATTTCACAGTAGTCTATTTGGGCTCCATAGACTTATGTATTATTTGCAAATAACACTCCCCAGTTTGCCCTCATATACTTAACGTTTATATGAAATGCCCTAATTTGTGCAGGTAGTGAGACAATAAATAGAAAGTATTCAGTAGATTCAGAAACTTTATTACCATTTCATTCACAGAAGCTAGGTGTTTGTTGCAGGGCAGCTCACAATCACTTACACAAATCTACAATAATTCATTTATAAATTATGTTGACAGTATTCAAGCTTAATCATTTTAATTACTCTGAATGTCTGGGTCTATTGTCCAGTGGCCAGGATGCATGCTTTTCAAGACACTTTTGGGCCTAGGTTTGCTTGCATTTCACATGTTTTTTCAGAGATACATAGGGTTCCAAACACTCCAGGAAACTCATTCAACAGGTCATGTGTCTTTTACACTGGATATCAGATGCTCTTTGTTGTTCTGTTTCTTAGACAATGCTTATGACCCAGATGTCAAGGCCAGGCAGTTCTGGATTGATAAAACAATAATAAAAGGAGAGGACTGCCTCATCTTCATGGATAATGGAGCAGGCATGGAGTATGACAAAATGCACAAAATGCTCAGGTAGGGAAAGTATTGGTGGAGGCTTCGGTGGCTGTTAGAGGAAGTTTAGACATCCCAAATTAATAATGCAGTTCATCTACAAGCCTTTTTCATACCTCTCATTTTTAGAGATGCATCAATATAGAATATTGATAATGAACACCTTGTTGTGGCTGAAAACGATTGCAGTAACCAGTAATTTAATAAATTAAGTATTTAATTAGTAAGTAATTAATTCAATTAATAATCAGTTTTTTAAGTGTGATTTACAACAGTACAACAATCTCTGTCTCTCTCTTTCACTGTCACTTTCAGTTTTGGCTTCAGTGATAAGCAGACAATAAATGGCCATGTTCCTGTGGGTCTCTACGGTAACGGTTTTAAGTCTGGCTCCATGCGCTTGGGGAAGGATGCCATCGTGTTCTCGAAGAAAGCTGGCACCATGTGTGTGGGGATGCTGTCACAGACATACCTGCAGAAAATAGGAGCAGAGAACGTCATAGTGCCTATCGTGAGATTCAAGTCTGTTGGCCAGACCAATATCCTTAACTAGAGACAGGCGGACAAACAGTTGAGTGAATGGGTGGACAGATGTTTAACTAGTTCCATGTTTATCACTAAGTGATATGGCTTAAGGAATACAAAACAAAGCATAGCTGCTAACAGCAAACAAATGTAAATGGCAAGTTAATCTAAAGAATACAAGAGTTTCACTGTGCTGTTTGTCACTTTTACCTCTTGGCCCTTGACCTTGCTCCTCACTCTGTCCTGAGCCTGAGCATGTGGCGAGTCTGCAGGATATCTTGCGCCACTCCCTGTTTCAGACTGAGGATGAGCTTCATTCTGAGCTCAAAGCCATCGACAACTGCTCTGCCAGCTCCACAGGAACCCGCATCATCATTTGGAGCCTCCGCAAGTGAGCAGGATTTGAAAGAAAGAAAGAATCAATAGATAGATTTCATTCAAAAGTTTGTAATCACTTCACATATTAATCATTTTGGTTATTTTATATACAATAAGCACATGCAGCATATATTTAAATACTATAAACATGATACCAAAAAGTGTTTTCTTCAGTATTTTTCAATTTTAAATATTTATTCAATATGCAATATTTTGAGCCATTAATTGAGCCATTAATTGTAATTTCATTATAACTAGCTGATGTTTTACAGCTTTCTTGCTCATTGTCTAATCATATATAACTATGTTCATTATTCTGTTTTATTTTATAGCTTCTTACAAATTTGCATTTGCAACCAAATTGGTTTTAGATTTTTGGAAACATTGATTACAAACTTTTGAACGGTGTGGTATGGAAATTTAAAGAATTTAGGAACGGATATGTGATAGGAAGAAGGAAAAAATTAACACTGTAGATCTGACAGTTATGTTTTTCATTACAGAACACCGTTGAATACATCAGAATTTGACTTTGAGCATGACCGATATGACATCAGGATTCCAGCTGAAGTATATGAAAGCACGAAGGAGCAAAACAAACGGCTGGAATGTGGCATACAGTCGGCACCTGAGAGTACCTGCTCTCTACGAGTGAGTTTTTCGTATTGAATGTTGTAATTCCATATTTTGCCAAATTTAGTGGCTTATTTCACTGAGATATCAGTAATGGTAAGTGCAAGATTAAAGAATTGTGTGTGTCTGCGTGTGTTTATTTTTCTTGATTCAGGCGTACTGCAGCATCCTCTATCTGAAGCCCAGAATGCAGATTATCATTCGAGGACAGAAGGTCAAGACTCAGCTCATCTCCAAAAGTCTAGCACACATAGTTAAAGACTCATACAAACCCCAATTCCTTGTATCCTTCTACCAAGTACTAGAGTGAGAAAAAGACAGAGAGCAAAAAGAAAGAAGGAAGAAAATGTAATAAATAAAAAGTGATTAATGAATAAAAACTAATTGTCAAACATGGTTCAAATATTTTAAACTACTTTTTTATCCTTAAGTTTTCTCTCAGAGTAAGCACATTTCAATCACCTTTGGCTACAACACCAAGAGCAAAGAGCAGTACGGCATCATGATGTACCACAAAAACCGACTCATCAAAGCATACGAGCGCGTTGGCTGCCAGCTCAAGGTGGGTGTTTGTTTGGTGTTTCATAAGTTTGAACCTGCTTGTTTGATGTCTGAGTACCCCAGCTTGCTTTTTTCCAAATGCATCTCAGTATAGAGTTATACTCTATCTGTAGCAGAGGTGACAGAACACACACTAATTTTGAAACTCATATGTGCAAATACTCATCTAAAATATAATAAATGACTTATCTAAAATATATAAAATACTTATAGTATAAAAGTAAATGCCTCCTAACTGCACTTTCTAATGCACTTTTTAAATTGGTATTCTCTGTTGAATATTCATGTGATTGCGAAAGTTTCACAGATGAGGAAGTAAGTAAGGCCAAGGATGAAGAGTGTCATGACATTATTGCTTCTTTGACAGCATTACCTGGCATAATGTTGGATGAATTTCATTCATATTGCTGCAATACAATCCAAACCAGCAGGACATCATAAATACATGTGTGTTTGTAATTGCAAATTTCATGTATATAATGTAAAATAAATACTTTGTGTATATAAAAAGTGAAAGATTTTGTTCAATGAAGTTGAGGCTGACCAGGTCAGCAGACAGTAAACACTTCTCCATCAATATTCAGAGTTAGGCTTTACAAAATGATTCATTGTAAAACACAAAAAGTAAAGAATATACTGCTTGATTGTTACAAGTCTACAGCTGGCCTAGGTGCTATATAATGATATGTGCAGAAATATGAAATGACTGGCTACAAGCAGCATTAAAGATTTCTTAAAATATTTTAAAAGTGACTTTATTAAATGACTTGTGTTATTGTTCAGTTAAGTCCATTTTCAGTGTTTGGTCGAATATCCAAAATAAACTGTTGAACATAACGCACTGAATATTCAAGAAATTTAGTAACTCTGTTATGCTTACACCGAGCGGCAGACATGCTAGCCATGCATGTCATTACACAGCAGTGTGCAATGCAGAAACCTTTTAATTTGATCTAGAAGTAGCATTTTGCTGCATTTAAGTGGTGTCAGAAACTGGGAAATACCAATTTTCATACTTGTAATTTGCACTTGAACAGTTGAAAAAGTCGTATTTACAAATGAGAAACTGGGGATTCTAGATGATACAGTTTGGTCGTGAATGCCTGATTTGTGTTAGCAGGCAGTGATGTAGATTCACGCAGCATGCAGAAAATTATTTCAGGGGTAGAATAAAATAGCAACTTTCATTTGTTTATTAGATTTTATTATAAGTGGGCCCAAATACAGTTTGACATTTTTAGAGTAAGATTAATAAAGCGAAAAACAAGAACTGACCCATTATCTGTTTTCAGTGTTGATTTTTTAAAACAAAATGGCCTTTGGTCCACTTCTAAACCAAAGAGTCTTTGGTCAAGGCTCTCATAACGCTATGGTACTTTGAAATGGCAGCCTCTATTGCCAAGATTTCAGAAGCAAGCACAATCACCAGAATCTCTGGAATTTTTTTTTTTTTTGAGAGAGAAATGATTGTTTATTTATTTATTCAATTTTTTTAATGTAGTGATCGGTGTGGGTTTTGTGCTTTTATTCAACTTTAAGTAAGAAGGATAAAAAGAAAGTTGAAAATTAAAAAATGATTTAAATCAACAGAAATGATTTTATTGATGGATAGATACATTTTCAAACAGCGCCCACTGCACTTGAGCTTTTGAGAGATTTTATGGAATAATTGTATAAGAGTATTCAAGATAATAAATAGAAGTGACTATTAAAAGAGCAGTACACAATTCTGGAGAGTGATTGTTGACATTTGAACTCAACAGAAAAACAAACACACCCCTCCCTTTAGTTCTCCTTCAGAACCTTCGCCCCTTTCATTTATTGATGCGCACTGGGCTAGCAACTCTTTGTGGCCATAAAACTCTTCACAAAAGTTATATGGACAAATACCATGATATAACATTAGATGGACAAATGCCATGATATAACATAAAATGTAAAAATTGTTTTACTGTTGAGTTCAGAACAAACAACCACCCGGTAAGTAATGTAACTAATGTTAGCCAGGTTCTGGGTTAGCAAACTGTTGCTACAGTTGCTGCTGCGAAGCTAACTAGTTGCTTTCACAAATATTAGCAAATGGAACAAAACAATACTGACCTAGTGGTTCTGTGAAGCAGCAAAATGAAGTTAATGTAACGCGCTTGTCTAGCAGGAACAGCCTTCTCATCCGTTTTCATACCTTTCAACTCTCGATGAAGCTGAAGTCGCTTCTTTTTCACCAGCTTCTTGTTCTAATTTTCCTGTTCCACCTTAAATGGTGTAGCAGTTACATTCTAGTGCCTCAGCTTCTTTTTCAAATTTTTTCATTCTACCTTAATCCCTTAAAATCCCAGGCTTTTAACATACTGAGGCTTAATGTTTAGTAACTACAGGGATTTCAATGTGAACTAGCTAAGCTGTTCTTGGGTTATAGAAGTGTGTTATAAAATTTTGTAAAAAAAAAAAACCCTGGCCATTTAAGGAGTTAAGTGGTGTAGCAGTTACATGGAACTGCTGCCAACTGGAGCCAACTTCGGCCTTGTCAACTGTTGGAAGTCTCTCTTGCTTGATCTAAGAAGTTCTTGCTCAATCTTTGTTCTCTTTTGTCGCTTCTTTGCCTGTTTCTCTGCCATTTCTCCTTCTCGACGATGCGTTGCATTAGGCCCTCCTCTCCCCCATGTCCTGTGCAAGAGTTTGAATGCCCGCTGTTGCTGATTGGCTGGAATTGTGTTTTATGTCTCAGCCTGAGACACTTTGTTTATTGTGTACAAATACCGGATTTTTTTCAGAACGGAGAGCTAGTGGACTGAGAGGAGATATTTGCTGAATTTGACAAAAAGTATATTGGATTGAAATTGTATCCTGCACTTTTAACCTGTTATCATTTTAAGCAGCTTCATATGTGTATATATATATATATATATATATATAATATGTATGTTTACACTGTGATCCATGTAATTTTTATGTCTTCTCACCTTAATATTAGGCCAACAGCATTGGTGTGGGAGTCATTGGGGTGATAGTGTGTGACTTTCTCCAGCCAACTCACAATAAACAAGACTTTGACTCCACAGATGAGTACAGGTATGTTTAAGAGAGGCTGCTGGATGCTTTGATACTTCCAGTAAAAGTCTATAGTGATCTATTAGCTATAAATACAGGTTTGATATTTGCTGTAATCTCTTGCTCTCTATATATATGAATGTGTGTCATTTTCTGTCTGTGCAGGAAAACTATGTACAATGTCGGTGTTAAGCTTGAAGAATACTGGAAAGAGGTCCGTCATAGACTCAAAAGCACTGTCCCTGTTGAGGATATTGTGTGAGTTTAAAGATTTTCTAAAAGACACACACACACACACAAACAATATAAACAGTATCATTAAAAAAGGTTTAACTAAGAAGCTAAATTTTCTATTTCTTTTTTACAAAGTAGCTTCTGTTTTTGTTCGCCAACAACTGTCTTAGCTTATTATATTGTTATAGCTTATTATAATGAGGTAGAATCATAGAAGACATGAATTTAAAGCACTTGTTTTTGCTATAAAATACTGTCAGCTCCATAATTTTTGGCAAGATTATAGAATGCAGAGTAAGGAAACTGAGACCACTCCTCAATACAGAATCTCTCCAGATCCTCTCGTATTCCAGGTCCTCTCTTAGACTCTCCTCTTTAGGTCATTCCACAGTTTTTCAAGGGGGTTTAAGACAGGGGAATGGGATAGCCATGTCCAAAGATTGATTTGAGGCCATTAAACCATTGTTGTGGATGTATGTTTTGGATCATTGTCCTGCTGGAAGAACCAAACACATTCTAGTTTTTGTGGCAGAGGCAGCCAGATTTTTACTTAAAATCTACTACTACTTCACAGAGCCCATGATGCTTTGTGTCGTAACAATGTTCTCAGAACTTTTGGAGGAAAAACAGCCCCAAAACATCACTGATCTTCCACCATACGTAACAGTGGGATGACTTTGTTTTCTGTTTAACCATCCTTTTTTTATGCCAAATCCACCTTGTGGGTGTGTTTGTTTCCAAGACGTTCCTTTTGGTCTCGTTTTTTGGAAACTTGGTGACTCCAGCATAATACTATCTTTTGTAAATCTGCAGTGTCCACTTAATAGGTCCTGAACAGTCAGGTGGACTTAAAAAGTGAAATATATACAATCTATGTACAAAGGCAACATATCAAATATTTTTTTGAAAAATATATACCCATTTTGAATTTGATGCCAACAACACATTCAAAAAAAGTTGGGACGAGGCAAGAAACGACTAGGAAAATTGTGTGATGATAACAAGAAACATCTGGTGGTTAATTGGCAACAAGTAACATGATTGGGTGTAAAAAGACTGCATGGGCAAATAGTGCAACAATTTAAGGATAACATTTCTGAACATAAAATAGCAAATAACTTGGGGATTTCATCATCTACAGTACATAATATCTAGAGATGGAAGTATTGATTGGCTGTGTATCAGTATCAGTCAATTTTCAGCCCAAATATGTGATCGGCTGATATTTCTCTAACTTGGCGATCCTGAGATTGATCGCATATTTAAAAATCCATCCGTGAAGCAGGAGGACTCTTTTGTTCTATTGATTTGTTGTGCCAGGTGCATAGCCTCTGGTTATTTCACTTGCTGCGCGAGTCTGAGGCACCAGAATGTAACTGCTGCACCATTTATGTTGGAATGAGAAAATTCAAACAGAAAGTTGGCAAAAAAGAAGCTGACTTCAACTTCATCAAGAGCTGAAATGGATGAGGAGGTTGCTCTGTTTCTGTTTGATGAGTGGGTATCACTAAATTTTTTTGCTGTTTCACAGATCCCATAGGTCAGTAATATTTTTGATGGCTAATCCCAACTGGTTAGCTTCACAGCAGCAATTGTAGCAGTAGTTTGCTAACCCACAACCTGCCTAACGTTAGTTATATTACTTGCTGTCATTGTAATATTGTATTTGTCCATACAACATTTGTGGAGGATTTTATGGCCATGAAGATCTAAAAAAAAGTGTCATTTTCCTTGGTAATGTGTGTCCATGAGTCTGGAGGTGCAGAGCTTCTGAAGAAGCACTGACTGCGCCTTTAAATGTGGAGTCCAGCCCCATCCTCGATTGTTATTGGCTGTCAGCCAGTTGTGCTGAAAGGGGATAGGTATCGGCCCCAAAAACACTGATAGATCCATCTCTAAAAATATCATAAGAGATTCAAGATGTCAAGATTCAGAGAATCCAGAGAAATCTCTGTATGCAAGACACAGTGCTGAAAACCAACATTGGATGGCTGTGATCTTTGGGCCTCAGGCAGAGTGATGGTATGGGGGTGCATTAGTGCACATGGCATGGATGATTTGCACATCTGTGAAGGCACCATTAATGCTGAACAATACATACAAGTTTTAAAGCAACATATGCTACCATCCAGATGATGTCTTTTTTAGGGAAGGCCTTGCTTATTTCAGCAAGACAATGCTAAACCACATTCTGCATGTATTACCACAGCATGGCTCCATTGTAAAAGAGTCTAACTGCTAAACTGCCCTGCCTGCAGCTTTTGGAATCAGTCACCATTGAAAACACTTGCCGCATAATGAAATGAAAAAAATGTGACAAGAGACCCCAAACTGTTGAGCAGCAGAAATCCTATGTATGAGAAATCAAGCAAGAATGGGGGAAAATTTCACTTTCAAAACTATAGCAGTTGGTCTCCTCAGTTCCCAAACACTTACAGAGTGTTTTTAAAAAAAGTAGTTATGGAACACAGTGGTAAACATGCCCCTGTCCCAACTTTTTTGAAATGTGTTGCTGGCATCATAACCCTCCCAGGACTACTGGTGTGGTGTGGTGCAGAAGCAGTGCTGTTGCCTCGTCTGGTCTAAAATGAGTTTCTCACCATTTATCAAGCAGTATAAAATCAGTTATCCTCTTTGTCAACAACCAGTACTGCCCTTTAATACAGATTTTCTAGGTGGAACACTGCTGAGCTCTGCCTAAATGATAGAATGTGATGATTCCTTTTATTATTACTTTGTCTTTGTTGCTTGCTGTATAAGAAAATGTATGTGTTTGTATGGCCCTGCAGGAAGCGACCGGACCAAAACTGGGCGCAGTGTGACGGCTGTCTGAAGTGGAGGAAACTTCCAGATGGCATAGATACTGACAAGCTGCCTGACAAATGGTTCTGCCACTTGAACCCTGACCCCCAGTTCAGGTGTGTTTTTGTGTACCTTTTGTGTGTGCTTGTGTATGCCACTCTATCTGCGTCTGTCTGTAAGTCTCAGGGTTAATGTGAAAATCCTAGAAAGGCCTAGAAAAAGTTTTGAAAAATTATAAATGCTATAAAAAGTCTGTGAATTCATTCCAATGAATTTTTATGGTTTGCTCATCTGATTATTTGACATTTGAAACAATGAGCACATGCCGCAGTATTGTGTGTGTAGTACTTCTGATATCCGAGTGAAATTTAAAAGCCAAATAAAACACATTTGCTACAAGGTATGTGGCTATGTTAGCTTGCAAGTCCAGCTAGCTAATAGAGTCTTTTGTTCCTATTGTTAACTTGTTGAATGTAGTATCACATATAGCTAAAACAATAATGAAATAATGAAATAAAGAATGATGAGGGCCTAATTACTGTTTGCTAATTAGCTAACACTATTTAACAACAGAATGGGACACACACAGTAAATACTTTCCTTAAATTGCTTATAATAGTACAGTTTACCTACCAAGCAGTACAGAAACAGTGCTGCCCTTTTAGTTCCATGTCATCTTCATGGATTGCTGCTTGATGAGGCTTTTCACTTTTGGCCTGTGATCTTTAGCTTTAGCTTTTTGAGCTTTAACTTCTATCTTTATCCTTTTTGCACTAGTTCATTTGCAATATAATCAGTATTATAAATAAACCAGTCTATCTTTCGTGCTCAGGTATGTAGCCTACAAATACATACATTTGTATAAAACATTTTTTTTAAATGCTGTACAACAAAAAATTGGAAGTGGCAGTTATTTTATTTTTAATGACTTTCTAGCTGTGTTGAGATGTGTAATTTTTAAAGAATTTACAATCCTAATTCCAAAAACATTGGGACAGTAGGTAAAATGCAAATGAAAAACAGAAAGCAGTGATTTATAAAACTACTTTGATCTGTATTTGAACAAAAACTGTACAAAGATGAGATACTTAATGTTTTTCCTGATCAACTTTATGACCCGGTCTAGGGTCAGGCCGTAACAGAGAATGAGAGTGGGCTCTCTCCCCAGACCTGTTGCCAGACCAGACACTGAACACCATTTAAACCAGAAAATGACAGGTTTATTTTCTTCAGAAGCTCAAACAAGCTGGGTTGATGGCTTCAGGGACAAGCATTAGCCAAAATAACAAACAAAACAACTAATGATTTCAAACTTAACTAAACTAAAAACAAAAGAAACAAAAGACATATAGGCTACCCTAACTCCCTACCTTAAACAGGAGAAAAGGTAATCAAAACAACATGGCACCCGTCCCCTACTTTCCCCAAGCTCTCAAAGTGTAATCAAACAGTCGCATTTTTAACGATAGCAGCAAAGCAAAGCAGAAAGAAGTAAAGAGTGCCAGGCTGGTCTGGACAGGTGTTTTTCCAGGTCATATCAAAGGGGAAAGAGCCCTGAATGTCTCCCAAGATGGTGGTTCGGTGACCTTTTGTACTGCCAGGCGCCCCTGAGTGGCCAGTCATGCACCTGCACATAAGGGGACGCACAACAGGGAAAACACAAAATGCCAGCACAAGGCACACAAAAGGTATATTATGACCAGGGGTCGTAACAACGCTCATTCTGAAATTGATGCCTGCAACACAAAAACTTGGGATGGGGCAATTGAAGACTAGGAATTTTGTGAAATGTTCAAAAAACATCTGGTGTTGCAGTTGTTCTTGGGTATAAAAGGACCATCCAGGAAAGGCCTAGTCTTTAAGGTGGAAGGATGGGTCCAGGCCTGCCACTTTGGAAAAAAAATGCATCAGCAAAATCAATCAGCTAAAAGCAATGTTCCTCAGCCAGGGATTGCGAGAATTTTAGGTATTTCAACCTCATCAATGCATAATATCATCAAAAGATTTTGGGGAGTTCAGAGAAATCTCTGTTCATAAGGGACCACAAAAAACACAAAAGAATACCCATGATCTTTGAGCCCTCAGATGGCACTTATTAAAAACAAACATGTTTCTGTGATGGATATCACCACATGGGGTGAGAATACCTTGATAAGTCGTTGTCAATACATAGTGTTATCGCTACATCCACAAAAAAGTTAAGACTGCACAGCAAAAGTCATATGTCAACTGCATCCAGAAACGCAGCTGACTTCTCTGGGCTTGAGCTCATCTGAAATGTATTGATGCACAGTGAAAGCGTGTAGTGTGGTCTGCTGAGTCAACCTTTCAGATTATTTATGGAAAAAATTGACATTTTGTTCGCTGGAGCAAAGAAGAAAAGTACCATCCGGCTTGTTTCCAGTCTAAATTTCCAAAACTAGGGTCTGTCATGGTATGAGGGGGGGTGCATATTAGTGGGTAACTTACACATCTGTGAAAGCACCAATAATGTTGAACACATTTTGGAACAACATATGATGCATTTTAGACATTTAACCTGTTTCAACATAACGCCAAGCCACATTCTGTATGTGTAACTAAAGTATGGATGCGTAAACAGAGAGTACAGGTCCTAGACAGGCCTGTGTTTCAGGGATGAAATTTGAAATGAACATGTATTTATGAAAATCAATGAGATTCATAAGGTTCAACATAAAATTACCATTTTCAGTTTAATACAGGTGAAAAAGAATTTACTGATCCCTGCTTTTTGTTTTTATTACCATTTCACATACTGTCCCAATTTTTTGGAATTGGGTTTGTAAAGTCTCAAAACAATGAAGTATGGGGTTCCACTGAGTGGAAAGTGTACCGACCTCGGTGACTGACCATGTCTTAATTATCACATTTGTGTTCCGGGGTTTGTTAGGAGTTGTACAGCTGAGGAAGAGCGCGAAGACTCTGATGATGAGCAACCCAGATATCAAAAGACCTACAAACAGCAGTGAGTAAAGAAATGTATATATACACACAGACACACACACACACACACACACACACACACACACACACACACCCACCCACCAAGGAGGACTTTATTGGGAACACTATACTAGCACTGGGTAGGGCCTCCCTCTGCTCTCTAAACAGCTTTAGTTTATTTACCGTGGCATGGATTCCGCAAGATGTTGGAAAAATTCCTTTGATATTCTAGTCCATGTTGACATGGTTGCATCATGCAGTTCCTGCTGATTTTTTAGATGCACTTTCATTGCTGAGAATCTCCTGGTCTAACAAATCCTAAACATGTTCTATTGGATTCAGATCCGGTGTGTGGGAAGGCCACTGAAGAGCACTGAACTCATTGTCATTTTCATGAAACCGATTTCAGAAAACTTTGCTTTGCAACATGGTGAAATATCTTGCTGGAAGTAGCCCCTCATTCAGCAAATCAACTAAATAACAAACCCCCTGGACTACAGCCCCTGAAGCCCCTGAATTCCATAGATTTTCAAAACTTTCGTCTTTAAATGTTGAAGATGTTATCACTCACACAGAGTGGTTTGATGTGGAATTTGCCATTCTGGAGAAAATTACAGACTAATTGTAAAATACAGATTAATTGTTATACAGCGGTGGTGATAGGAACCAGGCGTTTGAGGAGGTTAATGCCTCTTAAAGTTACCTCTTAGAAAGTTATTATAAATTGTTATTACCTGATTTCTGATTCGTTTTGAGGAGCTTTTGGCCTACAGTGTATCTTTTTTTTAAGTCAAATGTAAGGCAATTGTTAAAAGACAAAATAATTCCCAAAAAAAACTTTTTTTTTCAGATTTAACCCTATTTTGTCAATAACAGTTCCCTTTCCCAAGATGTAAAGTAGGGTATGAGACAGAGAGGCTACAGTCACAGAGGAGTTGAAACATGCAGTTGCTGTTGCTCTCACTGGTTGTCAGTGATGAAAGTAGAAAATTGCGTTCAGCTTGTGTTCATGTGACTTTCATGTTCAGGTTCATATGAACTCTGCATTTGCATTATGATAAAATAATGTTATTGAATTACTGAAAACACATTTTCATGAAGCTTATTTTTTCCACTTACGTAGCTATAACAAAATGCACTGTGAACAGTCTTAAGGGTAAAGTCTTGATCAAGTGAACAAATGTAATTGACGGTGATTAATTACACAAGAGAATGTATTAATCACAAGTAATTTTAATTGTTTGACAGATATAAATAATATATATGTGTGTATTTGTGTGTCTGTGTGTGTATGTGTTTTGACTTAGTGAAAGAAATAAGAGGTTGCAGCAAGAGAAGAACAGACAGCAGGTAATGCTCTTTCTTAATGTGAAGTTTGTGAAGTTTTTAATGGTTTATCAGCATAGCATATTTCCATTAAATCACTGCTTTCCATTTTTCTGGTTGTTGAAGGCGCAAGATGTATTTTCTGTTTATTGGCTGTGATTGTTTATTTAATAATAAAATGAATGTTTGTATCTTTGTGTTTCAGTTGGAAGAGGAAAAGAAAAGGACAGAGGAGAAGAAGATCTTGGCACTAAAAGAGCAGAATGCCGCATTGATGAGGAAACAGCAGGCCCTAGAACACCAGCTCAGATTCTCAGTGAGTAATTTCTTTTCAAGCTAATGATCTATTTCTGTATATCCAAAACTTCACATTGCTAATATTTAAGAATCTTCTCAATGCAGTGAGTCTAGGATTTATAGGCCAGTGTTTCTGAGGAAGTATGTATGTGAAAATACATACTGTCATTTACTGTACGAAGCTGTCAAGGTCTAGACCTAGAATTAAATATATGTTTAAGAAAGGGGAGATGTGACTGTGGGCAGTTTATATGCTATGAGAAAATTACACGTTTTAGACCAGGGACCATATTACAGAAACTTCCTACCTTTTGTCCCAAGTTAAGATCTGACAAGGTCAAGATAAGATTTTGAAAAATATAATAACAAATATAAACAAATCTTATTTGACAGCATCTTATCTCAAGTTATGAAACACGAAACTACTCGATCAAGGTCAATAAAGAAAAGTAAAGAGCGATTAACTGTTAATTGGAAGAAGTTCCTAAAGGTTAAGAAAAGGTTATTATTGTGATAGCATTCCATTCTGTTTAATGGGACGCTGTAACTCGCCAGTGTCAGTTTCCATTTCCCAAAGCTTTAGCCAGCGTGTGAGCTGTGCTAACGTTATTCCGCTGAATAATCACACATTCAAGTCAATCTCTTCATTAACCGCCATCGCTGCAGTGTTTTATTTGACAAGTATTCATTTTCATTAGCACACACAGGTAATATGGAAGAATGGTGGAGAATGTCTTCAGTGTCTGAGTTTCATATAACTTCAGATTTAGGGAAAAAAACATCACTCCCATTTGTGAAACCACCATTTTGCAATATGAAAGTAAAAAACCTTTCTGTCAGTTATAGTGAACTTGAAATACTGCCTGTCACATCTGCCTAAAAAACGTATCACTATATTTTCAGTAGAATGTCAAGCAATAGAAATGAAATGTTTAAAATACATTTTACACTTCTGGAAAAGTTGGGACATTTTGTAAAATGCAACAAAAACAAAAATTTGTGACAAAAATACAAAGAAAATATTCTCAATGTTTTCACTGTGCAACTTAATTGTATTTTGTAAATATAAACAAATATAGAATTTGATGCATGCATCACACTTAAAAAAAGCTGTGGCAGAATATGTCTCTAAAATCCCAGAGTGCACCCCCATGTCAGTGGTACTTTTGCACATATGCAAGTCACCCATGCTGTGGCCACTGATGCAGCTCTATGCCATGACAGATGTTGGCTTTTGCACCTTTTGCCGGTAAAAGTCAGGATGGTCCCTTTTGTTTTTGGCATGGAGAATTCAACGTCCGTTTTTCCTAAAAACAAGCTGAAACGCAAAGTGTGGCACAAAGTAATGAGCCACAAACTGTCTTTACTTGCAAAGACCAAGCCATTGGTGCATGCTCCTTTTATACCCAGTCATGATACCCTCAACAGTTACCAGTTGCTTATTGTGGATTTTTGATAGAATCATAGAATATTCTATGAACTTTTCACACTTTTTTTTTCAACTTTTTTTGATTGTTTTGCGGACATCAAATTCAAATTGTGTTCATATTTACAAAATACAATGAAGTCGGTCAACCGAAACATTGAAAGTCATTCTTTGTATTTCTGTCAGTTAAGTTAAGGTTTAAGAAAATTAACAAATCACATGTTCTTGTTTTTATTGCATTTAATAAAATGTCCCAGTTTTTCCAGAAATGGCGTTTGTAGAAGTTAGGACACCAGTTGAGTTGTCCTAAAGTTATACATTGTATATGTATTGTTGTAAATTCAGTCCTAACTAAAGTTACCATGGTGGCTAAAAAGATAAAATAACATTTCAGCCTCAGGGGTCAAACTAGATTACTTCCAGGCCACTTCCAAGGAGTTTAGACAAAAGGGAATAGCCCATTGTTTGTTGAATGCAGCTTTTACAGTATAAGCATGAGGTGGCCAAATTGGCTGATTAGCCATGTTGCTGTGTTTGATTTGTAGCTAATTTTCCTTGTACTGTCTTACAGTTACACTGTACTAGCATGTGTACACCCAAATACTCACACTGCAGAACCATGTGTAGTCAAGCAAAGTTATACAAGAGTGAAAATACAAGCAAAAAAACACTCATTCTGCTAGAATACATGCTAAAAATGGTAGAATTAGCTACATAGCTAACAAATACACCAACGTTGCCCTCTAAACATATTAGAGCAACAAGTTAGAAGTTTTTTGTATTCATAAGCCCTGTGATGTCTCAATGAATGCATTTACTATTTTCTTATATTTAAATTTATTTGCCCCAACCCAGTGCACCAATTCACATTTTGCTTGTTGCAGGAATCTAACAACTGTGAACAGTTATTGTAGTCTTAAATAACTGAGATCATCTCAAATAGTTGTTATTAAGAGCTTAGACAATGAAACTACAAAAAACAAGCAAATGCACTAATAAAGTAAAAATATGTAAATATTCACACATTAAACGTACCTTGATATCATCAGCACAGTTGCTGTCTAGGTCAACAGAAATATTGTCACTCATCTGTTTCCGTTTAAGATATAATATATTGTAATTAATATATATCGAAACACTCTTGAATGCTGTATGTCTCTGCCTTTTTGAAGCACTAAGGGTCATAAAAAGGGATGTATAACTATCTAACACTATTTGTTGCAAATAAAAATACTACAGAAATACTACTAAAATACTAAATATCTAATCAACCAAAATATAGTTTAAAATTAGGTTTTCTGTTAGAATTCACATCAGTAGATTACACTTTATTGCTGTCGGCTGCTGTTACATGGAAACTGCTAGCAGGCCACTGTGAGGTTTAGAACAGGCATGTCAAACTGGGGATCTTCTAGGCCAAGAAGCTATAGAAATTAATATTTGCCCTCATCTACTGCTCTGAATTTAGTTCATGAATGCTTTGCTAATTGGCTAAAGAGCTGAATCAGGTGTGTTTAATGAGGCAGTGTGCTGAAGTCTGCAGTGTTTTGTCCCATGAGGACTGGAGCCTGACACACATTTTGTAGAAGAAGGAAAATTCCCAACACTGGTGACTACACATTCTACTACACATGCTTCAGTGTGTGCACAAGGGAAAAAAATAGGATGCAAAATGATAATTTTAATTATTGGCCAGAATTTCAGTATTGGACACATAGTATTAATTAACGCTTTCCATATCGACAAATAATCATATATATATCCCCAATAAAAACAAAAGATCTGCACCACATCTTGGGAACTGCTTGTATAGCCAAAAAGTCGAGTTCTCTCATCTCTCTTCTCATCAGGCCCCTTCTTCACCCAAATCACCTGCACAGGCCACTCCCAGCTCCTCACGTAATGCCAGTCCTTCCACACGTGCAGGTGAGTTCCTGTTTTGTCTGTGTGTATGTGTCAGTGTTAAAGGTCTGCTGCCTGATGGAGCCTGACAAAATATCAGATTTGATTTTTCACATGCAACATTGGGCTTGCGTAGTAGATTTCATGCAGTCTCAAGCATTTTCTCTCGCTCTTTCTCTCTCTGGTAATGTTAGCTGCATTCTGAATAGCTCTGATTTTGTAAGAGTTGGGGAACAAGCCCATGAATAAAACCACTGAAGATGAGAGGGATGTGTTGAATTTGTGGAAAAGTCACAGCAGATCTTTCTCTATTCTAAAGAAACTTTCCAAAGCAGAATTGTTCACAGTGGTGGTGATAGAAACCAGACGTCTGAAGAATTTAATGCCTCTAAGAGTTCCCTCACAGAAAATGTACTTTGCCTGATGTGCTAAAACATCATGTTTAAAATCCATTCATGACAGAGAGGCTCACACAGGGTTTTGTAAGGCAAAACATTACCCAAATAAATTTCTTTTTTTAGCTTTAACGCAATATTTCCATGGTCCGCACTAAATGTATATAGTCTAAAGGTTCACTGGTGTTTTTGGATAGTACATAAAATTAACATTGACATCACAGTGTTGATGATAGGAACAAGGGGTCACAATGTCCATGTGAAGAAAATTACAAAACTGTAAAGATATAGAAGGGAGGGAACATTAGAAGGAAGCATTTCTTATCAAACCACTCTGAATGACTTTGTTTACATCTCAAAGATTGAATTATGCTGTTCTCTGCCAAGGACAATCAGCAATTCCACAAAATATGCTGATAATAAATACTTATATTTATCATTAATGTGTTAAAATACATCACAATATGTTACAGTATGCTTTTTTGAGTATATTGTGGATATCCTCAGTACTTAAAAATCATTTCCCAATTTCATACCCATGCAGACATTTGTGTGTGTGTGTGTATTGTTATAAGCATTACCAGTGTTGACAGAGTCCCATGTTTTATATTAACTCTGCAGGCTCCAGACCTTCTGATAACATGCCTATCATCTCTAATGTAATTTCTCTCTCAACTACTCCAACAAGGTAGACCACTCGATTTGTCTAACTCAAATTTACACATCCTTTCTATTTGAACTTACACTGTCTTTAGCTCTTTCACAGTGATAAGCTGCTGTGAGCTCTTCTGTTAATAAGCTGTACTATGTTTGAGATGCTTCTTGATTTATTCTTCTCTAAGGATTAAGAGAGGCTTGGGCCCTTGCAGGGAGAATGTAGTGAAAAAGCCAAGAATGAGGAACGGTCTATGCAGCAACACACCAGACAGCCCTTCAACGAGGACAGCCTCACCACAGGCCTGTTCATCACCGACCATAAATGATGAGGGTAAAGAAGTACCAAAGAATGATGAAAATGATGACATTGTCATCCTTGAGAGCTGCAGCACACCTAGGCCTAATCCGTCAACGTTTGACCTCTCTAAGGTGAAGTCAGAGCGCAGGTCGAGTTTGGACATGCAAACACACATGGAGCATAATGACAGCATTGCCATGGAAACTTCAGTGGCCATGGAGAATCCTACAGCGACTACTTCTTCCACTCATACCAAACATGTTAATATCACAACCCAGACTGAGCAAATACGAGCAGTGAAAGAGGAAGTAGAGGATTCCAGAGGAAAGAAAGAATCAGAGAAGAGTAAGAGAGGAGAGAGAGATGAAAAGGTGTCAGAAATAGAACAAGGGCTCTCAACTTTGGAGAGAATAAACAATCAAGAACCAGAGGAAATAGAGTCTATGCAGGTATCATTAAGTGCCCAATCAAAGAGTGTAACAAGTGAAAGTAACAAAAGCGAAAGTAAGTGTGTTACAACTGAGCAGATGCTGGTGAAGTCAGAGGGTGAGCCAGATGGTGGGGAATTAAGCACAGAGCCAGAAGTGGAGGCAGGGGAGAAGTCAGCGACACTTAAGGACCCATATCTGATCCCCTTAGACAGAGATCATCTCTCAGTGCTGGAAGCCCAGCAGCAGCAGGACAAACTGCTGGAGCTCCTTGAAGTTGCCTCCCGGGAACGGGATGAGAGCCGGACGCGTGCGCAGCTCCTTACCTCCCAGGTGGAAGAGCTCCAGAGCAGTCTGCTGGAGATCACCGAGAAAACGCTGAAGAAGGAGCAGTGCCAGCAGGGCACGCAAACGTCCGTAGCAGAAGAGGAGCAGGACTACAAGGCACTTTATCTGCAGGCCAAGGAGGAGACGATGCAGCTGCAACGCGAACTGGACCAACTGAAGAGGGAGAGAGCAGAGTATGAGGCCCAGGCGGAAGTGGCCAAGAAGGCAGAAGCCCAGAGTGGAGTGGAGAACAGAGCGCAAAGCAAAGAAGGTGTAGCAAGATCGGGCATGTTTGACAATGTGGACGATGAGCTGGCTTGTCAGATGGACCTTCTACTGAGGGAACTGGATGACAGAAACAAAGAACGAGAAGAGCTAAAGAAGAAGGTGAGTGAATGATGTCACGTAGCAAGCCTAAAACCTTGTTTTTAAGGTTAAGTCCCCAGCCATGCATGTTATTAGAAAGAGAACAAAACAAAAAAAATCTAAAAATAAATTATCTAAATAAGACTAAAATTGAAATTATATAAAGCTAAAATATTTGTGACCTTGTAATGTGCATTTTGGTTTTTTGCAACTTGTGCACCTTGCACACCCAAATTTGGTTTTGTTGTGCGTGAATATTCATTCCAAAAAATGCAGTGAATTATGGGTATCCCATATTCCCTAGGGTAGGTCATATATTGTACACTACTTATCGTGGTGCATTGTGGAATAAGGCACAGTTTTGAACATGGCCAAGTCAAATTCAAGACTTTTAGTAGTCAAGTGTATGTCAAGACCAAGACCAGGACACATTAAATCAGAGACAAGGCCGAGACCAGATTAAAATTGTATTAGTATATAAACATTTTAAAAACATTAAAAAAAAGAAACTGAAATTTGTTTGTAGTTCATTGTAAATTCATGATGATTCATTATATATGTGCATAATATTGTGTTTTATAATACATTTTGTAAAATATAATATTAAATAATATATCTTCAAAACATTATTAATTATTTCATTGTTATTGTTATAGTCTTAGTCCAATTTTGCATTGTAACTTTTGGAAGCAAATGAAGATGAGAGTATTCTTCTTCTTTTTCTTCTCTAAAACGTAAACAGAACAACCACCTAAAGTCAACTGAATTTAAACCAAACAACACATCCATTGTTTTTATTAAATGAAAACATAGCCAGTTTGCCCTCAGATGATGTGTACATTACAATGTTACAATATAGACATTTAACAGACACTTAACCATAATTTTAAATGTGACAAATATTGTTAGTTTTTGTAAAAATAAAACATGAGATGTATATCAGGCAAAATGCTAGCTACTTATGTTTATGCTGTGCAAGTCAATGTAAAATGTTTCGCTTTTCGGATGGAAATCCATCGTGGATTAGGGTTAAAAGGTTCTTTCAGAAGGAAAGATCCTGAAGCTGGGCCATCTACAAGTGAAGCTGGCACCGTATCTCAGACTGAAAACACTGAGGATAAACAGAAACGAAAATGCAGCACTGAATACCTAGTGCTAAGCTTCATGTGCATGGGAACTGAAAACAAGTAACTTGCTCTGTGCTGTTTGCTCAGCAGTCTTTTTAAATTAACCTTTGAAACCCAACAGTTTACACTGTTTACTACACTAGTGATGGCAGTTAGATGAAGGGCCGAGAGATCGAGTGAATGCAAGCGTGGACTTCCGAGTGGTGGGTCAAAGGGGGTGAAGGCGTGTTAAAGAATTAGTGGAACGGGGCCTGTGTTTTCTTTGTATGTTGATTAATCTTGTTCTGGTGGGCACACAATATACATTTACAAAGGACACCTCTCTGAGTTTGAGTCAGAGAAACTTACCGAAAGACTAACTGAAACACTATTGATGCCAAACAAAAGCTAACCTAGCAATTTCTCTGTCAATAACGCATGCTTATCAGAAAAGTAGGACCACACCCAGACAGTCCTCAGAAAGATCTGATAAGCAGTTTTTAAGACGTGTTTTATTTCTATCTTTTTTCATTCAAACCGCTGGGTTTTTAGTATAAACACTCAATTTTAGTGCCATACAAACATTTTGCACTATGTTCCCTGGGACTAAGTAATTGTGAAAAAACACCTGAAGGACCATATCTACACCCAGTGCATTCCTTTGTAATATGCTTAATTGAAAAAAGCCACACCTTTTTATTTATATCCTACTTCACCCAGTGCTTTTGAACCTAGAGTGCATAGATACTCCTGAGCTTATATAAGTGAAACTTTTAAGTGACTTTCAGATATATCCTTGTGTCCTTTCGGTATGAGCAATCTGAGGGCAATCATGTTACAGTCCGCTTTTACAATTGCTCAACCAAGATAGGGCCCCGGCCTTAATTCCACTGGATTATATCCATTATAGTAATTTGGATCATAGTAACTTATTTTTGTTTTGAAAACACGATCTGGTGTTTACATTGTGTGAGTATTTCATGAAGAATAGACCGCTAAAAATGGTCCAAAATAAAACCAGAATAAAATCTTGTTACATCAGTGTATGTTGAATTAATTTACAAGAACTTCTTTCCTGTTACTGTTAATTTGCCATCTTGAAAATACAGCTTACAAGTATACAAATATACTAGTACTGCAAATCTAATCTTGTCCTTCCTTCTTTGTTCACTCTTACACAGCTGGACAGGCTAGAGGACGAGAAGAACACGTTGTTGACTTGCTGTGAAAACCTAAGGAAGGACATAAAAAAAGAAAGTGAAGAGGCAGAGGTAAGCGTGGAAGAGCGAGGGGCACAGACAGAATTCCCTAATCCACCACCAGAGGAGAGTGAAGCAGGCTCAGCAGGATCCTCCAACCCAAGAAGGGTCTCAACATGTGGGACCAATCAAAATGAGACACAGGAAAGACCAAAGAGAGAGCCGGGCCAAGAAGACACGGACACACTGACATGCAGGTAATACTTGTAATCTTTGTGATCTGTTACAGAGAGTTCAAGTGCCATGGCAATCTGTGTGATATTTCCATATGATGATATTGCTTGTATAATTCACATGGCAGTTTAATAAATATATATATACGTACACACACTGATAAGCCAAAACATCATGACCATCTGCCTAATATGCTGTTGGTCATCTGCATGCTGGTAAAACAGCTCTAGTTCAACTAGACATAGACTCTACAAGACCTCTCAAGGTGCCCTGTGGTGTCTGGCACCGAAACATTAGACATCAGATCCTTTAAGTCCTGTAAGTTGCGTGAGCTGCTGTGGATCAGACTTCTTGTTCCTGCACATCCCACAGATTCTTGATCGTATTGAGCAGGGTTCAACAATAACAATTACCTGAGCAGGTAAAACATGACATCGGGACAGCAGCACAAAAAATACATAACCCCTCGGCATGCAAAAAATGGTCTTATCCATTTTGCATATACAGTCAAAACAAGCTGATTGTATTATTTCTTGACGAAAAACATCAGAGCGAGGGGTGCTGGAAAATGTTGGCGTAGCGTGAATATGAAGGGAAGCAAGTCCACAGTTTCATTCCCGCATGGAAAACTTCATCGATTTTGACTCCTCTTTTCTGAGATGTTCTGTAAACTTTGTTGGAAATATCCTAACAGGCAGATAAAAGTGGTTCTTTTTTATCGGTAGTACACAACTTTTAGAAAACGGTCGCATGCATGTATAGCAGCAAAAAAAAAGCTGCTAGCGCACCTGGGCCGCTTGACGTGCATACAGTGGATGAACAGTAAAGCAGAATCCAGGTTAGTCACAACAATACATCACACGGTCAAAAGAGAAACTTTTTCCTGACTATCCACATGAGATAGACCTTCAAATTAAAAGTGGACTGGAACTTGATAGCCAGTATTGCACTGACATGGCTTGCAGAGGGTAAGGTAATATTCACTAATTTATGCATGCAATGATTTATGTTATGTATTGATAATAAAATAGAAACACAATTCAGAGGTAGGAATTTGAGCAGTTTTGTTAAAAGCATTGTGTCACTCATTAGGTTTACCATGGTGATATACAATGTTTTATGGGAATCTCATCTGGAAGAGCTCCAGTCATTCAGCTTTTATTAGCGCTCTGGCTGATGCCACTACTGATGCCAGCACAAGAGACCTTAAAGGAGTGATAGTGAGGTTCTTAAAGGATGGAGACCCAATAATAAACACGTGTGGCTGCAGAGGAGCTGTAGCACAGTACTGCTGTTAAGAAACCTTTGCTTATTTACTGCAAAAAGAAAATAAGTGAAAGTATATTGTGAGGATGTGCTCTTATTTCAAGAATACATTGTCTTAACTAAATATATTAGCTTATATGTAGTGATTTATATTTAAATAACACTTTAAAATACAATGATTTGTTCGGAACAGTAGAAATTTGGTTCAAGACTGATCTTTCAGGTCGCTTGCCCGACTGGGCAATTGGGAAATAAGTTAACATTGAGCCCTGTTGAAATCTGGGGCATTTGAAGGCCAGGGAAATGCTTTGAACTCTTCGTCATGTTCCTCAAACCATTCCAACACAATGTGTGAAATGTGGCAAGAGTGCCTTATCCTCATGAAAGGGCCGCTGCCATCGGGAAATACCATTGCCATGAAGGGTTGTACCTGGTCTGCAATAATGTTTAGGTTGGTGGCACGTGCCAAATTGATGCTCACATGAATTCCCAGATTTCTCAGCAGAAAATTGCCCAGAGCATCTTATTCCATCCACTGGCTTTTCAACAGTGCATCCTAGTGCCATCACTTCCCTAAGTAAATGGTGCACATGTACCTGACCGCAATGGCAAATGGTGCACATGTACCAATGTATATTTTCCAATATTATCTTAATTTAACTTAATATTGTACTGAATCAAGAGTAATGTTGTTCAGATAAACATTTATTCAAAACCTGTATCATCCATGTGAAAAAGTAATTACCCTCATAAACCTAATAACTGGTTGTGCTACCTTTGGCAGTAACAACTGCAATCAAATGTTTGTGATAACTTGTGAGGAGTCTTTAACGTTGCTGTGGAGGAATTTTAGCCCACTCTTCTTTGCAGAATTGTTTTAATTTGACTACATTGGAGGGTTTTGAGCATGAACTGCCCATTTAAGGTCTTGCCACAGCATCTCATTGGGATTCAAGTCAGACTTTGACTCAGCCACTCCAAAACCTTAATTTTGTTTCTTTTGAGCCATTCAGAGGTGGACTTGCTTGTGTGCTTCAGATCATTATTCTGCTGCATAACCCAACTGCACTTGATCTTTAGGTCACAAACTGATGGGCAGACTTTCTCCTTCAGGATTTTCTGCTAGAGAGCAGAATTAATCAGTTCCATCAATTATGACAAGTCGTCCAGGTCCTGCAGAAGCAAAGTAGCCACTGACCATCGCACTACCACCATGTTTGAATGTTGGTATGATGTTCTTATGGTGAAATGTGGTGTTAGCTTTGTACCAGATGTAATGGGACCAGTGTCTGCCAAAAAGTTCCACGTTTGACTCGTCAATGTCTTGCTTATTGTGGAATCATGTACACTGACCTTAACTGAGGCAAGTAAGGCCTGTAGTTTTTCAGATTTATTTTGTGACCTCCTGGATGAGTCGTCAATGTGCTCTTGGTTAAATTTTGGTAGGGTGACCACACCTGGGAAGATTCACCACTGTTCCAAGTTTGCTCCATTTGTGGATAATGGCTCTCACTGTGGTTCGCTGGAGTCCCAGAGCCTTAACAATGGCTTTCCTCACTGATAGATTTCAGTTAACTTTGTTTCGCATTTGTAATTGAATCTCTTAAGAATGTGGCATCATGTGCTGCTTTGTTAGAACTTCTAGCCTGCTTCACAGTGGCAGACAGGTTCTATTTAAGTGATGTTTAGATTCAACAGGTCTAGCCAGTAATCATGCCTGGGTGTGGCTAGTGAAATTGAACCCTAAAGTCAATTGAATTTGGTTAACTGGTTGATTTAGTAGTTAAGTGGGCAGTTACCTGTTCACATAGGGCCAGGTAGGGCTGAACATCCATCCATCCATCATCTAAACCACTCATCCTTCTGGAGCTTATCCCAGCTGTCATTGGGCGGAAGGCAGGATACACCCTGGACAGGTCGCCAGTCCATCGCAGGGCAGACATACACATTCACACCTAGGGGCAATTTAGCACATCCAGTTAGCCTGACTGCATGTTTTTGGACTGTGGGAGGAAACCAGAGTACCCGGAGGAAACCCACGCAGACACGGGGAGAACAGGCAAACTCCACACAGAAACGACCCTGGTCACCCAGCCGGGAATCGAACCCAGGCCCTTCTTGCTGTGAGGCGACAGCGCTACCCACTGCGCCACCGGCTGAACAGCATTGACTTATCTTTGTCTAATATTAAAAGTATTGTGATGATGCAAAACACACAAGCACTGTACATATAGATGGGACCTGACTTTATTTTTAAGTACATTAACTTCAATATGTAGTGGAATAATGGATATAGACTGACTCTTTTTTCCTTTTCACCCTTAGGTTAAGGGAACTCAGACAAAGGGTCGGTCGTCTTCTGGTCACCTTCGTTCCTGCTCTGGACCTTGAGCAGGTGAACTACGATTGCGAGGTCATTGATGAGATTCTTGGTCAAGTTATAGACGAAATCTCCTGCCCCAAGGCAGCCATTTCATAGAACACGCATTTCCAGCAAAGCAGATCTCCTAAAGCACATTCTTGGCTTGGTTTGTTAATGCTGAGAGATTCAAGTGCAAACACAGGTTCTTATTATGCCAAGTTCTTACCTTGTGATTGAATGTCTGTCATACTTGACAAGATACCTCATTGGTTTGCATGCAGGTCAGCTTTTTGCAGCTTAGAAAACTAGTGCCAATTTGACACTTAAACACACAACTGAGCTAGAAGGTTTAATTTAAGATAATGTTGTTCAGCTCAACTCGGCACTGTCTCAAGTTGAACCCAAAATAATCATGCCACAAATCCAGCCTTGTGTTATGCCCCTATGGGAAGGTATATGTAGATGGGACCTGACTTTATTTCAAGTACATTTACCCTGCTTTATTGTTTTTTTTCCCTTTCCAGAATGTTTAAAAATGACTACTGAATGTATGTTTATGTACCTATACAACAATCCTAAAACTTTTTGTGATGGTTTGCTACATTTAGTTCGGCCTCTACTGCTTACTGTTGTTTTTGGCATACAGGTTTTAAGCTTCCACAGCAGTATTTTTGTTGTCATTCTTTTTTTCCAGTCAAGTTTATGCATTGGTAAAGGATGATACTGCTCACTGCGTTGAGCAGACTGAAACAGAGTGGAGTAATGCTAAAATGCAGAGTTTTAGGATTCTTGTATTAGGGAACATATTAACAGTGTATAATTGTGCATATGCATTAATAGTTTTGATATGCAAATTTATGCTGTTGTTATTTTTTGGTATTATAGTTTGAATCATTGTAATCTGACATTGTCAGAAATGTCTTTGATTTTAAAGGATTCTGGGGATCAACTGTACTCCTATTTTTGTGTTTTCAGTGCTCTAACATATATGATTTAGCTAATGGGTTTGACCTTGTACCTGATGAGTTGAGTCATGTGTGGCAGGCGCTGATTTAGAGTGCATCTTTACTGCACTGAATGTGTTCTGTGTACAGTTTGTACATTTTCTACAGTGTTAAGACTATACAGTGTGGTGTACTGATTTACCGTCTGTAAATATGTTCTACGCTAAAACTGAGTCTTCCATTTTTATATTCATTAGTGTGGAAAGATCATATCAATGGTAATAAAAAGGGGTTCTATTCATTATTAAGCTTTAAGACAACATTGTGTAAATTGACTACATGAAAGTACTGCATGAATTGAACTTCATCGTTGTAGCTTTTGCTGTTGAAATTTTTTTTAAGTAATATAAATATTATCCTTACAGAGACTTCTTAAAAATATATTTTAATACAGTATAATACTTTTTTCATGTTTGGTATGTTCTTGTTGTGCATATAATTTGGGGAAAGTATTCTTGTTTAGTTAAATTAATGTTTTAATTTGTGAGAAAACATCATTGCACAAAATGCTGTTTATTGTAATTGATCATTCTTTTTTATTGTTAAAGTGCAAGCTTGTGTCATTTTTCTAACTGCTCCCTGCAATAAATATTCAAATGTTCTGCTTAATAAGCTTGTCATCAATCTGCTTTAAAATTGCCAGTATATTTTTTAGTGGGCTTATTTGTCGGTTAAGTCAGTTCCTCCCAAAACAGTACAAAGGCATTGATATTTAATGTTTCACCTTATCAACATGTTGGGACAGGGGCAATTTAAGACTAGGAACATTGTGTTAAAAGAAACACCTTAAACAGGTGATGCAATCATGCTTGGGTATTAAAGGAACATCCATAGAAGGCCTAGTCCTTTATCAGCAAGGATAGTTCAAGGCTTGCCAAAAAATGTGTCAGTGAATAATGCAACGGTTTATGGGGTTAATATTGTGCCAAACGTTTCAAATAAAATACTAAAATACACAAGCAAAATATTGATTATCAGAATGTCCAGAATATGTTGCAAATACAAATAATGAGTTAAAGCAAACTTATTTTTTCAAAATGATTACTAATTTTCTCTCATTCTGATATATATTTACCACTTAATTTGCCAATTTTTGCTTTGCTTCTATTTGCAGATTTTGCTGATATATTTTTGCTTCTGAAATTTTACTTTTGGCACTTTTTAACAGGAAGCAGGTCTTAGAAGAGGGTGTTTACCTCCACTCTATTCGTAAACTGATTTGGAGTGACAGGTCTTCTGAACACATAACTACTCAGCATGACCCACCCCGTCGGCAAAGTGGCGCTGTACTGGCATATCTGACGTTATGAGCAATGTGTGTCATATTGTGTTTAAATTATTAATGTAGCACATGTTTATGGGTCCTGTGTTGACCTGTCTAAAATGATATAACTGTTCATTTGGGCACTGACAAACATATACTCAGTTGTTTATGAATGAATGAAGCTGTACCACCTTTTCGAGTTTTCGGATGCTATCAAGGTTAAGCCTAACAGTGTCCTCTAGGGTTAATTAGGAGAACCATACTGGTAATGAACCTAAACTGCTTCAATGTCTAAAGTTAGTTCACTGTATTAATGTGAAAACAGTGACTTGGAGCAGCGGCATTCTATAAACTGGCGTGCTGAAACAGGAAGCCGGTTTCAGTGACTGACGCAGAGGCACATTGTGAGTAGAAACAAGAAAAGACTGACATAAGAGCCTTTATAAACCCCAGAATGTAATGGCCAACCATGACATGTGACGTTTATTCCCTTTGTAGTGATTACAAAAGATCAGTCTGTTGGCATCAGCGACTCATAGCTAGCAGCAATCAGTGATTTTTTTCCACTCATTACTGTGTTTAGCAAGTGCTAACTACATTATTTCCCCAGACACACAGCAATGCAGATTCAGTGATTTCCTGACCAACACACCTGACCAGCTCTTGAACAGCTCAGTAATCAGTTGATGTGCTGGATCATGTGTTTTAAGGTAAAGAACAGTTAAAACCATGTGGAGCTGCAGCACTGGCGGTTCTAGGATTTTTTTTCCTGTTCAGTGGCCAAATGATTGCCTTCAGATTCTAAACTGCAGGTCTCCAGAACAAGAGTTAACAAACACTGATTTAAACAGCTGCAAAGCTTGTCTAGTTAACCCTTTAGTGGACACAGCTAATCTAGTTAACGCTACCAGTTCCAAACCACGAAAGATGTTACAGCTTCGTTCAACAGCTGAACAGTTGAACCTAAAATAGTTCCAAAGTATTTTACACAGGTCAACACAGGACACTGAGCGTGTGTTACATTAATAAATATGACAAACATTAATCATAATGTTGGGCATGCCAGCACAATCCTTTCTGGTAATTCTACACTCAGTACGACGCACTCCTCCATGTTCATGGTTGTTTCTTTTCTAATGTTGCATGCTCACCAAATGGGCGTGACTACGTGGTCAGAAGACCTCTCACTCCAAATCAGTTGACCTTTAGAAAGTGCAGGTGAACGCCCACTTCTAAGACCCGCTCCCTGTTAAAAAGTACCAAAAGTCAGAAGCAAAAGAAAAATTTTAGAAGGAAAAAATATATCAGCAAAATCAGCAAATAAAATAAAATTGGCAAAATAAGCTAAATATTTCCATCAGAATTAGAGAAAATAAAAAAAAAAAATTTTCGTTATTTGTGCAACATATTTTGGACATTTTGATACTTAATATTTTGCATGTGGATTTTTAGTATCCACAACATGACTGCAAAACAGCAGAGGGCGCCCGCGAGTGAGTCCTCAATGAATGGGAGGAAATGGAGCTCAATGGTTCAAAACGAAAAGTCAAAATAGCTTCTGATCGCTTGCCCAGAACTTTCCTTTAATTTTAGAAAGTAGAAGGATGTATTTTACTAAAAAAAGCACAGAAAATGTATCTATATATTTAATTTTTTCTACAGCAAACGGGTTTTGGGCAGCAGAACGCTTGCATTACTGCTACTGAGTGCTAATTGGCTGGCGAGCGGAGCAGCTCATTGGCTGTTCGCGCTCACAGACGTCATGGATGTACATGAGGTGCCGTTTTGAACTCCTATAACTCATGTTTAAAAGCTCTTAAAAATATAACAGCGGTGTTAAAATGTTTTATGCTGTTCTGTGTTCAGGAAATGGTTGTATTGTTGTGCATTTAAAATATTTAAGCATTTATAAGCTATGATTTTGTTCAAATGCTCCATCTTATCCCATTCATTTTGGACTCGCTCGGGAGCGCCCTCTAGCGTTTAAGAAACCTGGAAGACATTACAGAGTGGTAAATCTCCTCTCTACAAGTTCTCTGGTCCTTCCTTTCCTTCTGCCGCTTTCTTTTGGGGAAAACCATTTCGTCATAGAGGTGATACAATTATAAGCGTAATACGCGTAACACTGTTCAGCACGTGTACGGACATTTTTAAATAATCACTTTTATTACACTTAAGTTAACGCATTCTGCTCCCAGCATATTAGCAACATTTATATCTGCTAAATAACAACTTTGCACCCCCGCATCAGAAGCCATACAGAGTGTCTTAACTCTTCTGGGTACACATTCTGTGACGTTTGTGGAGGTTGCCAGTTCCCGGCAAAATTAATCCGTAAAATAAGGGCTTGTAAAATCCTTAGTTCAAGCGATCCTTTACTGAGAATGGCTCTCTTGCCGAGCAACAGTAGTGATTGAAAGAAAAGAAAGACATACACGCTTACATTAAAAAGGAAAAAAAAAACATAACGTAAAGTCAGAGAATAGCCCTTTTTTATTTAAAAATATCATGCGTATTAGTGAGGGTTCATTTAATCAGACTCAGAGGTTATTTATTTCGCATAAGAACTCTCGCCATTAAGATAAGATCATCTGAAAGCAGTCTTGGAGAGATGCTGCAAATTGCATATTGCAAACAATTCTGCTGGGAATTAACACTAGAGCAGCATATTTTCTCAATTCTAAAGGGATATAGATGTCTTTTAATGCATTATTGAAAACGCACTTGTTGGTCTGTCGCCTCCTACCTAGTTTACTGATCTGGCAACCTAGGAAGCCGGAACTGGTAAGTCCAAAAACAGCGCGGGAAACGGTGTTTTGGTGGGAGAGTGAAAAGAAAGCGCGTCGTTCACTGAGAGATCTTTTTGTTGTGAGGTATGTTGTGTTTATTTCTTTAAATAAAACTACTGTGTCATCTTTTTAAAAAAAAATATAGTAAGTACCTTACAGCGCGGCTCTGTATATGAACTACAGAGAAGTAAGTAAGTAACAATAACCAGCCGAGAAACCGAGTAACCGTCTATCCGCTAAAGCTAAAGCTGGAGTTTTCATACGCAGTCTTACCTGAAGTTGATGGTTAGCTACGAAGCAGGACTTGTAGTGGCAGTATTCATGTTTTACAGATGTGAAGTAGCATATAAACATCTTACTTTAAACATGTCTTACTTTAAACTGCTTAACCTACAGTTTTTGACTAACCTCAGTATTTCTTGTGTATGTGAGTTGTAACGACACCGCTGTGTGCATTTCAGTGTGCATAAAAAGAAGTAACAGTTAACCTTAAATCATTTCGTTTGGGTTTCCCAAAAGTATTTTAGGACAAAATGATTCTTAAAAGATAGAGCTAGTATCACACAACACTCCCTCTACCAGTTACGATTATTTTAGCTAACACTGCTTTTGGGAAACTGGACCCTAAAGTGTTATTTTCTGTAACTTTAGCCGGCTAGTTCAATGCATGGTACATACTGAGTATTTATTTATTTATTTATTTGGAAATCGCTGAATAGCGAGTAATGCAGCCATCCGTAATCAAAGTGTGACGTATGCACTGATGTATTCTTCCCACTGCTAAATAACAGATTTGATGTTTCAAGCTTCTGAAACTAAATCAGTTTTAAGTGATCTGAGTGGTTCACTACAATGTTTTAGTCCACGCAAGGCGTCTGCCCTTTCATGTTATAAAACTCGCTTCACTGTCTCTCCTCTTCTGTTCTGACTCTTAGTAACAGGATGAAGGTGATAACGTGTGAGATTGCCTGGCACAACAAGGAGCCAGTATACAGTCTGGATTTCCAGCAGAACGCAGAGGGCAAGATTGACCGCTTGGCCACTGCTGGAGTGGACACCACTGTGCGAGTAAGTACGCTTCACTGACAAACTTTTTTTTTTTTATGTATGCCTTGTATTGGATCTGTATTACCATCACATGCTTCAATTCACTTGTCCGTTTATGTAGATGTGGTGTGTAGACAGAGGGCCAGATGGAAAAGCTGTTGTAGAGTTCCTGTCGAATTTGGCGAGACACACGAAAGCAGTGAACGTAGTGCGCTTCTCCCCTGCCTCAGACCTCCTGGCCTCAGGAGGAGATGGTGAGTGTCCTCTAATGACCAGACCTGCTTCTGGAGATCTGCCAGCCTGCAGAGTTTATTTATACAATTCCATTGTAGTGCTCCTAACACATGATCAAAGCAGGGCATTTGAACATCGATGCCAGATGTATTTGCTAAACTCTGCAGTGCAGAACAATACCTCACTTAAGAACAGCTAGGCACCCCTTGTTCAGGCAGTTAGTTGATCTAAGAGCAAACAGAATGAAGGATGAAACTAATTAATGAATACTTTCTTACAGAAAGGCCACTGATATCAATATATTATAGTTCTTCTAAGCTTTTACGTGTAAAGATTTCTAGTACTAACACTTGGCATTGTTTTTTTTTATTCAGATGCAGCTATCTTACTGTGGAAGCTGAATGACAGTAAAGAGCCTGAACAGGCCCCAGCTTTCCAGGAGGATGAGGATGCTCAGCTTAATAAGGAAAGCTGGAATGTAGTGAAGACTCTCAGGTTATCTTCTTACACAAACTTTCTTTTAATTTACAGTTCTTAGTTTATTTATTGTAGAAAACCTTGAGAAATGCTTGTTTGTGTTTTGCAGGGGACACATTGAGGATGTCTATGACATCTCATGGACCAGCGATGGGAATTTTCTTGTTTCTGGTTCTGTGGACAACACTGCCATCATGTGGGACGTCCAAAAAGGTGTGAATCATAATGTCATCACAAGTGTTCTCATCTGTTTTTTCATCTGGCAAGGTTTGAGTGTATTGAATGTTTTGTTGCGGTGTTGTTGTGCAGGTCAGAAGATGTGCATCTTCAACGACCATAAGAGCTATGTGCAGGGTGTGGCCTGGGACCCACTTGGCCAATACATCAGTACGCTAAGCTGTGATAGGTAAAGCGTGTGTGATGTAAAAGTTTGACTTTACACAAACTGAGCACCTAATCATAGTATTCGGTTTCATTGTGGACGTTTCCCTCTTCTTCCCCAGGGTAATGCGTGTGTACAGCACACATGCCAAAAAAAAGGCCTACAGCGTGAGTAAGATGACCTCAGGCTCTGCTGGGGAAGGAGAGGTCAGTGTGACTGTCCTTATACCGCTAAATGTTTGCCAGCTAGGGTCGTTTGGTGCCATACATTTTAAGGTCGGCTTCGGTTCTGATTACAAATGACGGGATTCAGTGAAGTCACTCTCTGTGTGCATGTGAGTGCTGGCAGACTTCACTGTGTATAATCAAGTCCAAAGCTTTGATGTCAGCTCTTGACTCAACGAATACCTGGAATACATGATTCTTATATGGTAAAGTGAGCATCATACTCAATACTCTCTCTAACAGTTAAGATGTTCATAATGCTACTAAGATACTTTTGGGCACATGTGAACATCATTTTAGTCTGTCCGCATCTTCCCTATGCTTCAGTGCTTTTGTCAAGTTACAAAACTTTACTGACGGGAAAGGACTTCTCTACAAATCATTGTTCTCTTTCTCCACTATGTTATATTGGGAGCTTCATGACTTCATGCTAATTTCATCTGCAACTTATAGTTGTGTGTTTAGGACTGTCAACTGGGATCATAAATTCGATTTTTCCTTTCTCAGATATTTTAATACATTTGAATTTTAAATTCACAAATGAGTCATTCTCAAAAGCTTACACTGTTATAAAGCAATAATTCTCAGCCTGGGAGTCGCAGGGTGGTTGTCAAAAAAGACAATGACTAAAAATCTCTCTGACATGGTCATTGGAACATAAAACAGTGGCTGCGGAAGTGTAAACGTCAGCACTCGGAGTGTAACAAAAACTGCAGTAGTTGTGTAGCTGCACCAGAGAACGTATCATTTAGTATTGTTATAATTTAAATGCTTAGTGAAATAAAATAAACTTTAATTTTTTACATTCTGATGTGCATTTTTTTGTTTTCTTTTCTTTTCCTTAACATTGTTACAGGTGAAAAACTACAGGATGTTCCATGATGACAGTATGAGATCCTTCTTCAGGCGTCTCACTTTTACACCTGATGGATCCTTCCTTCTTGCACCTGGTAGGCTTTTTGAATTGCTCCCTTGATGTAAGGGAAGCTGTTTGTTTTGCTGCATTGACTGTAGGTGAGATTGAAGAGCCAAGTTCCCATGTTATGATGCTATTTTGTTTGATTTTCAGCTGGGTGTGTGGAGGCAGGAGAAAACGTCACAAACACCACCTATGTTTTTTCCAGAAAGAGCTTCAAAAGGTATAGTAGTGATGTTATATATGCCCATTTGTGAAGTCAGTCAGAAATCAAAACCATTTGACCTTGTTAGTTAATGGTAGTAGTGGGTGGTAAACTGCTTCATCTGGTATACTGGTTGCAAATCCTTCGTCAGGTATGAGTTTGTCATAACGTTGTACTGATATGCCACAAATAAGCGCAGATAATGCACACATGCCAAAAAAAGGCCTACAGCGTGAGTAAGATGACCTCAGGCTCTGCTGGGGCATAAATGATGCAGACCATGCTAATGCTAGCCTCTTTAGCTGACTGCCTGAGTCATGGGTGTTTGTCATGTTTCAAATGAAAATACAGCAGGCCCGTGATGTCTAGTTAGTTGCATCTGAAGCAGTCTGCTTTGTTTTTGAGGCAGCGAACGTAAAGGAACGATCAGTCTTTTGGGGTTGGAAATACTCCTAGGCGGACACCAGAGCGATTGCCATGCTTCTGTTTGTACCACCTAAGAATCTGTCTAATTCAGTCAGCTGCACACATGAATGACTAATGTTTGATGGTCAGAGGCATGATTGTACAGGGAGCATGTATGAGACAAATGAGTGTTTTATGTTTTCCCTTAATTATTGAAGTATTATGACTTTTGACATCTGTGTTTTGATTTACATCATTGTGCACCAGTGGGTGGGGAAAAATAATACTAACAATATTATTATATTAATTATATTAATAATATTAATTCCTAGGTGACCTGTGTTTTTATATTTTCATTGTTAACATTAGGTCGGTTTCATTTTGCAGCTGTACATTCAGGCTTTTTTTTTGTTTTTTGTTTTTTTTTTTTTTTTTTTAAATGTTATCTTTGTGTTTGTTGTCAGACCCATAGCTCATTTGCCTTGCCCTGCTAAAGCCACCCTAGCTGTACGTTGCTGCCCTGTCTACTTTGAACTTAGGACCAAGAAAGCAGAAGGTGAGACTCCCCACCACCACATGAGCTTGTCATTCATTATTTTTCAAGTTTTCTCAGTATGCTTTAAACATTAACACCCTTCTCTCCCTCTTTGATGCATTCTTTCAGATGGATCACTGCAGACACTGCCCAACACGTTCCAGCTGCCCTACCGGCTGGTGTTTGCTGTGGCATCTGAAGACTCCATCTTTTTCTACGACACCCAGCAGACACTGCCGTTTGGTTATGTGTCCAATATCCACTATCACACCCTCAGTGACCTCAGCTGGTACGAACACACACATTTGCTCTTATTTGCTGTGAATTTAAACTCACTTTTGAAAAACTAGCAGTAGCCACATGACATAAAGTAACCAATGAATGATGGCTTTAAGCCTTTAAAAAGGACATTCTCCTTTCCTGTTCCTTTTTTTGACCCTGGTGAACACAAGAAATCTGGGGTGATTTGAAAAATCAGTTTTACACAAGACCATCTAGAGAGATCTTGGCAATCCTGGTTCCACAGTTCTCGATGTTTTAATAAAAAGTTTCAAGAATCTCCAAAAATGTGTGGGGAAGAAAAAACTGGCCAGAAAACTCTGTTCGAAGGCTGCTATGAACTTTGAGGATGGAAAGGCTACACATATAATACACACAGAGTGGTTGTTTCAACCGGTACCAAATGCCACAAACTGACTTAAGAAGGATTTCATGGGCATTGAAAGGCAAACATAAAGAGCAGAAAGATGCTAGCAGTTCTGCAGTTTATGTCACGTATCTGATGTAGACATTTCTCAAGAGCAAAGTTAAGAAAAAACTTAGGAAGATATTGGTGAATGAGGCTCAAAGTTCTGTGGATGGATTAACCAAAATAGAATTTGGCAATGCTGTATATAGGTGAATGAATGAAATGAAACTTATAAATAAAGGATCACCCTACCTACATCTAAATATGGTAGACATTCCACAAAGTTGTGGGGCTACTTTTCTACCTCTGCTACTGGATGCCTTTAACATGATGGAATCATGAAATCTAAGTATGGGTCAAAGATCATGCGTCCTCCAACAGGACAGTGACGCATTCAAAAGCACAAAATAATCGTTCAGTAGGAAAACCTGGACTATGTTGGTCTTAATCTGATTTTAAAAGTCTTTAGACAGAACTGAAAGCTCCAAAATGTATAAACAAGGGTACAAAAAATATTTGAAGACTGTCATAGCCAAAGGTTGTGCAGACAAGAATTAGGGAAAGGTGCCTTTCTATACTGTATGTGTTATACGTGTTATATTTTCCAAATACTCTGCTCATTCTGTGTTGTTTCTGTCTCAGGTCTCGCGATGGCTCTTTCCTGGCTGTGTCGTCCACGGACGGCTACTGCTCTTTTGTGTCCTTTGAGGAGCTGGAGCTTGGTACCCCTCTAAAGGAGCGGCCTCCACTGGATATCATCACCCCGGTTAGTGCCAGTGAGAAGAGGGGCAAGAGAACCCCAGGTACCGGACGAACCTCTTCACCCGTGCCTCGCCCCACCCCCATGCCTGTCACTCAGGAGAAGGAAAAAGAGGCTTCATCAGCCTCTGTCCCATCAAAGACTCCTGGAGCTCCTGTCCCAGAAGAGAAGCGTACTCCGCTAGGCCTCAAGGCCAAACATCAGCCCAGACGAATTACTCTCAATACTCTGGAGGGCTGGAGCAAACCCAGCACTCCAAAATCTCCTGCAGTCCCCACAGCAGCTCCTACCAGCAGCCCCAGTATGCCCAAATCTGCACCCTCCACCCCTCTGTCCAGTCAGGGACCTACCACACCCAAAACAGCCCCTAGCACCCCCCTTGGACCAGTCAATGTCAAAAACACCACAACGCCTAAGGGACCCACTCCCAGGTAGGAGAGCAAATTGTACATTAACACTGTAGTGTAACATAAAGCCTGCAACAGTTGGTCAGCCTCAAAATTGTTGATGACAAAAACAGTTTAGTTTTGAATGTATTGATTTGAATGGACATGATTAAATGGATCCTTAAACTTTTCACAGAGGAATCTGCTCTCATTTCTGAGAGACATTGTTTATTATTTTCTATCAAATCACAGCCACATGTGGTGTGATCCAAAAATCCAGGGTTACAAACAGGGATTCATATGTGTTTTGGTTGTCAGGTGAACCACTAGTTGATTGCTACACAACTACAGAATAGAATGTGCCTGATGGATTGCTCTCTTACCAGAAGCAGCATGTTAAGGGCACCTCACTTTGAATTCAGCGACCTTAAATGTGGAATCTCTTGAGTCAGTCAGTTGAATTAAACATACTTCAGAAAAGGCATACTCCTATTCACCTATTCAAAGTCCATCATTGTTAAATTTATTAGAATTAACATAATTTTGACTGCTTAACATCAAGTTAGCTAGATATTCATTGCTTACTAATTGTTATCAGTATTGGGCTTTGCAATGTTGGACTCATTTATTAACTGTAGCTTACATTACAAAAATACAGTGCTCATGTACTTAGCTGGCACACAGTGTATGGCAGAAAATTGCAGTGAATATATAGCACATTCTAATATATACACATGTTCAAACGTATTTTTTATTTTTGTAATTTGTAAGTTTGAGTGTGCAGCATTGAACCACAGAAATGTTGAAATGCAAGCAGCTGACGTTGCAGCTAATGTTACATGAGGTGTGGCCTTGTTTATACATACTTGCTACTTAAAAATACTCAATTATTAAAATAAAGAAACATTGGATAAAGAAGCATTTGGAAATTGTGAAATTGGATACTTGGGTGGCTGTCAGTATACCTGGGGTGCTGCCCAAATATTGTTTTTAATTAAATACTTCTAAATAAAAGTAATTTTCAAATACAGGTTACTACTAACATACAAGTTTGATCAAAAAGTAACCAACAGAAGAGTTGCTTATTGACAGTTGTTTGCTGCCGTTGTAGTTAAAAGGGCATTGTGGCCTAAAACTGGAGTTTATTTCTTGTCATGCAGTATTTTGTAGCGTAGCATTATCTCTCAGCCTCATTAGTTTGGCAAAGTTCACAATTTTAGATATTCTTTTATATATTCAATGCAGTTGTAGTTTTTAAATCAAGATGCATCATCAGAAGGGGTTCTTCCATGTTTTTAAGACCTTGTAAAGACTACTGTGGCACCACTGGCCGAAGTGTTCCTTGAGTATGGAAGAATATTAGAAGGACAATTATTTTCACAGCCCAATACCTCCATGTGTAAAGCTTTTATATGTAACTCTTGTGATGATAGCAGGAAACTGGCACTGGAGGGAACATCTGTAAACAGTATCACCATTTGTTTTGAGTTGTTCTTTTTTTGTGTGTGTGTTAAGATGATATCGTTGTCATCTCTAGTGCCCATGTTAAACTTGTTTTTTCTGTTTGTAAATGTGTCTGGCTGGTTCAGTGCAATGAAACTGTAGAACATCCATGTTACGGTCCTGGATTTTATTCGAGTTATATCCTGTGCGTGTAGCTTCTCTCTCTGCTGTGTGCAGGTGTTAATGTAATTTGGGCAGGCTTTAAACACAGTTCCTGTTTTTAAAATCAAAAGTGGTCATGTTTTATGGCCAGGTTTTCTTTACTTCACCTTTGAGTCTCTGTACTGCTTGAGTGGGCACTGTGTTTTCATTCAGGTTATGTGTTGTTGGGTTTCTGTATTTAATGTCAGCTTTCTTGAGTGATTTACAGTTCACTGCTGTTTCAGGATTAGATTCTCAGCATTTGTAGAAAATTCTCATAGTAGTGTGTAATATAGTTGAAATTGTAGTAAAGGTTTGTCGCATATTGTTTAGCAACGAGGATGGCGGTGGATGCTATAGGTGGAATCCACATTGTCCAGATACTTGATGTGTCCAGATACCAGACCTAACGTGTCTAGGTATTTTTACTTTTGAAAATTATCCTCAGATGCTTCTTGGGTAATAAAATTGGATATCACTGCCATTAGCCTTTGATGTTTCACAGTACAGAGAAAAACACCTTATTTTGGGAGACAGGCAGAGGCTGAATGGAAGATATGTCGGTATTTGTATAGCAGTAAATTTTAAAGTTTGGTTTTTCTGTTTCTTTCTTACAGACGAATTTCTCTGACGCCAGTTCTCCCCATCACTCCATCCTCCACTGAGAAAGCCAAACATGGTTAGTGGTGATTTAAGCCTGCTTATAGTTGCCTCGACATAGTTACTAAACCCACTAAACATTAGCTCCGGTGTCAGTCTGATATTTACAGTATTTTCATTTTTATTGTGTACTTTAACAAACTGTATACTTTTGGCAAGACATTATTGAATGAACCTTATGTTTTTGGTTATGGTGTTGTATACTTTCATAATCTTTCTGTTTTGATGTAGAGAGACCATCTCCTCCCAACGACCCAGTGTGCAAGCCTCCTGAATCCAAGCGTCCCAAGACCAATGAAACTCCAGTCCACACTGATAGCACCAGCACCTCTGTCCAAAGCAGTGAGCCCTCAGTGGGCATGGAGTCTAGAAGCAAGCCCACGGATCCTTAAGAAACATGGAGCAGCAACAAGGCTTCCCTTTGCTTAACATCCAAGCATGTCCAAGAAGTTCTGTAAACTAGCACGAAGTGTACGTGCGTAAGCTCCTGCAGATGCATGAAGTTGGACATAAATTTCAGATTCACTCACCAGTGTTCTAATGCCCATAAAAGACATATGCAAAACATGTCATCAAAGATCATCTGCTTGTTTTTTTTTGTTTTTTTGTTTTTTTGTTTTTTTTTCCCCAAGCTTCTTAAACAGATTATGTATTACTGTTTGAAAGACATTCTGTAAAATGTGCTAATAGGGCCAACTTTGGCACTGAACTGTTTCTGGTTAATTTCAAAGTACAGTTCACTGAGATGGACAAGATTTTGCCTGGAATTCCTTGATTAGCCTGTTTCAACCATGTGCTCACAGCTTAAAGATGGTTGTCTTCGGTTATTTCTCTGCCCTGTTTATAGCCCTTGTTGGTGCCACCAACTAAACTATTATAATTCGTGAGAAAATGCTGTACCGAAAGTGAACAGAGAGAAACACATGCTGGGACTGTGGGGCCAAGCAAACCATAGAAGGGAACAAAGTGGAAGTATGCAGGTTTCATAATGGTCTAGTTAGATTTAGCCATGAACAGGATTAACAATTAAATGAACTTTTTGTACTTGAGCTTTCAGGTTCTAATTACAGAAGTTATTTAGTATTTAAGTTTATCTGAGACAGTAAATCACAATCTAACTTAAGCCACAGGAATCCAAAAAAGCACAAAATAAGCCCATGTAAGTTGAAATTAGCACTCTTCCTTTCACATTAAGACTAAGAAGCTGTGTCCCTGTGCGTGTGTTTGGTCAGTCTGTTTCTGGAAAGAAGAATAATGGTGGCTTCTATAAAAATTTGAAAATGACGCTCATTCTTTTGTGGGATTTGAACATTACACTGCTTAGCAGGATTCAGTGTGTTCAAGATAGCAAATTATCATTTGGTGGTTAGTGAGTGAACTAGACCAAAATCTGATAATTATCTGCCAGTTTTGTTATTTGTGAATATTAACCTTGAGAATAAGAGTGGATGAACAGAAGGTTATTTCAAATGTACATGGAAGTGCTTTTTCAGTAGCATTGGGAACCATGCCTTTCTGGTGTCCATGCTTTTCGGTATATTTATGTGGAAAGTGCCCTGATTTCCAGTATCACTGCTGTGGAGTGTTTCCTGGTGCACATTCTCACTTCTTGCAAGGTACAAGCCTGTTCTGTTACCTCTCAACACTAGAACCAAACCAGTGTCTCATCAATTTCAAACAAAATGTCATCCATCTCTGAGTTGAAGGTTGAGTGTACAGAGCAGGCTTTGGAATTGAGACTGGTCTATGTTGTGTGTTGCTTTCAGAATGGATAAAACCTGTAAGAAAATGGAGCTCTGTTAATTGGCCTGTATGAGACAGTCATATATTGTGATTTGGTACAATTTTCTGCACAGCTGCAGTTTTAAATGCAGGGATAAAATGAAGTTGTCACCCCTTTTGCAAGTTTTGTGTTTTAAAAAAATGTTTTCAGCATATTAGTATTAAAACTTTGTATCCTACTATAATTGTTCTGAAAGACTGAGACAGTTTTCCACAAAAAAAAACACAGCTCGATGATTCATCAGGGGTGTCACTGCAGGGGGCAAATTGTTGAAAGGATTAGACACCCTGTTAAAAGATACATTAGGTGGTCTTTGTAGGGAAGTCTTTAGTTCTATCAAGTAGAATATTGTCTTCAGGATATGGTGCTGTGGTCTTAGTCAGGTCTTTCTTAACTGACTGACTGATTTCTTTACAGAGATGGCCATAGGAACCAGGGGTCTCGATGTCTACAGTGCATATATTGCCATTTAATTTGCTGTCCAAAATGATTAGCGTGAACCTACACGTCTGGATGGATATGGAGATGGAGATAGTAGTGACAAGAAAATTTGTTTTTTTCTCTTACAATGCCTTATTACTATACTTTACAAATCTCAGAACTACCGTAAAATAAAAGTCCCCAGCATCAGGCAGCATATTTATAGCCATTTCATGTAAAATCTTTCTGAGAGGTTGCTTTTAGACGCACTGGATGATTCTGATGTCTGGTTCCCTTTTACATTGCTACCAGTGAGTTAAAACAGGTTTTCTGCCATTTGAATGGGGTTGCAGTAGTAAGTCTTTTATATACACACCCACATATTTCTGGTTCCTGTGTTTGGTACTTATGTGTCATTTCTTCCATATTTTGCACTTCAACCCGGTTACCCAGCCACATCACTGCTGCAGTCAAGTTGCCCAAGAAAGCTGCCATGCATGATGGCCTTTAACCTGGACACCATCACTGCACTGATCATGTGTAGTGCTTGGGCTGTGATTTCAGTCCACTTATTTGCATAGTGAAATTGCTTGGGATCCAGAAACCTTCAGGGAAGTAATAACAACTGAAACAGAGACTGTATGTAACCTGTAATTTTGTAGATCCTTCAGTTCCATAAGAGCCATGTGGAAAATGTGGGTGAGGATAACAGCATAGCCTCTAGTTGGCACTTGACGGATGCTGTTTTAAAGAATTGTTGGCAACTGGCCTTGCACAAATGACCATGATCTATTAAAACCAACATGATGTGTACATGAAAACATGGACCCTGTTAGACGAAATGTGAGTGAACCGAAAGGGTGAAGTGTTTAGTATAGGAAGCATCAATGACTCACTCTGATTGAGTGTGATGGGGGAAGGAGTTAAGTGCAGGAGAAGGTAGCCGATAGGGTGAACACTGTGTGTGTGTGTGTGTGTGTGTGTGTGTGTGTGTTTTCCTCTTGGATGAGTCAGTCATGAGTTACATGGTCAGTCATGGAGTTACACTATTCCCCTCCCTCATCCATCTTCTCTCTGAGTAACATCCCTCACAAAGAGCCTTTTAATTCTTTCATTTTGTACTAGCATCACTGTGTTGTGAATTCACCCTACTTCCTCTAAAAAAGTAGTGGTGATGCATTCAAACATAAATCTGAAGTTCAGCAGTTTTCATTTTGAAAGGAAAACATGATCTGGTTCTGCCATAACAGGTAAGAGCCATCATTAATTCGTTTATATCATCTCTGCTTTCTCTTATAGTGCACACACTTGTCACACAAACAGGTATTCTTATCGTTGCTACACAAGAACCTTAATCTGGGGGTCTGAGCATTCAATAATTTTTCTGTTTGCTTTAGCTTTCATAAATCGTCTGTTATGCATAAGAACTAGGACATTTGCTTCTGTAACGTTGGTTCAGCTCGTTTTTATTCTAGCGCAGCCGGCGTTCATATTGTTAAGGAAACCAATCAGTCAATACACTTTTTTATCGTGGTACTTATTCGCCACCGCATTTATAGTTTTGGATAAGATGTGCTTTCGTCACTAATGCACAAGGGCATAGGAGCGAAACCCTCAGAGCCTTCTAGGCCTTTAAGACCAGACCTAACAAAAATTCTGTATTTTTGTAGATAATTTTTACTTCATAGAACGTTAAAATCGTGTCGTCATTCTGTAGTCAGCATCGTGCCTACGTTAGAAACTCCAGGTTTTCGCTAGATGTCTCTACAGAAATCAATGACATTTTGGAAAATCGTAGCTGTCGCATCCTGTGGTAAACTAAATGCCCCAAAGCCGATACATTTTGCCGTTCGATCATGTTTCCTCCAAACTTCGCAAAATCTTCTGAATGACGTGTCGTCAAGAAGCTAAAACACGACTATTGCTGCACGCTAACACTGCACTCTCAGTGAACTGACATAATAAGACTGGCAACCTCATCAATATAGCTGACACAAATCAGCAGGCTGTGTCCAGAGTGGTATTTCAGAAGCTTTGGCAGTTTTAGGTTGCAGTTTGAGTAGCCAATGTTGGTATATAATGGTGTTAAATTTAAAGGTTGGCCCACTTTCATGCAGCCTCACTTCAGTGCGCAGGAACCTTAAACTTGCTTGTAGAATGTAAAGTTACGTAGCGTTCTTTGTAATCTGACTGCTGAACGACCTCGAAATTCAGAGGATCCAGAGACACATCCAGTGAAGACATGTACGTAGGACAAAATGCACTGGCCTTGGGGCATTTTTCATGGGGCACACGATGCAACAGCAGTGATTTTCAAAAATGTCAATTTTGTTTTACACTGTAAAAAAATAAGGTGTTAAAATTACTTTAAAACAGGCAATAGGCTAATTATATTTAAAATAACAGAAAGTTGAATCAGCTCAAAAAGATCCATGCAACTGTTGCTTTATTTTTTTGATTATGAAAATTAAGTTGATTTTAGTTGTACTGTGTACTTAATTTTCTTTTACCATCAATTCAAAATATTTAGTTGGAATTGACTCACATTTTGTAGTAAAAACAACTAAATTAAGTCTACATAAAGGAGCAAGAATTCAAAAGTTCTACCAACATAGAAATATCTACACAAACTATTGCCTTAATTTTTTGGTTTTCTAATTTCTTAAAATATAAGCCCACTTACTTACTACTCAAATAAATACATTTTCAGACTTTAGGTGTCACATCTGCCACATTTATTGAGATTGAGAAAACTTAACAAGCTGCAAAAATGCATATGCCATTCAATCCTTTACTAATTACTAAATTTACTATGTTTAAACCAAAATAAACATAAAATATTTAATCTATTGTCATCCTCTACTGCACCCTCTTTTGATAATGTAGATAATGTAATGTAGATATTCATTATATTTTGTAAGACGTCAACTGCTTCCCCAGCTCCATACACATCCTGTTAAAAAAAACCAGCACAGCTGGTTACACAGGTGATAACTATCTGAATATTTCAGCCACTTGTTCAGTCACTTGTTAGGAAACAACTAAAATGTATTCCATACAGGACTCTTTGCAGTGTTCATCATTTTAGGGGAGGATTATTTGGCAAAATGTAATATCACAATACTTCAGAAAGTTTTTTTTCTGACATCTAATCAGTTAGAACCGACAGAGACACATTTGCAATAAATTATGAAATCAGTTACATTTCACACACTGTGCTGCACTAAATCCAATTAAACAGGACCAACTATGCAGTCTTGGTAATCAAACATGTTGGTAATTGTTTTTTAAGTACTCACGATATCTACAATATGCTCACAAAAGCATATTTTGATGT